TATATTGCTGTGTGGACAGAGGGTGTGAGGAGTTAGGTTTTTATAAACTTGGCCATTGTTTCAACTGCTGCGTGTAAGGGCGATCAAACCGGTGACACTCTAGTTTGTAAAGTCTAATATTTATGCCGTTTTTTTTTTCCTGTGCAGGTGTGCGCAGTGTGGATGCCAAGACCGGCAAGGAAACCATGTACAATCTGGAGAGCCTCATCAACCAGGCGGTGTTCCCGGGACTACAGGGCGGCCCCCACAATCACGCCATCGCCGGTCAGTACCCTGCCAGTGGCCTCCGTCTTGGAGATGTAAATTGTCAAATAGTCTGGAAATCTTGTGGTGCCGTTAGAAGCTATAATGGTGTGACTCTTGTAGAATTTCCAGTAGTGTTGGTTCGTGCAGTATTGGCGGTGGAATTACTCTATAAACTGTAATGTGAATCCAGTAGAGTGAGTGAATCAATATCATCTGCAGTGGTAGTAATCTATACCTCTGCCTATGACCCAATCACGAAAACAAACCCAAAAACTAAGTTTTCCATAATACATTCCAGATCTCAGATTTCAGATGCTAATCAGGTGCATGGACCTGATTCGTACATTGAGTAACCACCAGAGTTTTCTAGGTGATTTTAGACATGGGGGGGCTGGGTGGTGTGGCCCAGGTATAAATGGAGTTTCTTGAAGTACTCCGATTTCTTCCCACGTGCCAAATGCTCATTTAATAATATCGGCCAAATATCCTATTGCAAAACCTTCCATGAGAAGCAAGCATTGACATTCATTGAAACTTAACTTGGTAAATAATTGGCATAATATATACAATGGTGCAAATGTACAGAATTTATATTTGTATCGAAAAATAAGTTTACACAAAAAAAGTGACGTTTGTCTGCTCACATATGCTTTTTGTTGAATCGGAAATAATCATACACATGATGTAATGCACATCACAAGTGTACAATTGCTTTTAACTGGTGAATTGTTATTCTTAGGTTTTTTCGGTAAAGTCACGTAGGTAAAAAATTAAGCTGTTGGGCTGTGACGGTTCCACCTGAAGACGGAAGCTTGTGTTGCCTCCGAAACGTCGTGATTTCTATTTTATTTTACTTTTATTAATTTTAATTTTTTACCTACGTGACTTTACCGAAAAAACCTAAGAATATGAATCCTTGCAGTCACGAAAGCTTCAAATCTAGAATTGGTGAATTGTTACATCTCAACCGCAGAGCATTGTCACCCATGTGCCAATTGACATTTAGAAATGTCACATGGTGTGTGCGTATCAAGCTGTGCAACGCGTTTCCTTTCCCCCGACCTCTCTGACCTCAGGTGTAGCCGTTGCGCTCAAGCAAGCCATGACGCCGGAGTTCAAAATGTACCAGCAGCAGGTGGTCAAGAACTGCCAGTCGTTGGCGGCTCGCCTCAGCCACCACGGCTACAATATCGTCACGGGTGAGCGCCTGCACCTTGGCTGTCTCTTCTCCCCCTCCCCTCCATTACCGTCGCCGTCGTGCGTGCCATTGCTGGGGCGGAGAGTCCCCTCTCCCGTTCGTTGTTGACCGTTTGCCGCTGTGAATGGGTGCTGTTGCAACCAGGCGGCTCTGACAACCACCTGCTCCTGGTGGACCTGCGCACAGTGGACACCGATGGTTCGCGTGCCGAGAAGGTCCTGGAGGTGGTATCGATTGCCTGCAACAAGAACACCTGCCCCGGTGAGAGCCCCCCCCCTCCCCTCTGCCGTGGTTTAGGGCCCGTAGAGTTTTTTTTCCTTCATATATTCTGATTTGAGGGGACTTGGCGGACACCCTTGAGTTGCAAAGGAAGGCAACCGAATGAGATGCACAAAACTCATTGTCCACCCTCATTACGTGCATTTTTGAGATTGCACAAAACTTTGCATGAGCTGTAATGGTGGATTGCGGGTAATACATTTTAAAAAGGAAGCTTGTCAACCTATTTCCATCACCCTTATGGGACTTACGGATCATTGGTTTCGAGCAGCATTTGTTCAGGCAGGAAAATCCTGAACCGGTTTCAACTTTGAGAGTTTGAGCAGCCTAATGAGGTGATTCTTTAACGATTTGCATTCGGCATGGCCGATAGCTGATGTAAATTTCACCTTTTAACGGTGTACTGCACTCATAAACGTCTCAAAGATGTTTTTTATTTATTTTTAACCAATGGCTGACCGGTTGAGACAGCTCCAACACATTCTAAATGGACCCCAAGTGTGAATAAAAAAGGCCGACTGAATTGATTTCAGAAGTAGTATTGTAGTGTCATCTTTCGGGACACTTCTGACACTGATGTTGCACTGTTTGCTGTAACAGTTTTGAATTGAAATGTTTTTATCAAACGACATGACAGTAATATACATTTATATAAAAACGACTCTGCACATTAAATGGCACATTTGCTGATGGGTGCGTTGGCATTGCCAGGCGATAAGAGTGCACTGCGTCCGAGTGGTCTGCGCTTGGGCTCACCGGCGCTCACATCGCGGGGACTCATGGAGCAGGACTTCAAAGTCATTGCCGACTTCATTCACCGAGGTACGATCCAATAAATATTCACAGGCTTGATTTGAAGCTTTCCTGACTGCAGGAATCCATACTCTGTGGTTCCTTCGGTAAAGTCACGCAGATAGAAAAAAATAATAAAAGAAACACGACGTTTCGGTCGCAACACAAGCGTCCTTCATCAGGTGAGAAAATGATCTGCTGTTGTAACTTTATAGAGGCAGGGGAAGGGGGGGGAGGAGGTTTGTCGAGTTGTGGCTGCAGGAGTTGCACTCCTTATTTTTTTCTATCCACGTGACTTTACCGAAAGAACCAGAGAGTATTCATAGGCTTTCGCACATCAATGATCACAATCACAGTTGTCACTTTTCCAGCATCAATTCTTCGATATAGTTCACTTGTTCTCTACACCCTTGGAGTATAGAAACGAATAGCTTACCGCTCTTCTAATGTGCAGTTGCACAAAGGGTACTATTATCAGAATCTGAATATTTATACAGAAGGAATCCGATGAGCAATTAAGCTCTTTTTCACGGATGTCATTTTTGGCTAGTCAGAACCCCTCGCCCCAAACCTAACGCGAATGTACTGAATGCACACCGCCCTCACACTGGTGTTCTGACCCCGTGCACGTGTCTCCACCCCGGACCCACCCCCGCAGGCATCCAGTTGACTCTGGAAGTGCAGGCAGCCGCAGGTGGCAAAGCGGCCACCATCAAGGAGTTCAAGGAGAAGTTGGCGGACACGGCCTTCGTCCCCAAGCTGAGCGAGCTGCGTGACGCCGTCGAGGCGTTTGCCGAGAAGTTTCCGCTGCCCGGCATGCCCGTGCTGTGAGGCGAGCGCCGCCTTTGCCTCGAACACCTCCAACCCTTGACCCGGAGCTAACGCCACACCGACACTCAATCGCCTTTGCACATGCTTCAGGGCCCGATGTGAGAAATTCGAATTAAATATTCTGCTATAGCGAGGGGACACCTTCCTTGCACCAACAGCTTGCTTGAGTTGTAGCGATCAGGCTGGCTTTAAAAAAAAAACTCAGGTTGGCCTTTTATCCAGTCTCCAGACTAAAAAAAAATATCTGGCTTGATTGGCCATGCGATAACCACTTCTACAGGGGGACGGGTGTGTCCTGCACTGCTGCCCAGCATGGATTAGGGACCTTGGAAGTAGTCCTCTTCCACAGACCATTCTCCAATATGGGGGGTGCTGTTAATGTAGCAGTCTTATAAAGCTCCGAATGGAAACTGTTTCTTTACATAAATAGCACAATTATGAGAAAATAAAGTACTCTGAAGCCAAGCTGGTACATGCACTGTAAAAATAATTAGGTATATAGGATTTGACACTGATACATGTTATTATTCTCGAATGGTCCAAGCTATAGTCATTAACAGTCTACAACAGTGGTTCGTGCATGGTGTGCAATGTTGTACTGTAAAAATCTGGCGTAACTTACCAGTCCCTGTGGATATGAACACCCAGCTGACTTCGTTGGCTCCCGCTGATCACTGTGACCCACCCCAGCCATGAAATATGGTGCCTTGGCACATGCCAACCAATTTGTTGGTAACGTTTAAGCCGATTTATAATATATTACCTTTTAAATGTACTTTTTCAATTGTAATGGTTATTCATCCACTTTATTTCAAGAATTTTAAGAGGCAATTAATTGTAAAATGGAAGCTTTGTCCAGTGTGGCAGCGAGCCCATGGTCAATGAGAATAACTTTTGTGGACCACTGAACCACCCATGTCTTGGGGACCTGAAAACTGACACGTGGCTTTGCCAAATAAACAAGTGCCTTACAACACAGCCCTTTTTAAAGAAATCATTTATTCCCCTTCCTGTTACCAATGTAGATGTTTAAAGGATTAAAATGACGGTTTGTGCATATTAAATGTAGTTAATCCGATGGTTAATTTTATGTAGCGTTCATGAATATTGTATCTCACAATCAAGACAAGCTGTGAAAGGCTGCCCGGGTGGTGTGCCGCTGCCAACAATTGCTCTGCAGTTCTGTACATTAAAGTATCGGCCAATTTAGTGTTTGTACATGTGGGAGGAAATGCGCTACTGGAGAAAATACCTATGCATCAGTCTGCACTTTTCTGTACTGCATTCTGCTGGCAAGCCAGGGTATTGCACTTCCATGCCTATGGGAAGGGAGTCTTGCAACATTTTTCCTGTGCCATCCATCAACCCTCGCCTCCAATGCATCACCACCTGGTGAGGGTGTGCCACTGGGGAGCGGTGAGTTTCCTGGGAAGGTGGCAGTGCTGGGTGAGCAAAGGCATGTGTAACCTCTAACTGTAGATGGTGCTGTAGACACCGAAAGGAAATGAAACTCCACGAGGGTGCATAATTGGGGGTCATGAAGAGAACAATGCCCACCCAACTCTGCTTTCTCGTACTAAACTTGGATTCAGGTTTAGAGGCAATCCCCACCCTCCAACAGAATCAAGCAACACAGCTGTGATACGATACCCGTAAAGCTTTATTTGAGCCAGACGCATCAGCCCACAATGGTGGTGGCTCCTTTGTCCCTTCATAACCAACCATTCTTCCAGACACCACATTCGAGCACGTAAACAACCCCGACCGCAGAATCTTGGCCGGCTCTGCAGTCTGCCCAAATTAATGCAGTGTTGTACTTTTACAGAGACCCAAATTATGTTTCCAACCACGCTGTTAAAATTAGTGAGGACATTTCTGCATGTAGCATTGTGCAAGGCATTAATGTTCACTTATCTGATTTGCTTTTCGCAACGTGAATTTACGGTTTAAAACATGTATTCATGTTAATGCATTATTTTGCTCGCCTTAAAATCTGAAGCACAGGAGTGTACTGACATTGAAGATGGAGGGGCAGGGTCTTTTTACGATTCCTGTAACATTAAGATTCGCAACAACTTTGGTCCTCAGTATTTTGTGCGACACAGCTCTGCATGTTTTCCCCATTTGGGACGTTTTCTGGGTTACAACGACAATTGTGAATTTTAGTAAGGGGTAACTTATTGACAGGCACCATGTGTAAACTGAGGAACTTAAGAACGGCTCCCCACTTGCAAGAGAAGTTCAAAGTATGAGAATGACAGACCTAAAGTGGATCCAAACTACTTTTGGTTTCGCATCCTTAGTTTGTTTTATTCCCCTTAAGCCAAGACACTGTCCTCATGGATTGGAGGGGACCAGTGGATTAGCATGGGCGAGTACTGGCGGTGGACCTCTGCATCCATTATCCATGTCCCATCGTGGTGCAAACGCTGTGGAGGAATCCAACAGAGGCTAAAGGGCATGGTTGGCTTGTCCTGTCATTGCTGTAATCAGGTCGGCCCACGTGGTAGAACGGCATGAAGGCGTGAGTAACATTGGTTACTTCCTCCGCCTCTCCTTAACACTTCTGCAAATGGTATCGTTTAAAACATTCCCACGATAACTATCCAGAACATTCATAACAACATACAAACCGTGACATTTGAAAATAAAACCGTTTCCTTTTTTTGTTAGCATGTAGGTTCACGGTAACATTAATGTAACATTAGAAGCCGCCGGCAGTAAATAGATATTCTTGAAAAAATACTCTCCTTTAAAATTAGTGCACTGCGGGTAACCTTCAAGATTTAAAAACAAACCCGTGGAAACGCTGCGGTTAGCGTATGGCATGACAGTTTACAACTCAAAATCAAGTTTTAAAAACTCAGCAAGGTGCCGCTCTGTACAGAATACAAAAAAACACGACGGCTAACATTGCAGGCAAAGGCGCGTTTCAGGCAAGGCATGCTCGGGAGGGAAGACGGGGTTTGGCACGCAGTATTCGGGGTTTGTTTAGCAGCACCATCAACTCACTAGCATGCAGAAAATTGCCATTGTCTCCAGAAAAAGAATTTGGCACACATTCACTCCGGCTGTTTAGCATGCTGACTGCCTTCAACACAAGTATCCTAGCACCAAGCTTTGACAGGCCTGTGCATCTCAACTCAAAATTACGGAGCACTGCACATGTTTATCCATGCAGCAATGATAATGTGCAGTTTTAAACTGCATGGCTCTCGCTAACCGTTCAGCCCTGCAGCTGTGGGGAAGTTGAGAGTAGCGCAGTATTTCGAGCACATGTATCCTTCCAATAACTTTTAAAATTACGACATGCATTTTAACACACTGCAACATTTTAGTTTTTTGATCAACATGTGCAGGCCCCTGGTGCTTCACTTTAAATTTTTAAATGAATTAAAAAAACACTGAATTTGAAGGAAATGGTTACGTATCGGTTCCCCTTTAAAAAACGGAGGCAGCAGCAGCAAGCGAGCCAGCCAGCCATGGCGATCCTCTTAAACGGAGGACACGTGTGCCCGTCAGGGCGTTAGCTGTCCACCACCATGTCCGCGGCCCTGAAAGGCTGGAACCGGAAGGTGGAGCTGCTCACGTAGTCGACCCTCAGGGCGGGTGGGCATGCGGGCCTTCCCATCGCCCCGCGCTCGGCCATCAGCTCGGCCAAGTGTCTCACGATGTGCGCGTCGTCCGGGAGGAGACCCAGGCGGGAGCCGCACCACTCTGTGACGGCGCCGCGCGGCAGGGCCTCCGCTTCGTCGGCGGCCCCGCTGCCCGCGGAGCGGCAGCGACCCCACAGGTGCGAGCGCAGCACGAAGGCCTTGGACGAGAGCTCGGCGACGATGGCGCCCGCGCGCGCCAGGTACGCCCGGTTACCGGCGAGGGAACGTCCGTGCAGGCCGGAGAGGTTGGCGAGCGCGGTGCCCTGGTACAGCGGAGTCGTGAGCGTGCCACTCGCCGTGTCCAGCACCGACACGTAACGGCGGTAGCGCAGGAGGGCGTCATGCACCGCCTGCGAGCTGGAGGGGGGGGGTTTGGGATACACAAGTGGAGCCAGACCCGAGGTCAATTACAGCTGTAATTGTCACTCGTCATGAATTACATTCGCAGTGCAATTGTAATTTTAGCTGACAATACTGCTGTAGATCTAATTATAATTGACCCCAGGTCCTAAGTGGGACGCCGCTCAGATTGTCACGTTTACAGGAGCCCCTCGCTACCAAAACTGCATTGCAGCCCTCGACCTGAGCCCCATATACTTTTAATCTCTGCATTATTTGACTTTTGCTAACATCAAGTGTCCTGCCATCACGAAAAAACTGGTCATTGCCACCAAACTCCCCTCTTTCTATAACAACATGATCGACGTTTCACACAAGTCAAACAACGGGTGGAGATTTAAACATCAGTTCCAAGTGGTCACCTCTTCATGCCGACGAGTTTGACGGCGGCGATGTCGCTGATGCGCAGGGCATCCGTGCGCCACGGCTCTACGGCGGGACGACTGCGACGATGGCCGTGCCCACCACCGCCACCACGCCCGTGCCCTCTCCCACCGGCCGGCACGAAGGGAAGCAGCGCGTCGACGGTGCGGCGCGCCTGCGCCTCGCCCTCGGCCAGCACGGCCAGCGTGCGCCCGCTGAGCAGCGCGAACAGCACGTGCGTCACGGGCTTGCCGAGCCGCCTGGCCAGCTGCAGCGCGTCGAAGCCGTCGGCCGCAGGTGCCGGGGTCTCTAGCCCGCGGCTCAAGTGACTGCTGCTGCTGTCCGAGAATGTGTCTGAATGCGTCAGCAGCGGCGGACCGACAGAGAAGGGGGGGAGGACAAACGGAAAAAGTCAACATGCTGGTTATTTGAGCACGTAACGATTTTTAAATCCTTTATATTAAGTTCACTTGCTTGCGCGCTTACGACCGTGCAAATCTTTCGGTCGTTTTTTAACCCACTTCCCGTGATCCAATCGAGCTGACATTTTGCACACAGACTCGTTGTGCGTGACACTTTTTAGGAAAAAATAAATTATATTTAATTACCAATTGCTTAATGGTGGCAGGCAATCATCTGACCCATAGGTGGCAGCCATCTCAAGCCAGAGGACGAGAGGACTCTAGCTGCCACGCATATAAAGGATTTATAGTGAAAAACTTTGTTTTTACAGGTTAAATTTTTTTGTTTATCTTGTGACATGTCATGCCCAAGTCTGCTTGATATGTTCCCCAATCAATTCGCTCGTCTTTCATTTTCGGTGTAATTCCAAGCATGCATCTCTCCCTGCTTGTTAACACCCTTGAAAGCTTTTGTTTCATCCTCAAGTGTACATGTTTCTGATCCAATCTATCTCTCTTAACAACTCAGAATCTTTATTTATCCTGGAGAAATCCGATGAGCTATGAAGATCTTTTTCACAAATGTCGAGTAGGGGCGGGTCAGAAAGTTACAACAGCAAACAACATTTAACAACTGTTTCCTCAGTCAGCTTCTATGATAGATCAAATAGTTACTTTAAGTTATGAATGCGATGTTTTCTTAGTTTTTCATTGACATCTATTTCGACACTTAGTATGTTTTGCTTCAATAAAAGTTTGGTTACGTTTCTGTTGTTAAGCACTTAACTGCTATCTCAATTTAAAGTTTTTTTTATGGCAGTTATTAATTTTTATAAAGTTTTTACTGTTCCTGTACATGCTTTGATAATTCTGTGCTTCGGTATAAACTTTTGTATGATAAGTCTCCCATGACAGACTAGTAATTTGAATGTGCCATTTCCTGTGTATGCGCAGTTCCATGTATCCAGCAACTTCAGTCAATATTAAAAAAACGCATCTTAATACGACACATGGGGTGTAATTTTTAAAGTTTTAGAAAATGTGGTTTGACACAAAGTGAAGAAGCATGCACCAGCAGCATCCCAGCATGAATGAAAAAGTCAGTGGGTCCGAGTACATCGAACACTGGTATTCTATCTTAATTTTAGAGCTGTGGTATTCTCCAATAATGTCCACCTTAAGAAATCTGGACAACTGACCTCCATCCGAATTGCTGATCTAATTGATTCACATGCTAGGCCAGGGGTCGGAAATAAACATGACAAGAAGAGCCATTTTTTTTCTAATTCGGCACAAAGCTCAGTATTGAGAGCCGCAATGGATGTGAATACACGCATACATTACGTCACGAAGCAGCCCGTAAAGAGCCGCATGCGGCTCTGTGGCCGCAGGTAGCCGACCCCTGTGCAAAGGCCAAAGTCGAAGGCCACTTTCACGATCTCCCGCATTTTGCAGGCGTCTCCAAATCATGGAGCCGCCCTTCCGGAGGTTTAAAACGCGAGCCGCAGACTCACCCTGCAGGGAGAGCGAGAGCTCCTCCCCGTTCGGCGGCTCCCGCTCGTGCACCCGCAGTTCTTTCCCGCCGCCTTCGTTTGCACCAGCGTCTGGGCACCAGCCCAACTCCTCGTTCTCCGCCTCCTCAGCGAGGGTACCGATGATGTTGCCGTTGTTTCTTCCGTCGTCGTCATCACCGCAGCCACAGTCTTTATCCATGTAGCCGTCGCACGAGTAGAAGATGAGGGAGGAGGGTTCGTCACCCTCGACGCTGCAGACCCCCGCCTCGCCCACCGTCTCCTCTGCGATGGAGTCGGGCGGCGCCTCCATGACGTAGGACGGCGCCGGTGACAGCGCAAAGGCGGTGGAGCCGAGCACCTCGATGCTGTCCTCGCTCACATTCCTGTGCACGGAGTGCGAGCGCCGTAGCTCGTACAGCCGAGGGGCCCAATCGGGACCGCTGGGGCCTGACACCGGTACCAATGCCTCCACCGCCTCCTCCTCCTCCTCCGCTACCTCCTGCTCACGCCCCTCATCCCGGTCCTCTTCACCCTCTTCGTCCTGCTCCTCCTCTGTGGCTGCTGCCACCACCTACGCATCAGAGACGCACGCACATACAATGTACAGACTCGCATACTTGGTGTTTTGTTCCTGCTTCTGTGACTGCTGTCAGTGTAGTGGTGAGGTGTTGAATGCGATGCGTGTTACAGTCTGCAGACTGTAACACGCATTGTTGAAACAAATTTTCACCCCGATCGTGGGGGTTAGTAAATTTTAAATGACAGTACATTACACTTGTGCTATCGCAACCAGGCCATGAGGTGAATAACTTGTGATTCGGAGCTCACGATGTGAGCGGCGCATCGCCTTGTTGAACGGCCCCAGTATATGGAATCACAACTAATTCTGGAGCTCCTTCCCCGAGCCCCTCATCAAACCAGGGACACACACCTTATATTCCCTGCAAGACATGTCCAATTAAGTTAAAACCAAATGTAAGTGGTTTTTTTTGCGCTCATTGGGCTGACACCAACTCACTCCGCTTGATAACTCGAGTTTAATCATTCTTGTGCACTGTAACGACGTGGCCTGGTGTTGGTCAGCGTGGCCGTGGGTTCGTACCCCTGCGTCCTGCGGCCACTCCGTCCTCAGCACCTCGATGCTGTCGCCGCTGCCCGCACTGCCCACACCCTCGGTCTGGGGCAGCAGCGGCGGAGGCGGCGTCGGCGACGGAGGAGGCCCAAGCGCGGTGGAGGTCCCCCCCCGCGTGACGCTGATGGGCACGCTCTCCACGCACGACGCGTACGACTCCAGGCTGCACGCCGCGACTGCCGACGTGCGCCGGTGGTGCCAACTGTCGACGCACCCCTTCGCCACGTCACCGTCGTCGTTACCGTCGGCGCCATCATCTTCATCTGGCTCCTCTTCCCCGGGGCTCCCTGCACCCAATTCGGGGAACAGGCGCTCGCAGTCGCTGGCCGCGAAGGCGTGAAGCCACAGGTCGGAGTGGACAAAGGCCAGTTGGGCCGTGTCAGCCCGGTAGCGCCGCTGCAGCTCGCTCAGCAGCTCCACGCCCCGCTCGAAGTGCAGGCTGCCGCACAGCTCGCGCATGCTCTTGAGCGTCTTCTCCGCGCCCTTGCAGCTCCTCTGGCGGTAGTACTTGGGTGTGTACGCAGCGCCACCGTTGGCCGTCGGCGCCGCGTCGCCCACCGCACACGAGGCGCCACGCACCCGGTTCAGCAGCTGCCTGTGGTCAAAGAGCAACCGCTCCACGTTGCCCAGCTCGTTGGACTGCTCCACGGCGGCCGCGGTGCACACGGGCAGGCGCTGGGCCGGTGGCCCCATCGCTGCTGCCGTTGCGGTCGCCGCGTTCACAGCTCCTCCACGTCGCTGCTGTTGTTGTTGCTGCTGTTGTTGCTGCTGTTGCTGCTGCTGTTGTTGCTGCTGCTGCTGCTTCGGGTCATCCCTGCGCAGCAGCTCGGCCTTGGTGAACTCGAGATCCTCCAGGAGCTCGGAGACGGAGCGCGAGAACTCGCGGCGGTTCCCCTGCTTGAAGCACTCGGAGGCGCGCTCGAAGTCGGCGGCAAGGCGCTCGTAGGCGGGCAGCAGCTTGTGCTCGTCGGCCGTCACGTATGACATGCAGTAGGGCCGCACGAAGCCGCGCGCCTCCAGGTCGTAGAAGGTGAAGTGGTGGACGTATGCCGAGGCACCTTGCTTGAAGTCGCGCAGCAGGTGCTTGCTGTCGCGCGCCATATTGAGCGGGGGAGCGCCGCCGCCACCGCCGCCGCCGTCCGGGGAGTCGCAATCGGCACCGACGCTCACGGAGATGCTGCTGCCGAGCTGGTAGTCCACGGACATGACCCGCAGAGCAAAGTGGTTCTGGTCGAAGTCCCCGCCAGCGCCGTCGGGCACAGTGAGCACGGGCTTGGGTCCCACCACCTCGCAGAATTCGGTGACCAGCACGAAGTCGCCGTTGAAACTGCCGGGGGCCTCCCAGAGCGAGTCGAGGATGGGCACGGGGAGGCTGGCGAAGCAGCCCGGCAGCGACGACTCCAGGGAGGCCGAGGCCACGCGCTCCTGGTAGCGACTGGCGCCGTCATCGTCGTCGTCGTCGTAGTAGTCACCGTAACCGTCGTCGTAGTAGTAGCCGCCGAATTCCTCTCCCCTGCACCGGTCCATGCCGAGGCCATCGTCGCCGAAGGGGCCGACGCCGTCTCCGAAGATGTGGGCGGTGACCTCTGGAGCAGCGAACATTGTCGTCAATTCATTGCAGCACCGTGCAGCCGGGAGGGGGGAGATGGGGGTTAAATGTTTGTTTTGTGGTTTAAAAATAAATCTCCGAAGCGGGAAACACGAGACGCGGTTCTTCTCTCTCCTTTGTCTGAAGCCACACGTGGCGCCCGCAGGGCTTTATCGGAAATTTGACCTCGAAGTTTAATCGCGATTTGTTGAACGGACGACCAGACCGGGCTCTTTACGCGATGTGGCCGCGGGCGCTTTGCGTTTTTCTTGCAATAAAACGGTCTTAGATCCGCCAAGGGAACCGCGTCGGCTGGCAACGTGTAGAACGACAGAAAATAACAAACAAAAGAAACAGCCTCTTATTCGTGGAGACCACGCGTGGATACGTGCGCCACCAAGATGGGCTTCGTGAACACGAGGGTGCCCTCTGTCGTCTCCATCGTTACGTCCTCCATCACCGTCGCCGCCATCCTCATCATCCTCATCGTCATCTCCTCCATCACCGTCCTCGTCGTCGTCGTCACCAGCGGCGGCAGGTGCGATCGGAGCGGCTCGTCTTACCGGCGTGGAGGCGGCGGTGACCTCCGTCTGCTCCCGGGGCTGGGGCGAGCATGGTCGCCGATCTCCCCTCCTCCACTCTGAAGACGAAAGAGAGAAAAGCCACCGGGGGGCAGAGGATTCTTAATGAAGCGCAGTCGCCATCGAGAGGGGGGGGAAGATTCGTTCAGCTGTTTGCAAAAACACGCCCGGATAAAGTAATGCTTAAATAGTAAACAAAAACTACGGCTTTTTTTCTTCTTGGTTCTTTCGGTAAAGTCACGTAGAAGGGAAATAATAAAATAATAAAAGGAAAACATAATAAAATATTGTATTATTTCCCTTCTACGTGACTTTACCGAAAGAACCAAGAAGATGAATCCCTGCAGTCACGAAAGCTTTAAATCGAAATTTAAAAACTACGGCTGAGTATTGAAATGATTGAGATGATTGAGAGCGATATAAGCAAGCAGCTTTGAGATGTTGGGGGGGGGGGGCATTTAATAAGCGACAAATACACACACACACATCCTTGGCCCGAAATCTCATAATTAGTTTAAGAGAAAGATCCGCTCGCTTTAACTGCTGCTTATGATTAGTAACAAGCGTTGATGGTGTATGGCGATCACGGTGGTGTATGATGGATGTGTGTAATGGTGATGAGGTTTGATGATGGTGTTCTCGTCAGCGGCGGTTGTTGATGTTTGTTATGTTGATGATTGTGTTAGTGACGATGTTCGTGATGGATGTATGTTGAACTTCTTTCGCACCGTACGAAGCAAACTGTACGGTCGAAGGACAATAAAAAAACAGGTCAGCGATGTTGACGATGTGAATGGCGTTGATGAGCGTCAATGTAATACGAGATGTTGATTTTGGCGATGGTGATGTATGTTGCTAGCGACGTGAGCGGTGATGTTGATGATACTAATCCGTGATGGTGGCGTTCGGTCGTAATGTTAGTCGTGATGCGGATCGTGTTCGTGGTGATGATAATGTAAGTAGTAGTGATGATGGCTGTGATGATGTTAGTAGTAGTGATGGTGGCGATGGTGGTGTAAGCAGTAGTGACGATGGTTGTTGATGGTTATGATGTTCGTAGTCGTGATGATGGCGTAAGCAGTAGTGATTGTTGATCGTGATGTTAGTCGTGGTGATGGTAATGTAAACAGTAGTGATTGTTGATTGTGATGTTAGTAGTGGTGATGATGGTGTAAGCAGTATTGACGATGGTTGTTGATGGTGATGATGTTAGTAGTAGTGATGTTGATGTAAACAGTAGTGATTGATGGTTGTTGATGGTGATGTTAGTAGTAGTGATGGTGATGATGGTGTAAGCAGTATTGACGATGGTTGTTGATGGTGATGATGTTAGTAGTAGTGATGTTGATGTAAACAGTAGTTATTGATGGTTGTTGATGGTGATGTTAGTAGTAGTGATGGTGATGATGGTGTAAGCAGTATTGACGATGGTTGTTGATGGTGATGATGTTAGTAGTGGTGATGGTGGTGTAAACAGTAGTGATGTTGATGGTTGCCGATGGTGATGATGCTAGAAGTAGTGATGGTGGCGATGTTAGTAATGATAATGTTGGTGGTGATGTTGATGATGTTGCCGTTGAACAGAGAACACGCCACCATCACCTCATCACCATCATCCTCCCTCACCGCATCTCTCACTGCCGAGCGCGCCGCTAGACGAGAGGGGTGAGGAAGACGCCCGCCGCCGCCATCTTACGTAGGGAGACCCCCCCCCTCCACGTGACCTCGGCGTGGGGGAGGGGGGGGCGTGCGATCGACTACGTCATCAAATTGCGACGCGGGATTCTCATTGACCGCGAGTTACGCAACCACCCCGTCGCCCCTACGTAAGATGGCCGACGTCTACCGCGATGGAGTGACGTTGGCAAATCAGCTGTGGGGGAGGGGGGTGTGGCTCTTTGCCGTGACGTCACAAGATCCCAGTCCGTAAGCAAAATAGGAAAAAGCTGAATACTGTTAGTTCTTTCGGTAAAGTCACGTAGGTAAAAATGAAATTAAAATTAATAAAAATAAAACAATAAAATCACGACGTTTCGGAGACTTGTGTTGCCTCCGAAACGTCGTGATTTTTTATTGTTCTATTTTTATTAATTTTAATTTAATTTTTTACCTACTTGACTTTACCGAAAGAACTAAGAGTATGGAATCCTTGCAGTCACGAAAGCTTCAAATCTAGGGAAAAAAAAGCTGAATCTTGAGTTGAAGCTTTAGGGGCTGCAGGGATTCATACTCTTTGGTTCTTTCGGTAAAGTCACGTAGGTAGAACAAATAATAGAAGACGATTGCTCGTGTGGCGATCTAAACGTCGTGATCTATTATTTTTTCTACCCACGTGACTTTACCGAAAAAAAACAGAGGAAGAATAAGCTGGTTTATACACTTTCTGCTGGCATTAAAACAGGAATCGTGTTAAGATGTTCAAACATCAAATAGATACGTTTTTTGCAAGGAATCTGGTACTGACATTAACCACACGCACAGCACTTGTGGTGAATATGCAAACAAACACGGCTCTGATGAAGTATGATGCATTGCTACTCTTAGGTTTTTTCGGAAAAGTCACGTAGGTAAAAAATTTAATTAAAAATTGATAAAAGTAATAATAGAAATAAAATAATAAATCACGACGTTTCGGAGGCAACACAAGATTCCAAGATACGTATCTTGGAATCTTTCCCTAACTGGATACAGTAAATTCAGCTGTGACGGTCCCACCTGATGACGGAGACTTGTGTTGCCTCCGAAACGTCGTGATTTATTATTTTATTTTTATTATGACTTTTATGAATTTTTTTATTTAAATTTTTTCCTACGTGACTTTACCGAAAAAACCTAAGAGTATGAATCCTTGCAGTCACGAAAGCTTCAAATCTAGAATGATACATTGCCTTTGAAACGGATTGTCCTATTCCTGCAGCATTCTTTATGGCTCAGTCTCACTGCCAGAGGACAACGTCTAAAGGCGTAATGGGAACTTTTTGGCCAATATCAAAATATGAAAAATTACTCTTTGGTTCTTTCGGTAAAGTTTACCCGTTCTGGCAATACAACTGGAGTCGTGTTACGATGTTCAAACACCAAATGGCATCTGAATTAACCACACAGAGTCGTTGTGGTGAACATGCAAACAACAGACATGGCTCTGATGAAGTATGATGATGCATTGTCTTTGAAACTGATTGACCTATACCAGATAGACAGACTTGTTCTTTATAGCCTTGTCTCACTGCCAGTGTCAGACCAGAGAATTACGCTAAAAGGCGAACAGGACAAGGGCAATGCACTATCAGCATTTATAGCTCGGGGTGAGTAGACACAAAATGGACCTTTTTGCCAGTGTCAAAGTATGAATAAATAAGAATCGTTTTACCCTTATTCTATTCATGATCAAAGTATGAAAAACAATCTGATTTACACTTATTCTTATTTTTTTATGCTTTGATACTGCCAAAAAGATCCCGTTCGTCGCTGCCTGCTTCAAACAAAAACATCCTCATTGGCTCACGCCGGCGGCCACGTGGGTCAAACGGACGCGGCTCCAGGTGCCGCACAGATGGATTTAAGAACCCATTTAAATACTGCACTTACTTCTCTGAGCCATGTATCGAGGGGGGGGTCAAAAATCGTCCAAAATTGCGTGACGTTATTTATGTACAGCCCCTAATATTATGGTAATATATTATGGTAAAATTACCAGAGCATGTTTTTTGTTAGCATGTTCACCACAAGGTAATGTGTGGTTAATGCAGACATGATTCCTTCCAAAAGGGCTATCTTTGGTGTTTTAACACCTAAATACCTCCATAAAAGATATAAAACCTAATTATCGTATGGGGGGGTGGGGCGGGTGATTGACAGGTCGGTGAATCAGAGGGCGGGACTTGACGCCACGCCCCCCCTCCCCGCGGCCTCTTCGTGATTGGCTACCGGCCGCGGTGACGTCACGAGATTGACAGCTCGCCGCCTTCCGCCACTTCCACAGCCATTGCCGGGCGAGGTTCGCGTCGACTGCCCAGAGTCCGCGAATCGCTCGCAAATTCACCACCATCACCAACAACAACACCACCAACAACATCACCACCATCAACAACAACCAAGCACGAAGCGATCCCGGTAAGAGGTCTTTAAACGTGTTGGGCCCTCCACTCCACAGCCACCGACGACGGCTTCGCTATTGAAGTCGAACGCGGAAACGGCGTCGACTCTCTCGGGGGGCGTTGGCCCGGGCCGCCGTCGCCGCCGCCGCCGTCGATTTAACCCCCCACCACAGCCACCTTGGTATCATTGCGAGAAACAAAATTGTCCTTCTTGTTGCCCGAGACCAGAGGTCGCAAACGGGTTTTGTTTCCGTACCCGTACCCGGCCGCACCAGGGTCGCATAGGGGTACGGGTACCCGGCCGGGTACGGGTACCCGTACCCTACCCTACCCGAACTCTACCCGTACCCTACCCGAAATGAGTGACAAACGTCTTCTTGGTTCTTTCGGTAAAGTCACGTAGAAGGGAAGTAATAAAAGAATAAAAATAAAACATTATTTTATTATGTTTTATTTTTATTCTTTTATTACTTCCCTTCTACGTGACTTTACCGAAAGATTTCGATTTAAAGCTTTCGTGACTGCAGGGATTCATCTTCTTGGTTCTTTCGGTAAAGTCACGTAGAAGGGAAGTAATAAAATAATAAAAATAAAACATAATACAATCAAATAATTATCACGACGTTTCGGCTACAACGCAAGCAGCCATCTTCAGGTGAAGAAAGAACCAAGAAGATGAATCCCTGCAGTCACGAAAGCTTTAAATCGAGTGACAAACGGCGACTCACCAGTGACTCACGGCCTACCTGTACCCGTAGCCGGCCGGGTACGGGTAGCCGGGTATCGGGTAGGGTACGGGTATCGGGTAGGGTACGGGTATCGGGTAGGGTAGCCGGGTATCGGGTAGGGTACGGGTATCGGGTAGGGTACGGGTATCGGGTAGGGTACGGGTATCGGGTAGGGTAGCCGGGTATCGGGTAGGGTACGGGTATCGGGTAGGGTACGGGTATCGGGTAGGGTACGGGTATCGGGTAGGGTAGCCGGGTATCGGGTAGGGTACGGGTATCGGGTAGGGTACGGGTATCGGGTAGGGTAGCCGGGTATCGGGTAGGGTACGGGTATCGGGTAGGGTACGGGTATCGGGTAGGGTACGGGTATCGGGTAGGGTAGCCGGGTATCGGGTAGGGTACGGGTATCGGGTAGGGTACGGGTATCGGGTAGGGTACGGGTATCGGGTAGGGTAGCCGGGTATCGGGTAGGGTACGGGTATCGGGTAGGGTACGGGTATCGGGTAGGGTACGGGTATCGGGTAGGGTAGCCGGGTATCGGGTAGGGTACGGGTATCGGGTAGGGTACGGGTATCGGGTAGGGTACGGGTATCGGGTAGGGTAGCCGGGTATCGGGTAGGGTACGGGTATCGGGTAGGGTACGGGTATCGGGTAGGGTACGGGTATCGGGTAGGGTACGGGTATCGGGTACCCGGTTGCGACCTCTGCCAGAGACTGTTGTGGGAAGGCATGGGTGGAAAAAAAAAACCGATTTTTCCAGCGGCAGGCAATCGGGTTTTTTCTTTAATACAATTAAACCCGATTTCGTGGGAATTAAAACCTGGCTTAATGAATACGAAACTCTGATCCAAGGCTTAGGCTGCTTCCTCGTCGGTGCTGCTGTCGTACTCGGGGGGGGGGGGGGGGGGCCGTCAGGCACGGGGTAGTCGTAGAATGCGGCGGGCAGGTTGGTCTTGATGAACACGAGGAGCTTCTCCACCACAATCGTGGGCACTGCCAGTGAGTTCCTAGCTTGGAATGGATGAAGCCCATCGTTGAGAAGTGCGGTTCTGCAATTAGAACCAATAAAACCGGATTTCTCCCAATCTCAGATGATCGGGTTTAATATAAAAAGACAATTAAACCCGATTGTAAAAAAAAACCCGACTGTGCCACCCTTGTGGGTAGGGCGCCAAGTTGCTGTGAACGATCAGCAGCAGCAGCAGCCGCCGCTGATGATGATGATGATGGCCCGGCAACGGCACAACGAGGCAGAGGGGGGTGGGGTGGTCAACAACCACGCCCGGCCGCCTTTGTCTCCCCCACCTCCCACACACCCCACCACCACCACCACAGTGGCGATGGGTATTACTGCACACCGTGCGTGGTGCTCGCCCCACAGCACTTTGCCCCACGGGGTTGAGACCTTTTGTTTAGCCCCGTGTTGTAACAAATTGACTGTGAAATAGAGATGTGGCAATGACAAAATGTAACCTTATGTGGGTATGTGGATATACTTGGGCTGTTTTTATATATAGTATAAATTGATTATCTTTCATTTAATTTTATTTTTATTTTCTTGTTTTATTTAATTTAAATTTATGAATGATGCCCTGACTGGTGAGCATTTTAAATTTCGTTGTACTGGTGACAATGACAATAAACGATCTATCTATCTATCTTTGCATCGTCGTTACGTCGCGGGGAGATGGCGGATCACCGTGCCGGCCCTCTCGTCCGGCCAACAGTTGCTGGATCATGGTGCATACAACGGATGGTGGTGGTGATCGTGAAGACAGCGATGCTCGTCTGCCGCCGTCATCATCATAATCAATGATTGCTTTTGGGATTGAGCCGCAGGGCGTGGTGCACCTCTTCTTGTGTGGTGTTTGCACTCCCGTTGTAAACCCACGTGGCGTAGCCCCCCCGTGTTGTTGTAACAGGGAATTTTGATTTGCAGGTCCATACGGCGGTACAAGCCGTTTCAATGCGGGCTAAACATTATGATTGTCTATTTGTTTGTGTTTCTCCCATGTCATCGTACTTTGTGGGATGAACGTGGAGATGTATAGGGGGACACGGGGTGACCAGTAAGGTCTGAATTGGTCTGTGCTAAGGTAGGGCACTGGTAAGGGGTTGAACGGGTATGTGTTTGTCTCCGAGCGCGGCTTAAATATAAAAAAGTAATAAACTTGTAGGCGGCTAATACGACGATAGGGGAAGTGGCCCGTTCGATTCGATTCCTCGTCACTAGTTAGCGCAGATTTCCGATTCAAGAATCGATTCATTCGATCCGACGTGCATGTCGCTACTGTGCTGTGTGGGAGCAGCGGTGGCGTAGCGCTAACCACTACACCACCGCTCCCTCATGTAGCGCTAACCACTACACTACCACTCCCCCCCCATGTAGCGCTAACCACTACACCACCGCTCCCCCCCCCCCCATGTAGCGCTAACCACTACACCACCGCTCCCCCCCCCCCCATGTAGCGCTAAACCTAACCACTACACCACCGCTCCCCCCCCCCCCCATGTAGCGCTAACCACTACACCACCGCCCCCCCCCCATGTAGCGCTAACCACTACACCACCGCTCCCCCCCCCCCATGTAGCGCTAACCACTACACCACCGCTCCCCCCCCCATGTAGCGCTAACCACTACACCACCGCTCCCCCCCATGTAGCGCTAACCACTACACACGCTCCCCCCCCCCCCCCCCATGTAGCGCTAACCACTACACCACCGCTCCCCCCCCCATGTAGCGCTAACCACTACACCACCGCTCCCCCCCCCCCCCATGTAGCGCTAACCACTACACCACCGCTCCCCCCCCCCATGTAGCGCTAACCACTACACCACCGCTCCCCCCCATGTAGCGCTAACCACTACACCACCGCGCCCCCATGTAGCGCTAACCACTACACCACCGCCCCCCCCCCATGTAACGCTAACCACTACACCACCGCTCCCCCCCCCCCCCCCATGTAGCGCTAACCACTACACCACCGCTCCCCCCCCATGTAGCGCTAACCACTACACCCACCGCTCCCCCCCATGTAGCGCTAACCACTACACCACCGCTCCCCCATGTAGCGCTAACCACTACACCACCGCTCCCCCCCCCATGTAGCGCTAACCACTACACCACCGCTCCCCCCCATGTAACGCTACGAATCCCAGCTGCCCGAGTTCGATTCCCACTCACGGCCAACACCGGTGACGATTATTAGCTGAACCGGTTTCTGGGCCTCCCCAAGATCGACTCGGCCTCAAATGGGTACCTGGTGCGGGTTTGTGTAAACATTTCTACTGGGGAAGACAAAGGCGGCCGGGCGTAGCCACCCCACCCCCTCGTGTGCCGTGCCGGCCTTCATAGGTGCTTGCTAACGGCACTTGCCCCGAGCAGTCTGTGTAGGCTATACGGGGGATCTTTGTCTTTGTTTGTTTGGTGCTGTTGGTAGTGGATGCGTGGTCACGTCAATCAGTTGTCGGTGGTAGTGGGGGGGTCAGGCTGCGGCATCGATACCGTGCAGGATAAAATTTCGAATATGTGCGGGGAAACACAACATTAAATAAATGCTTTATCGACAGTGCTGCCATTTTAAGGACGCAGAATCATTGACAAAACGCGTTGATGTTTTTGGTTTTTATTGACTCTGCGTTTGTCCGTGAAGCGTCACTCGCATCTGAGCTCAGATTTGCACAAACCTATTATTCATCGCCTGCAGCTGCTTTGTCCACATCCGAGCGAGGAGTTGCGCAAATAATTCAGACGGCGCGCATTCACGATTGTGACGACGAATCGCAACTCGTAGATGCGCCCATGATCGAAATGCGTCGCTACAAATCGCCGGTCAGATCGCTTTAAAGTGGTGTCCGCTTAAACACACAACCAGTTGCGTGCGACGTCAGTTGCGCGCAACTGGTTGCACGTAGATGCGACGTCAGTTGCGTGCGACGTCAGTTGCGCGCAACTGGTTGCACGTAGATGGGACGTCAGTTGCGTGCAACTGGTTGCGCGTAGAAGCAACTGGTTGCGCGTTGAAGCGATGTCAGCAGTTGCGTGCAACTAAGTTGCACGACTTACCGCCCCATTGTGCACCCGGCCGCTTTCGAATCGACGTATCGCCGTCACTCGCCTGTTACGTGAGCTGGGCCCACCGTGACCGCTGTCGCCCTGCCCTCTCCCATTCCCTTTGTCTGTGCCTTTGTGTCGTGCACAGCAGCGAGTGGAAACCAGACTCCGTCCAACGTGCACCATGTCTCAGTACAGCTTCCTGCTGGAGCCCATCTCCTGCCACTCGTGGAATAAAGACCGCACACGTGAGTCGGCTCACGGCGTTGGCGCCAGCTCGCCGCGGCCAGCGCCACCCACTGCTTGGCACCGCCGCTGCCGCTCCGTTAGGAACCGCCGCCCGGCGTGCGTAGCCTCCCGCGCCGACAACACCGTTTGCAGATCACGTGGCATCTTATTGCAAAAGCAGTTGATGATGAGTTCCAAACGCACATTTGTCGCTGAACCCGTGCGGCTCAAAGGGAGCGGGAAATCCCGGCTCCAGCGTCACAATTAGCGAGTTCACTAAATTGTGCGCGGCTTGGCGAGACGGCATGGTTGTTATTTTGTGTGTTTTGCGGAATCGCGATGGTGGGTTTGTAGGTGCATAACAATTAATTGATTCGCGTGGTTCTAATGCTCGCTTCAGAATTCCCTGCGACTTGCTCGCACGAAGTGAAGATGTTTAACTTAAGTCCGCGGAACTAACGAGGTGGACGGTGCAAGAGCAGCGAGACCAACAGTATCAATGGAGGTGGCACAAACAAGACAAAAACAATTGATCGGTCGAACAAGACCCTGAAATCTCGTGAACCTTGCGAATCGCTCCACTCATCGCCGTGTGCGCCAGCGTCTCCGCAGGCATCGCTACTCGAGCTGAAATGAGAGAAGCGAACATGTGACTCGGGGTTCCAGCCGCGGCGCGATCCGACCTGACCGTGCGTTTTGATCTCTTCGGTTGCATCTCCGTCCATGTCCCTCTCCGCACCCGAACCCTCGCCCACTTCCTGCTTCTCTCTGCCGCTCGGTCGCAGAGTTGGCGCTGAGCCCCAACAACCACGAGGTGCACATCTACCAGAAGAGCGGCACCCAGTGGAACAAGCTGCACGAGCTCAAGGAGCACAATGGGCGCATCACCGGTCAGTACCAGCCCTCGCCATCACTCCAGCCCTCGGCATAGCCCCAGCCCTCGGCATAACGACAGCCATAACCGTAACTCTAGCCTGCACTCGCCGTAATTCTGCCCCAACATCTACCCTAACCCCTATGCCCTACCATAGCCCTTACCTTAGCCCTTACCTTAGCCCTTACCTTATTGCTAACCAAGCGCGAGCTCTAACCCTCTCCCACGTACCTGACTTCCTGCTCGCTTTTGTGCACCACCTCCTCCACCCTCCACCCATGAACCCCGACCTCTCTCCTTCCCCACCCCCACCTCCTCCACCCTCCACCCATGAACCCCGACCTCTCTCCTTCCCCACCCCCACCTCCTCCACCCTCCACCCATGAACCCCGACCTCTCTCCTTCCCCACCCCCACCTCCTCCCGTCTCCCACCTGCTCCTACCTTGACCCCCCCCTCAACCCTCCCGCCCTCCCACCTCCTCCTGCCTCCACCCATGAACCCCGACCTCTCTCCTTCCCCCCCACCTCCTCCTGTCTCCCACCTGCTCCTACCTTGACCCCCCCCCCAACCCTCCCGCCCTCCCACCTCCTCCTGCCTCCACCCATGAACCCCGACCTCCTTCCCCCCTACCTCCACCTCCTCCCATCTCCCACCTGCTCCTACCTTGACACCCCCCCCAACCCCCTCGCCCTCCCACCTCCTCCTGCCTCCACCCATGAACCTCGACCTCCTTTCCCCCCACCTCCACCTCCTCCCACCCTCCCACCTCCTCCTGCCTCCACCCTCCCCGCCTCAGGCATCGACTGGGCGGCGCAGAGCAACCGCATCGTGACGTGCGGCGCCGACCGCAACGCGTACGTGTGGACGCTCAAGGACGGCGCCTGGAAGCCGACGCTGGTGATCCTGCGCATCAACCGCGCCGCCACCGCCGTCAAGTGGTCGCCGCAGGAGAACAAGTTCGCCGTGGGCAGCGGCGCCCGCCTCATCTCCATCTGCTACTTCGAGGAGGAGAACGACTGGTGAGGAGGGCGGGGAAGGCCGCCGGCCGACCCAGCGAAGTTGCCGTCTGGTTTTTTTGTAAAATGTTCCGTCGCCGTTGCTGCCGCCCGTCGCCCTAGCCCTGCCGCGACGGCCAATCGGAAAAGTTTGTTTGGCGGAGGCTCGCGGCCGCCGCGGGTTTACGACGCGGTAACGGCGGGGCGCACGACGTGAGCGTTGGTGGGAGAACGTGGGGGGGGGGGGGGGTGGATCAAGGTTAGGAATATGGTAACCAACCGTGCTAATCGTCGGTGTCTGTGTGTGTGCGGGTGTGCGAAGGTGGGTGAGCAAGCACATCAAGAAGCCCATCCGCTCCACCGTGCTCAGCCTGGATTGGCACCCCAACAACGTGCTTCTGGCGGCCGGCTCCTGTGACTTCAAGTGTCGGTGAGGGCACGCACACGCAGACACGCACGCACGAGCACACACACACAGACAAAGCTCCCTCCCCCCTTGTATGTAGACTCTTTAAGGTGTCGGGGCAAGTGCAGTTAGTGCTGTTCAGATGAATAAAAATGCATTGCGTTTGTGTTTTGAAGCCACGACGCCTAAACACGCTTTGATTGTGGTTGCTCTGGTCCCAGTGGCTTCCTTAGATGGGAAGGAAGAGCGTTCCAGACGGCCGCAGAAGCGGTTCTGAAAGCGAACGATGTGGTGACCGTCTTTGTTCGATGGGCTCGCCAAATGCTGCCGCTGCGAGGATGCCCCGAGTTCACGCGATGTTTTATGCTCCTTGACGAGATCGTTGGCGACGATGACCTGGTCTCTCTGTCTGTGCGTCCGCCCCTCGTATGCATCCGTGGTGGGCAGCATCTTCTCGGGGTACATCAAGGAGGTGGACGCTAAGCCCTCGCCCACGTCCTGGGGCACCAAGATGACCTTCGGCCAGGTGATGGCAGAGTTCGGCTCTGGCGCTGGCGGCTGGGTTCACAGCGTGAACTTCTCGGCCAGTGGGGAGCGGCTGGCGTGGGTCAGCCACGACAGCACCGTCTTCGTGTCCGACGCGGCAAAGAACATGGCGTGAGTGCCGCCTCCCATCCCCCCCCACCCACCATCCTCTCACCCACCCACCCACCCAGCCTACCTGTCCCGTCTCACCGTCGCGTGGTCGTGTGGCCGGTTTGCGATTCCTAAATTAAATTCGCTGCCCTGTGGCGGCTGTAGCTCTAAGCGACGTGTGTTCAGGTTGTACTGGAGACTGAACTGAAGCTCCCAGCACGTGAAGCGAAACGTTGGACATCATGCTCAACAGTGTACAGTACGACCCTGTATGCGTGTCTGTGTGCCTGTGCGTTTGTGCAGTGTGACTGAGCTGAAGACGGAGTATCTGCCGCTGCTGGCGCTGATGTTCATCACCGAGAACAGCCTGGTGGCTGCTGTGAGTCTCTCACATCATCCCCTGCTGAGCGCTTGCAGTCACCAGCATCACCACCATCAGCACCACCATCAGCAGCACCACCACCAACACCACCAACACCACCAACACCATGAGCACCATCAGCATCGCTACCACCATCACCAGCAGCTCCACATACACACAAGCACGGACAGCACTGCGGCAAGGCGGTTGGGCCTGGTGCTCGCCACCCGTCCCCCCTCGTGTGCCGTTCCGGACTTCATCGATGCGAACAGCACTTGCCACAACAGTCTGTTGAGGCTATACGGGGGATCTTTGTCTTTGTGCGCCGCCCCGGCAGGGCCACGACTGCTGCCCGCTGCTCTTCACGTACAACGGCAGCGCGCTGGCGCAGGGCGGCCGCCTGGACGTGCCCAAGCAGAGCTCCCAGCGCAGCCTCTCGGCCATGGAGCGCTTCCGCAACATGGACAAGCGCGCAGCGGCCGACGAGGGAAAAGCGGCGCTGGACACGCTGCACCAGAACAGCATCACGTAGCGTCCCGCACCCACCACCCCCGCCCCCCCATCCCCACCGGCACTGCACCTGTGTGTTCGTGTTTGCGCCTGTACACTTTGTACGTGTGTGCGTGCGTGCGGGGACCGGTGGTGTCGCGGTTAGCGCCGCTGCGCTTTGAACCCAGCGACCCGATGTCGGATTCTCGCTCAAGGCCCACACCGGTGACGATTATCTGAACCGGTAATGGGCCTCTCCCCTAGGTCGACTCGGCCTCAAATGAGTACATGGTGTGGTGTCTAAACATCGCCACTGGGGAGACGAAGGCAGCCAGGCGTGGTGTTGGTCACCTACCCCCCTCGTGTGCCGTGCCAGCCTTCATAGGTGCTCTTGCCCCAAACCTCTGCTAAGTCTATACGGGCGGTGGGGGGTCTTTGTCTCTGTGCGAGCAGGCAGCTGTCCATCGTTGCGGGCGACAAGAAGAGCTGCAGCAAGTTCTGCAGCACCGGCATGGACGGGGCCATGACCATCTGGGACTGCAAGGTGAGCGAGGCGGCGTGGTGCGGCGCGAAACTTTGGCTCGGCGTGATTGCCGATTCAGTTCTACCCGCCGCACATCACGACGGAGAGGACCGCCGTTGAGAACGCCGCGATTGGAATCCACCGGCCGTTACCACGGGGGCCCCGCGCTGGCTCGGCTCGGGCGGGGGGTGGGCTGATCGTCGTTCCCACACCGAGCGGTTTTTGATGACACCGTGGGGTGTCTTTGTTGTTTTTCAGAGCCTGGAGTCGTCCATTCAAGGGCTCCGCATCGCCTGAAGAGCGTCCGTCGCTCTCGGAGGAGAAACGGAATGAAATTCCCTTTTCTTAAGTCATTCCGGCGCACGCATGCTGCCACGCTTTATAATCGACATTTTTTTAATGTAACTAAAAAAAAATGAAAATCAAGCCCCCCCCCCCCCCCCCCCCCGCTTAAACGTATAAAACATCGGAGAGTAACGAACGCCACAAGGTCCAAGTGAGAAAATCCTGCGTACGTGAACCCTCCCGTGTAAATGTAACCTGTGCCAAATTAAAACGCATTTTTACAGCTTCTGGTGATCCGTGGTGTAATTGGGACGGGGGGGGGGTGAGAGTGGGCAGCAGTAGTCGCCATTGTCCAGACGAAGAAGAGGCACTGGGCCTTGGGGTAACGTTTTGCACACAGCGTTGTTGTACGGTGCTTTTTCTGCAATATTTTGCTGTCTTTTCTTGGATTTTCTGTTTGCACTTAGTCACATATTCACTTTAAGATGTTTTTTTGTTCATGTTTTTTGTTTGTTGCGGTTGCACCCGATTCAAGAGCCAAATGGCTCGCAGGGCTATACCTAATCAATGAACTTGAACGCTGCTGGGGCTTGACCACTGAGGACTCGGCCTCATGGAGCTGTGTAATTGAAGCAAATGAGACCAATCTTGATTTTAAGCTTTCGCGACTCCAGAATCAATACTCTTTGGCTCTTTCGGTAAAGTCACGTCAGTAGAAAAATAAAAGAAAAATATTTTTTATTTGATTATTAATTTCGTCAAAATTTTTATTTTTTATTTTATCTTTCTACCTACGTGATTTTACCGAAAGAACCAAAGAGTACAAATGAGACCAGGCTGCCTTAAACTCCTGGCAATATTGATCAGAAAGCTTACACTTGCAGATTTGAGTTCTCCAGATGGTGGTAGCTTGGCAAATAAGTGCGGTGCTGCTACACCATCAAAACACGTTCCTTCGGAGTGGGCAGGTAGGAACTTGGTTGGACAGCGCATTCGTGCGATCCGTGTCACAAGCTGCGTGGGGCGGTGCGTCACGTGGTGCTGAACCCGCCCAAAGCGCTCGGAAATATAAATCGAGGGTGTGGCGATGCACGACAGACAGACAAATAATCCCTGGTGGGCAGTGTGGAACTGTTGTTCCTACCTGTTGTATAATGCTTTGGAATATGTTCAGGACCTCTGTAAAATCTCTTCGACAATGTTCGAGGCTTGTGAAGTAAGGTCCATGGCCTGTCACTAAACACCACACTCAAACGCAATCCCATGTCCCACTACCACGACTGCCTGCAGTGTGTTCACGAAGCTCAGGCCATGTCAGTTTGTGTCTAGTTTTTATTCTTCATATGTATATATATTTATTTCGCAGCCGTACAAACGCAGACATTCCAACCCCTCCCTCCCCCATCAAGAAACAGAAAGATGCCTCCTTTTTCATAATTTGGCAAACGAAATGCGGTACATCATACACAAATGTACACAAAAAAACGCGCGCGGGGGGGCTTTACACGAGCAACGGCCTGAGCCGTAAAAAAAAACGAGGATACTCTCGAACTATTTGATACTTTTTGTCGTTGTAAAATTTATATTTTTAAAACACAGCAAAATTATGATTGCTTCTATTCCGCCAACAGCCAATGTCTGCGGAGGAGAGATGTGGACTGCCTGTAACTGTAACAAACCACATCCTCCCCCCACCAAAGGCTGTTACCGAACGCAACCTGATCTTTCCCTGCCGGTTCCTGCAGGGAAACGCGAGAGTAAAATTACAACACGAACATGCACGGCTGCGGAGATGGGGGGGGCAGAGCACGTGCGCGAACTAAGGGGGGGGGGGGCAGGGGAAGAGTCTCACTCCGCGTGATTCTCAGAAGATCGACGTCGTGGACTCTTCTCGGCGCCAACGAGCGACGCGTCATCCCCTAAAAGAACACCCCTCCTGCGAGAGGATGCGACCAGTTTTAGTTTTTGTGTTATTGTTTAAATCCGCACAAATACACCTCCAATCCGAGGGGTGACATCGTCTGGCGGTCGCCTTACAACCGACAGTATCTGTACACTTGTCCAGCCCGGGTATTCTGGACAGCCCACACCACGTGGGGAGGGGGGGGGGGGTGTGCTACCGTTTTCCCGACACCGAGCGGGATTGTGCTACGTATGAAAGCGTGCGGCACCTGGAAAACCAGGACCGGACCGCCCTACCCCAATGACCACCAACCCCCCCCCCCCCCCAGCTCAACAATTAGAGCAACGAGAGCAGAAGGGGAGAGAGCAACAAACGGGGACTCGATCACGTGCACAGAGTGAGGAGGTAACGCACAACACAGGATACGACTGACGTATTATAGTAATATACACACTCCTCTATATCGAAGTCGTGCGTGGCGGTGGCGGCACGGCTGTAGTGTACGTTCCCCTGGTGGCCACTGCAGTGGAGGCCGTAATCCCACTGCCCTACAGCAGTCGTCCTGAACTTAGATGGGCTGGAAGAGAAATGTGAGGTTCGAACTGCCTTCGCCCCCCTCCCCCCTCCCTCTCTTCCCACGCGACCGCCACAGCTTGACGGGGTTCACCACTGCCACGTCCCGCGCAAACACGCGCCACGTGGCGTAAGCACGCAGCACGTGGCCACCACCTGCGTTCAAAACAACCTCAACGCTGCTCGCCGCCGTAACTTGTGGCCTCGCCGAGGGTCGGCGAGACCTTCAAACCGACGACGGCGGTGGGCGGTAAACACGGAGGGGGCGGGGGGGTAGGGATCGAGGGAGTGAGGGTGGGGTGCGTCGGTGCCGCAACCGCCTGTGCCGGGCGGCAGCGGCGGCGGTGGCCGTGAGCGAGTAGTGGCGCGGATCACGGCCCTCAGTCGCTCTGCTGCACGATGGGCGGGAACTCGCTGTCGTCGTCCAGATTGAGGTTGTCGTGCGCCAGCTCCTCCTCCGGCATGGTGCACGAGCCGCCCACCGCCCCGTGCTCCTCCACGTAGATTCCGGCGCCGGCACCGCCGCCAAAGCCACCCGAACCGGTGGAACCGGCGGAGCCTGCGCACGGCAAACCGGCCACATCGATCACCAAAGTTTGCCCAAAATCTAGGCGGTGAGAATAAACCGGCGTCAAACGCTCTCTGGGCCAAGGCGATGTCGCACGCCACGCACAAGCCTCGCCTCCTAACAAGACACCACGACGTGCGACGAGTCCAGACAGGCGCATAGTTGCTCTGCGTTCTTCTCATTCGCGGAGCTCTGCAGCTCGTTCGTGTCGGGCAGCCCCAGGGGGACGCACGCTCCTGGGCGACGCGGCATCGTTCAGCGACTCCGCGCTCGCAACCACGGGGGAGCGACTCGCTCGGTGGGCGCAGGGGAGACGCACCTTGGCGCGCGGGCGAGCTGGAGGAGGACGGCTTGGACACGGTGGCCGCATACGACTGCGGCGCCGTCGCCTTGTCCGGGGGCTCCAGGATGTCGCTCCCAGAGCCCTCGACGCCGCCGTCCAGCCTAGGGGTGACCACGGCGCCACGCACAAGTGAAGGGGGGGGGGGGGAGAGAGACGCGTTACACGTGGAGAGAGGCGGGGAGAGACGAGAAGGAGATGTGGGAACGCGCAGAGTGCCACAGCGAGAAAGAGAAACACGATGCAGTCGGATTAAAGATAGACAAGGCATTTGTGACAAACACGCTTACACACAAGTCAGTATACACACGTACAGGCAGGCATGTACTCTCACACCTGTATATGAGCACACGCTGCCAAGCGCAGAGCGGATGCATTCACATACATGCACACGTGGACTTGCAAAGACAAAGATCCCTCGTATAACTTGAACAGACATTTGTGGCAAGTGCTGGCTGGCACGGCAGACAAGGGCGTGGGTGGCCAGCATTATTCCGAGCAGCCTTTGTCTCCCTCTTGGTGGCGTTTAAACACCGCACCAGGTACTCGTTTCACGCCGAGTGCACCCAGGAGAGGCCCATCATCCACGACGAAAACAAAAACGCCCCGCACAGCCTGTAACAGACTGTTGGGGCAAGTGCTGTTAGCGAGCACCTATGGAGGCCGGCACGGCACACGAAAGGGGTGGGTGTCCAACACCACGCCTGGTCACCGTTGTCTCCCGAGTGGCGATGTTTACCACGCGCCGCACTAGGTACTCGTTTGAGGCCGAGTCGACCTAGGCGAGGCCCAGGACCGGTTCAGATAACCGTCACCGGTGTTGGCCGTGAGCGGGAATCGAACTCGGGTGGCCGGGTTCGTAGCGCAGCGCACACTGAACACACGTGCACATACGCACACAAACACGAGTAGGCACGGGCGCGCGCGTGCGTGCGCGCTTACTTGTGCTGCTTCATGAGCGTGCACTCGCCGCCGTCCTGCGGGTCAACGTTGTAGATGTAGAGGTAGCCATCCGACGACGCCACCAGCAGCCGCGGCAGCTTCTGCACCCTGTGACCGGCGCGCGTGGGGGACGCCCCAACGCACACGGTCAAACACGCGCGGGCACGTGGCACGTGTGACACACGAGGTACAGACCAAACAGGTTGAGAACTACCGATTTAGGTTGCGGGTGGAGAAGGATTTGTGCTGCAGTGCAGTGGTTCGTGCACTGCACGATGAACCGGGCAACCAGATTCAGCTCACCAACAATTAGTGGCAAATATGTGAATCCGTCGCAGGCCTCCCCGAGGTGAGTACCTGGTACGGTGCTGTGGTGTAAACATCAGCACCGGGGAGGTGCTGGCCACCCACCCCCTCGTGTGCCGCGTCAGAATTCATAGGCGCTCGCTAATCTCACTTGTCGCAACAGTCTGTTACGGGCCATCGGGGGTCTTTGTGTGCACGTGAGTGTACTCGCGTGCGGTGCGTGCGGTGCGTGCGTGAGGCGGAGAGCGGCATTTACGTGGCGAGCGAGCAGACGTTCTTGTGTCCCGAGAAGGGCAGCCGTACAGTGGCGAAGGCGCGGCCCTGGTTGAACATCTCGGACACCTGGGCCGGCAGGTACGTCGTGGAGGCCATGAGCACCTTGCCCAGGTAGCCAGACCACGTTGTCGGCTCTTCGGGCGGCCTGTGGGTGGGCGGGCGCACGACAACGCATTTCCCTCCCTCCCTCCAACCCTCCCACCACTTCACTCTCCGACCGACGATGCGGTTTTCACGTTGATGAGATCTTGCACAAGGGAAAGACCGTATTTGTCCGATTGGGAGGGCCCAGTTGTACGAGCCACGGATCGCGCAGCTGAAAGTTTCTATCGCCGGTTTTCCCGCTCGCGCGCGTGGAGGACCGTCGCCACTGCTGGTTGAGCGCGCCGCGCTACGAACGCGGCCGCCCACGCTACGAACGCGGCCGCCCACGCTACGAACGCGGCCGCCCACGCTACGAACGCGGCCGCCCACGCTACGAACGCGGCCGCCCGCGCTCGATTCCCGGCCGTGGCCAACGACGGCAGCGACTGATGCCTGAACCGCTCCTGCGCCTCCCCCCAAGGTCGATTCGTCCTTAATTGAGTCCAAACGTCGGGAATGAGGAGACCAAAGGTGGCCGGGTGTGCTGCCGGCCACATTGGTAGCAGGCGCTCGCAAAGAGCACTTGCCCCAACCGTCTGTCAACGCTAAGCATGCGAAACTTTGTATTTGTGTGTGCGTGCATTTGTGTGTGGGTGCATGTGTGTGTGTGGGTGCGTGTGTGTGTGGGTGCATGTGTGTGCGTGTGGGCACATGTGTGGGTGCATGTGTGTGTGTGAGTGCGTGTGTGTGTGGGTGCGTGTGTGTGTGGGTGCATGTGTGTGTGTGGGTGCATGTGTGTGTGTGGGTGCATGTGTGTGTGGGTGCGTGTGTGTGGGTGCATGTGTGTGGGTGCGTGTGTGGGTGCATGCGTGTGTGGGTGCGTGCGTGCGTGTGTGCATGCATGCGTGTGTGGGTGCGTGCGTGTGTGGGTGCGTGCGTGGGTGCGTGCGTGTGTGGGTGCGTGTGTGTGTGTGGGTGCGTGTGTGTGTGGGTGCGTGTGTGACCCGGACTTCTCCTTGGGGCTCTCCAGCTTGAAGATGTGCACCGTCTCCGTGTTGCTCGACGCCGACAGGAAGACGGAGTCCGTCGAGAAGGCGAGCGAGCAGATCGTGACGCACCTGGGGGGGGGGGGGGGGGGGCGACACCACGAGGAGGGTGGTACCGTCAATCACGTCTCTCGTAATCGTTTACGAAGCATTTTATATCAAGGTGGCGGGAGCACAGGCCCAAAATGCCAAGCGGCCGGTAAAAAGCAGCAGTTCTTCAAGGTGTAATAGGTAAGAGAGAGTTAGCTTGTTCTTGGATTGACCAAGGTTATGAGAACTTTGGGGGAGGGGAAGAGACGATGGGAGCAGGGAATTTTCAAAGTGGAGCAGTGCGTGGGAAGCCGCAGAAAGCGAGGTGTTTTAGTGGTTGAACGCCGTATGGATGAGCTGAGAGAGTCGGTCTGATGGCAGAGCGAGTGTTCAGCAACCGGTGGAAGAATCAACGAGTGATATTCATGGCAAAAAAATCGCGGTTGATAGCGATAGCCGAGTGATAAGGGGACGACTGACCGCCGGGTGGGGTGACGGGAGTGAATGGGCGAGTGCCGGACCAGCAACCACCCCGGCTGAATCGCGTTAACGTTGTTGAGCACAGTGAGCTTAGGAACAGAGTGCTTCCCCCCCGATCGAGGTCATGGCGAGTGTTACTCCTCCACCTTCCGCCGAATTAGGATTTTTATATTTTTGTAATCATTGCTCCGAGTTAAAGACAAAGGGCTTTGGCACAGGAATGGAAACCAAGCTTCTTCGACGCCTCCCTATACCCGATGAGCAATGCAGCCGTTCCACGAGAGGTCTAGCAGATTAAAACTAAATCTCTTTTTTTATTTTACCAGGTAAGACCCACTGAACTCGTTGATTCTGTACAGCTCTGTTTCAGAAGCGGCCTGGCCACAAATGAGAGGTCAACGAAGTGGTTTATGTGGAAATGTATAGCAAATACTCTAAACCCATGTTCATTCGAAATGTGGAGGCAAAAAACCAAAGGACCCAGAGAAAAATCCACGCGACCACGGGGAGAACATCCAAACTCCAAATATACAAACGTCAGGGTCGGGATCGAACCCACGAACTCCTGCACACCGGGCGAAGTAGTTAACATCTCACCATCGTGGCAAAGAATATAATTGAACAAGTATGATGGGAAGAAATGTGTGGAGTTGCCATCCTTATGTGACATTATCATGGAGTACAGCAGGAACAATGGTTTGGAGTTAAGCGTTTGCAATGAAGGGAGAGCCGACAGCTGGGAGGGAGGGGAGCACCGTACCGTTTCACTCCCCGGCGGAACTCGAATATCTTCTGCCCGTCGGGGATGTTGAAGACTCGGATCACCGTGCCCTGGGGACAAGGGAGTGGGGGCTGCCATGACATCACTGCGCACGTGGCATGTGGCACGCAGTGCAAGCGCTGTGGGCGACGTCACCGTCACCGAGCGGCTACCCAATGGCAGCTGTTGTTGTTGTATGTGCGCGCGATTTTGTGTGTGCGACTCCTTTGTGTATTATTATCTGCACGTTCAATTGTCCGTGCATGTGGTGGTGTAGCAGTTTTGCGCGCTGCGCTACGAACCCGGCGGCCCGAGTTCGATTCCCGCTCATGGCCGACACCAGTGACGTTGATCTGAACCGTTATGGGCTTCCCTAAGGTCGACGCAGCCTCAATTGAGTACCTGGTGCGATGAGTTAATATCACCGCTAGGGAGATAAAGGCGGCCGGGCGTGGTGCTGGTGTGCCGTGCCAGCCTTCATAGGTGCTCGCTGACAGCATTGTCTTGTCTTTGTTTAGCACGTGTGCGTGCACGTGTGTGTACGTGTGATTGTGTCCACGTGCGTGTGTGAGTGGGCGCGGTGTCTCTGCGCTGTGCTGGCCGCCACCTTCTCGGAGGCGGTCGCGAGTTTGGTGCCCGTGCAGTCGAAGGCCATGGCGGCGAGCGGGCTGTCGTGCGCAGGGATCATCGTGACGGCGCGCTGCTTGCCCGCGACACACGCACGCACGCACGCAACAGATATACACACACACACACATGCAGATGCAACAACAAAGACAGATCCCCCTCCACGTACAGCCTTAACAGATTGTTGGGGCTAGTGCTGTTAGCGAGCAGCACCTATGAAGGCCATCACGGCACACGAGGGGGTGGGTGGCCAGCACCACGCCCGGCCGCATTTGTCTCCCAAGTGGCGATGTTTACACACCGCACCAGGTACTCATTTAAGGCTGAGTTGACCTAGGGGAGGGCCAAGACCGGTTCAAATAATCATTACTGCTGTTGGCCGTGAGCAGGAATCGAACTCGGATCGCCAGATTCGTAGCGCAGCACGCTAACCACTACGCCGCCGCTCCCACTACAGATATATATACACACACACACACAAGTACATGCAGATACACACGCACGAACATAAACACATGCAAATGTGCCAACCACTGCGCCACCACTCTTTCTCCCCAAAACTTAATTACACACATGCGGACACACACGCACACACACACACGCATGCACGTATGCGCAGTGTAAATCAATCAAACCATGACCGCAGAGAGGCCCCGCTGACCAGGTTAATCGTGTCGAAGACTTGGGCCTCGCCGATGGTGGCGCTGCCAGGGTAGGCCAGGTAGCAGTTGTCGTTGCTGATGGACAGCGCGCACAGACCTGGCCGACATGCGGAAGAAGAGAGTTTTTTTCGTAGGAATCGTTCATTTGAATACCGGGTGAGAGCCCATTGAGAGCGAGAGCCTCTTTTACAAGGGGAAACCCAAGCAGGAAAAGAACGGTAGCAGAGGGTACGGACGTCACGCGGGCATCACCAACAACTTAAACTAAGTCACCCGAATGGAAATGACAAGGGCAGCAAGACCGAGATGGCAATGGCCGTGTGGTGCGGTTGCGAGGAGGCAAACAGCTTTTTTAGATGAGAGCTAACAGGGAAAGCGAAGATGAGAAGGAAGGATAACACGCACAGGGAAGATGGATGTGGCTGGGGTGACGAGGGGGGGAGGGCAGGGGGGACGTGGGGGGGGGGGGGGGGGGCCTTTGACATGAGTGGAGGGAAACCTGCGCAACCGACCCCATAGCAACGTGGCAACACAGGGTGGAGAAAGAAAATTGAAATGAAAAACGATGAATGACTAACAACCGTACGAGAGGGAGGGTGAGCTCAAAAACACTTGAGAGTCAACCTCATTGAGAGTCAACCTCAAGCTGTCAGGTTCATAGTGGAGTGTGCTAACCACTGTGCCACCGCTCCCCATCACAGGGAATTTAATAGCCCAATAAAAACTGAGAAAGGGAGCGATGGTTTCTTTGAGGGTAGGGAAGGAGCAATACCGTCCTACGAGCATCGCGGCTGAAGCAGCAACTTCCGAATGTAGTAATTATTACTATTCATGCGAAATTAGACGTATCAATTTCGGTGAACGTCTTAAGTCGTGAGTCGAGAAGCAGAGAGGAGCGAGATGCAGGGGGAGGTGGGGGTCGGAGGTCACAGTGGGGCAATCGTCAAGGCTTGACGCCCAGGGGCTGGGGTCAGGGTAAAGGTCGGGATGAGACAGGCGGGGGGCGGGGGGCTCACCAGCGGGGTTTGCTGGCGTGTCGCGGATCGTGTGCAACACCTTCATGTCACGGATATTGTGGATGTAGAGGCTTTCCTCCAGGCACACGATGAGTCGCTGTTTTACACACGCAGACGCGTGCGCACGTGCAAAGGCACATGAACACGCACGCACGCACACACAAGGTGGGGGGAGGGAGGATCCCATCAGCTTCTCCACCACATGTCTCGGGGCCACTGTTGCTTACACCAAGGAGCGCGTGTGCGCGTGTGTGCGTGTGTGCGCGTGTGCACGTGTGCGCGTGTGCATGTGTGCGTGTGTGCGTGTGTGCGTGTGTGTTTGTCTCCGTGTGGGAAGCGGTAGTGTAGCGGTTAGCGTGTTGCGCTACGAACTCGGCATCGCGAGCTTGATTTCCGCCTACGGCCAACACAAGTGACGATTTTCTGGACTGGCACTGGGCCTGCCCTAAGTCGACTCAGCCTTAAACGAGGACCTGGTGCAGGGTGTAAACATCAGCGATGGAAGACAAGGGCGGCCAGGCTTGGTGTTGGCGAACAACCCCCTCGTGTGCCGTGCCGGCCTTCATAGATGCTCACTAACAGTCTGTTAAAGGCTATATGGGGAATTGTTGTCTTTTTGAGGACATGTTTGTTAGTGTGTGTGCGCGTGAGCACTGTCCTGTGTCAGTGTGAGCTATGCACTTGTAAATCTAGATTGGAAACTCATTTCTCTAGAACTGCTTCTTGCGTTTAGTTTGTTGTCCTTCCCGTACATACACATGTACACGTGTGTGCCCCCCACCCCCGTCTCCCCCCCCCGCCCGCGCGCCACACCTGCCGGTTGAGCTTCACGGCGAGGATGGTGTTGGAGTAGCTGTAGTTGCAGATCTCCGTTCCCTTCTTGAAGTGGCACACCTTGAGCTTGCGCGGCGCCGACAGGCTCACGATGGCCACAAGGCTGCTGGAGAAGAGGCGCTCCACGATGCACACATCCTCCGTGTCGGCTGCGCGGCGGGACAACGCACGCACGCACGAGCGCGTCGACATGCGAACAGCCGCACGCCGACAGACGAACGGGGCGGGGAACCGAACATTCTATCGCTCTCACCGCCAAGTACCCCCCCCCCCCCCAAAAAAAAACCTCTCTCCCGCACTCCCGATCCAACCATCATCCACCACAAAGACGCCCCGCACAGCCTGTAACAGACTGTTGGGGCAAGTGCTGTTAGCGAGCACCTATGGAGGCCGGCACGGCACACGAAGGGGGTAGGTGGCCAACACCACGCCCGGCCGCCGTTGTCTCCTGAGTGGCGATGTTTACCACGCGCCGCACCAGGTACTCAAATATTTGAGGCCGAGTAGACCTAGGGGAGGCTCAGGACCGGTTCAGATAACTGTCACCGGTGTTGGCCGTGAGCGGGAATCGAACTCGGGTCGCCGGGTTGATAGTGCGGGGTAGCGCTAACCGCTACACCACCGCTCCCCATCCGCCACACCACACACACCCGCACCACGATCCACACTACTCACTGCTCTCGTAAATCTGCTCGAGCTTGTCCACGGAGTTGAGAGAGAAGAGCTTGTAACCTGACTTGGAGCCCACGGCCAGGGACCTGCACACGCAGCCGAAGGCGAGGTCGAGTTAGATCAATATTTGACCGAGTTTAACAGAGAAGACAAAATAATCACGACAAGCGGACGAACTGAGTTAGAGTCAGGTTCGGTGGTGACAAAGCTGTGGCTCTTGAACCTACCCTGGCCCTGACTAACACGTAGCCCTAATCCTAATCCTAACACTAACCCTAACACCATCCCCAGACCCAACACTAACCCTGACCCTAATACCACCACTAGCTGACCGTAACCCTAAAACCAACCCTGACTTTAAACCTAACCCCAAACGCCAGTTCCGATCCTAATCTTGACACCAACTCTGACCCTATCACCAACCCCGACTAGAACCACCGTTCCCGACCTTCATCCTAACAGCAACCACACCCATGAAGCCAGTTCGGACTCTAATCTCGGCGCTTACTGCTAAGCCATTCCGCGTTGAGCATCGGCTGGGCTGAGACGAGCAAAAGAGGAAGCAAGCGATGGGTCAGTCTCAGTCTCCACCCCCCTCGTGCGTCAACACGAACGCCGCTGCCGCCTGCCGCCCCATCATCAAACCGATCTCATCTCGCGCCACGACACCTGTCGCTTGTTTACACCACGACTGCGTCGCTAGCGCATCACCACTAAATGCTGGCACACTACATAGTTGGGGGGGGACGTGTGGTCACCCAAACCAGGTGTGGTGGCTGAGGTTTACAAGACTTCTTCTGCGTTAATGAAGCCACTGACAGAAACTGATATTAGGGTAAGTTAAAATGATTTGCCGTCTAAATGCACGTACATCTGAAAGACGATTTACAAATTGACCACAGTGGGATAAAACTTGGAAATACGCCATCCCATTCACACATCTGTCCACAACCAAAATAAAAGTATTTTCGTTGATATATTGTGCACGTCGCATCGGTCAAAAAAGCCTTTTGGGCTCAACACAAGCAAACACGAGACCGTTTTTAACATTAGGTGTCTCATGAGCCGAGATCGGCTTGCCTCATCTAATGCTGGTGAACTGCCAGATTTATTTGGCAAGGACCGCTCCCTGTTACATGTTCGACGCCTAATTATATCATACAATAACACAACACGTATGGGAAGGAGGCATATCGTCTTGCTTATTTCTTCTGTTTCTAAACTGTAAACTATTTTGTATTTCACGAGGAAAGGCCCACTCAGCTCTATGTAGCTCTTTTTCGGCAGTGACTCGGCCATCACAGACGAAATCGCAAAACAAAGTGAGGCGTAAGCATCACGTGGGCATTTACAACAGCCAAATAATTGACAAAACGCGTGATGTTGATTTCTTAAACATCAGGACGCGAATGTGGGTGGCGTGGAGGAGGTCAGGTCAAGGAAGAGAGCGAGAGAGAGAGAGGGGGGGGGATGATGAGAAACACCCGCGGCACATCCCGAGATAAAGCAAACGCACACAGAGCCCCTCCGAGAAAGGGGTGCCCAGCAGGAGGCAGCGTGGAAGAGCCGTGGGGGGCACAGCGGACAAACATCGCAAGACGCCTGGCTAGGCACAAAACCAAAGCGGGCGACGAAAAAGATGAGAAAAACATCAGGCCACGTGTAATAAGCGAGCGGCGGCGGTGGCGGCAATTACACATTCCTATGACGGGACGGAACAGCGTGTCCGTAGAACACAACACGGCGCGGCACAACGAGCTTCGTTGTGCCGGGCACGAAGACGCCGCTCTGACCCGTTACCGAACGCGGGGGCACTTACGCAACGCAACAGCGGTGCCGATTCTACCAATAACAGTTGCGGCGGAATAATGTCCATCAGACTCGGTCACATGCCAGAGGCATGGAGCCAGCCAGGCCCAGCCAGCCAGGCCCAGCCAGCCAGCCCAGGCAGGCAAGTCAGCTCAGACAGGCCAGTCAGCCCAGGCAGGCACCCATCCCAGACAGGCCAGCCAGCCCAGGCAGGCCGGCCAGCCCAGGCAGGCACCCATCCCAGACAGGCCAGCCAGCCCAGGCAGGCCGGCCAGCCCAGGCAGGCAGGCCAGCCAGCCCAGGCAGGCCAGCCAGCCCAGGCAGGCCAGCCAGCCCAGGCAGGTCAGTCAGCCCAGACAGGCCAGCCAGCCCAGGCAGGCCAGCCAGCCCAGGCAGGTCAGTCAGCCCAGGCAGGTCAGTCAGCCCAGGCAGACAGGCCAGCCAGCCCAGGCAGGCCAGCCAGCCCAGACAGGCCAGCCAGCCCAGACAGGGCAGCCAGCCCAGGCAGGCCAAGCCAGCCAGCCCATGCAGGCCAGCCCAGGCAGGCCACCCAGCCAAGACAGGTCAGCCAGCCCAGGCAGGTCAGTCAGCCCAGACAGGCACCCAGCCCATGCAGGTCAGCCAGCCAGGCCAAGCCAGCCAGCCCATGCAGGACAGCCAGCCCGGCCAGCCCGGCCAGCACAGCCCAGCCAGGCCAGCCAGCCCAGCCTCCATCCCTCCCTCCCCATCCCTCCCCCGTGTTGTTGACTATGGTGGGTGTGTGGGTGGGGTATGACGACATTGATGACAACACGATTTACAAATCCGATACAATGAAGATGCTATTACGGTGACGGGCACAGCGACGACATTACGAGAGTGACGTGATCATAACCGACGGTGTTACGTGGACGACGTTATTGTGAGGAGGAGGATAGTGATGGTGATGATGGTGGTGATGATGGTGATGATGATGGTGGTGATGATGGTGATGATGGTGGTGATGATGGTGGTGATGATGATGGTGATGATGGTGATGATGATGATGGTGATGATGATGATGGTGGACTTGTTATGCCGAGATCCGCGCGTGCTCGCCATGCATCTGGACTAACGGGACTTCCCCCCCACACACCCCACCCGCCAAACCTCCTCCTCCTTCCTCACCTCTCGCCGCCTCCGCCTTAACCCTTACACCGTTAAGTGGCCGTGGCAATCGTGGTTAATTACCTCACGCAGTTTGTTAATTGACGATTTAACGAAATCCACCACCACCACCACCATTCCCTCTCCTCCTGCCCCGCTCCTTCGCGATCTCGGCGCCCGGCGGCGCAAGGCAGCTGCGCCATTGTTAGGCACGGGGGTACAGACTCAAACTTTCCCCTCTCTCCTCGTCCTCCTCCTCCTCTTCCTCCTCACCGAGGTGTGGGAGATAACAACAACAACAACAAACGCCGCGCCTCTCCGCTCACAGAGATCCACACACAACAACAGCAGCAGCAGTAGCAGCTGCTAGGCCGCAACGAAATCCACGGGGTGGACGGGCGCTCGGATAGATGCGCCCGCCCGCTGGAGGCGCGCCTTGGCCGGCGGGGAGAGCCGGGCCAAGCCCCGGGGGTGGGGTATGTCGGGGTGGGGGGGGGTCGGAGTTTGCTGTAGCCGAGATGGTTGAGGAGTAACCCTCGTCACCCGCACGCCCTTACGTGTAGTCCTGGTTGAAGTTGGCGAAGAGTAATCCCGAGGACGTCTCCCCGCTCTGGCTCGCGAGGTTCATGGCGCCCGCCCGGACTCAAACCATCGACATCGACACCGGGTGGGCAGGCACGGGGAGCGGGGAGCAGGAGGCCGAGCGGCGACAAAGAGCGGGGCGGGGACTGTGGGGAGGGGACGCGAGCGAGGGCCGGGCCTGGCGCGGCCTCACCCACCCACCCACCGGGCCCCACCCACCCACCCACCGGGCCCCACCCACCCACCCACCCACCGGGCCCCACCCACCCACCGGGCCCCACCCACCCACCCACCCACCGGGCCCCACCCACCCACCCACCCACCGGGCCCCACCCACCCACCCACCCACCGGGCCCCACCCACCCACCCACCCACCGGGCCCCACCCACCCACCCACCCACCGGGCCCCACCCACCCACCCACCCACCGGGCCCCACCCACCCACCCACCCACCGGGCCCCACCCACCCACCCACCCACCGGGCCCCACCCACCCACCCACCGGGCCCCACCCACCGGGCCCCACCCACCCACCGGGCCCCACCCACCCACCCACCGGACCCCACCCACCCACCCACCGGGCCCCACCCACCCACCGGGCCCCACCCACCGGGCCCCACCCACAAGCCCCCCCCCACCGGGGCCCCCCACCAACCGGCCCCACCCACAAGCCCCCCCCACCGGGGCCCCCCACCAACCGGCCCCACCCACAAGCCCCCCCCCACCGGGGCCCCCCACCAACCGGCCCCACCCACAAGCCCCCCCCCCACCGGGGCCCCCCACCAACCGGCCCCACCCACCGGGGCCCCTACCCCATCGCCCCCCCTCCACCCATCGCCTCCCCCCACCGCCCATCGCCCCCCCACCCATCGCCCCCCCTCCACCCATCACCCCCCCCCCACACCGCCCCCCCCCCACCCACCTGCCCCCCCCCACCGGGCCCCCCACTCACCGGGCCCCACTCACCAACCGACTCCCCCCCGCACTGGGAGCTCCACCCACCGGGCCCCCCACCCATCCAACACACCGGTGTTGCTGTACGAGTCACGAATTGCCACGTGCTGTTGACGTGACAACCCTTGCTGATTGGCCGTGTCGGGTGGTGGCGGGTTTAACGACACATTTACGCGACATCACCCCAAAACAACCCTTTATTATGGACAACAGTTGGGTGATCCTGTGTTGGCTGCTCTCACACACGTCGGCTTATCTACGCCGTCTCTCGACTGGGCCTCTCTGTGTATGTGCTGTGAACAAGGGGCATTGCCCGAAACGTCGCCTATGTGTGTTATTACGTGTGCCTGTTCACCACATCAGTGTAGTCAAATAACAAAACTCAACACTTTTGCCAGTATAACATCGTGGCATTAAAAACATATATAATCGGTGACGTTTCGGGCAATTGCCCTTATTCATAGCACACAATTAAATCGTGTTATCGCGTGTTATGTTGTTGCTGCTGTAGTGTTGAGGCTATGGAACAACACTGCCCATCACATCTGCCCAGTCAATCTGCACGTTCAACTCTCAATTAAAAACTCATCCGTTCAAGAAGTCTTACAATCTGGCTTTAATTTCCTCCTGCACTCTCCCACCTCGTATATTCCGTCCCTTGAAAAAAACATCTCGATGCTGCTGTTATGTTTCATGTACTATGCCATTGTTTTTTTTGCGTGTAATCGTTTTTTTATAATATTGAATACTTTTAACTGTTCAGTGCTTTGAGCGTGGGAAAAGCACTGTACAAATAAAATGCATTTTTGTTATTATCAGCCAGATAACCATCGAAAATCTGTTCTTATTGCCGTGGTCAAAACAAATGGTTCTCTCCACTTGATACAGATATTTTGCTGTGACAGTTTCACCTGAAGACGGAAGCTTGTGTTGCCTCCGAAACGTCGTGATTTTATTTTTATTTTTTATAAATTTTAATCTAAATTTTTACCTACATGGTGACTTAACCGAAAGAACTAAGAGAATGAATGAAGGGGCGTGGTCTGGGAGAAGGGGGCGTGATTGGGGGGGCGTGGTCTGGGAGAAGGGGGCGTGGTCTGGGGGAAGGGGGCGTGGTTTGGTGTATGAGGGCGTGGTCTGAGGGGGTGAGGGCGGGGCTAGGCTTGGCCAAGGCTGTGGTTGCGTGGCGTTGTGTGTTTACGAACGCGAGGGGGTGGGGTGGGGGGGGGCTCCCCTCAGGGTTCATGCCAGTTCAGAGGGTTTCGCCTCTCGGCCGAGATTCAACGCCGTTGTTGTCAGCTCAGAGGTTCTACCTCTTAGATTGGGCCAAGCCACGTGTGCTGCTTGCTGGACATTGGGAATGCATTCACGCAGCACTGGATCGACGCCGACACTCCATCCTGTCTCCACGAGTTAAGGGGCCGTCCATAAATGACGTCACGTGATTTTGGACGATTTTTGACCCCTCCCCCCTCAAATATGACGTCACAAAGATCTGCCCCCCCCCCCCAAATAAAACATGCTTCAAATCGCTTTAAACTATTGTCATTGTAGTGCGTATTTAATGTGGCGCTGCACTCTGATGTTGTTAGGAGAAAACATTTATTAAAAAGTATATTTAATTAAGTAGAACGTGTTGCCCATATTTATTTAAAGTTGCGCATTTTGATGTGACGTCACATTTCTCACCACCCCCCCCCTCGTCACACATCGTCACAAATGTCTGACCCCCCCCCAGGTGCGTGACGTCTGCGAGGAGCAGAAACTCGTTAGCGAAGATCGCTGCTTACGCATGGCGACACCAGAAGACAAAGATCCCCCGTGTAGCCTTAACAGACTGTAGGGGCAAGTGCTGTTAGCGAGCACCTATGAAGGCCGGAATGGTACACGAGGGGGTGGGTGGCCAGCACCACGCCCGGCCGCCTTTGTCTCCCCAGTGGCGATGTTTACACACCGCATCAGGTACTCATTTGAGGCTGAGTCGACCTAGGGGAGGCCCAGGACCGGTTCAGATAATCGTCACTGGTGTTGGCCGTGAGCGGGAATCAAACCCGTGTCGCCGGGTTCACAGCGCAGCGCGCTAACCGCTTCACCACCGCTCCCCACGCTGCCGACGGCTCCACCACCGGTCATTGTGGTGTGTGGTGGGGTAAAGCGTGGGGCAACTCCCCATCTCGTCCAAGGCGTCTGGCCACTGCCTGTGCGGTCTGCAAAAGTAGGCCAAGTATCTTCGAGATGACCTTTTGGAGCTCCCTCTTGCAGAGGGCCCCTTTGCAAGCAGTGGCGTGACAAGAGGAATTGCAGGGGCTGCGCCTTTTAATGTTTACTTTCGACACTGCACATGTCCGTTGTACTGCACGGAGCTTCCGATATCTTTCGTCTCGACAGCTTCAGCAAATCCATTCAACTCGAACCATTAAATAAAGGGATGATAAAAACGAGACCTTCGGTCAATTATAATAAAATACAGCAGCAGCAGCATTGTTTGCCAAAACAGTCATTATATTTGACATTGCGATTCCATTTCATTACAAATTGCGCAACTGCAATTATAATTGACCTCGGTTCTGGTAATAACACTTCGGTCCTTGCTCTGCGACATCGAGGATGAGGGGGGGGGGGAGAAAAAAATAAAACATCACATAGGTTCGTCAATTTACACCACCGTCGTGAACGGGAGGGGGGGTGGCGTTATCGGTCTACGGTATTGTATATTATTCCTCTTCGGGCAGTGCTGTTGACAAATGTGAATGGGGTTGTTTTTGCCGTTTGTTCCTGTTCATTACTTCCAATGCGGCTATCGCAATAGAACATTCTTTTGTTGAATTCTTGCCAAAAATTCAGCGTTCAAATGAAGCGTATTCACCGCTGTAAAAAGTTTCGATTTTGTACTTCTACACCGGAGACTAAACCCCGCTTTCAAGTGTTGCCGGTGACCGTTATCTGCACCGAAACGCAATCTTTAAAATATGGCATTAAACATAATCCCCCCCCGCCCCCAGCTGAGCGAAGTGAACCACGTGCCGACCCAGCCCAGCGTGGCTCAGGAGGCACCAGGTTGGTTTTTTCCACTTTAAGACCAGAGCCATGCTGCCGACTGTCAGTAAACGAACCCCTGATCCTGGTCCTACTGGGCTACGCGTCACATTCACAATTACTACAAGGCCAGAATTTCACGGTATTGTTCTGGCTCGGCTTGGCAAGAAGCTAGTGGGAAAAAAAAACACCTGTACCATGATGGCCCCAACTCTGGTGCAGCTCAGATGTGCCAGTAGAAATGGGATACGCAAGCGTTAAAAACCCACTGAGTGTCAACAAACACTGCACAGACGGGGAAAATGTGACACTGTGAGAGAGGAGAGCAGCAGCCCTGTACCGACTCCTCCAGCCAGTGTCGTTCCCTGGCATCACATGCAGGCTCCGTCGTCGGTATAAATTCACGACGGGTATTTGTTTTAACCAGATCTCAAGTGAGACGGAACAGACATGTAATAGGCTTTAAATATCCAATGGTGACGACAACAACAAAAATGGCAATTCCAAAACGCACATCAATGTTTATCGCAATCAGGTTTGGCATTACGGCCGGCAGGCAGCAAACGTAACCTGCAATTCATGAAGTGTAAGACCGCAGCAGCATCTCATTACAAAACTCAGCGCAGTGCGTGCCTCAACCTGTGTCCTCGACAGAAAATCCGCGTGCACAACCCGGACCACCCCACCCGCCCCACCCACGTCACTTGACTGCCGGACTTGAGAGCCAATCCACGCCGCGAACGAAACGAATCCGTTACCATACCGTGTCAAGCCATATGGATTACCCCGTATTCTTGTACAGGGAAGTTGGGTTTTTTTCTACCCACGTGACTTTACCGAAAGAACCAAAGAGTATGGATTCCTGCATTCACGAAAGCTTCAAATCTAGATTTAAATCAAGAGGGGAAGTTGAGCTTTGAGGTCCATACGGCGTACAGCCATTTCAATACGGGCAATTGTTTTTTTGTCTGTTTGTTTGCGTTTCTCCCTTGTGATGGGAGTTTGCAGGATGAACGTTGAGATTGACAAGGGTACGGGGGTGACCAATAAGTTCTGAATTGGTCCGTAATAAGGTGGGGCACTGATAAGGGCTTGACAGGTTTGCGTTACCGCACGATGAAAATACTTGGACATAACCAACAGATGTACAGTATATGCACAGCTCGCGTAACCTTCTTACATCAATCACAGAGGTGAGGAGAAGCGGGGGGAAGGGGGGGGGGCGGCGGGAGGGGAAAAAAGAAACATGAAACTTAAGCCGGAGAGAGAAAAAAAACACATCAGTCGTAAACTTCGGAGAAAAAAAAAATGATCGCCTTCTTTTCTTGGCCCAGCAGAGGGCCGCGTGATTTGAGTCTCCAGGGCTGCCGTTCCGTGGCAGCGCGAGACTTTGCGGTGGTAGTGGAGGCAGCGGAGGCGAGGTTGCCCCGTAGTAAGGGGGGGGGGGCAGCACTTGAAACTGCTTGTGTGGGGGGCGGCAGCGAGGCCGCCGAGAAGACCCCGGCTGTCCTGCCCTCCCGCCCTCCCACCATGGCATCTCTCTGCCCTCTCAGCCGTCGGTCTCGAAGGTCGCCTCATTTCCTCTCGTCTAGAAAGGAAGGTGGCGGCGGGGATGACGATGGCCGTTGGGAGTCCAGGGAGGCCATGTGGTAAGGTTGGCACCTGTCCTGGATTTGCCAGAAACGTTCTTTTTTATTTTTGATGTGGCCGTCCAGGCAAATCTGTAAGTCTTCCCGGGTCCGTAAAGGTCACAGCGCATTTTTGTTGACTGTGCAACAACAATCATAATAATAACAACACAGCCATCGAGACAGTGCATATGCATGCAGTTCTCCACTATTCCAGTCTTGTGAAATATTCTTCTCTCCAACCATGACATGTCCAAGTGGCAACCTGACCACGGAGCCTTGGGCTGAGGCCAATCCCCGGGTTTCACGGCCACACCACTTCACTCACCTGCACTCCTCACCCACGCTCCTCCCGCCCCCCCCTCCGCCCCCTCCTCGCACCCCGAGGCGACGGCTGCTGTCATGACGGAGTCGTTCCCTTCAGGTACCACATCCCATTGCGGCTCACGCAGCACTCCTGCACACGGCGGGGAATGGGGAATTGCAGCGGTGAGGACACGCACAGGGACGAACGTCACGGTGGTGCAGGATACACTGGTGGTGGTGGTGGTGGAGTAGGAGACACTGGTGGTGGTGGTGGTGGAAGAGGAGTAGGAGACACTGGTGGTGGTGGAGGAGTAGGAGACACTAGTGGTGGTGGTGGAGGAGTAGGAGACACTGGTGGTGGTGGTGGAGGAGTAGGAGACACTGGTGGTGGTGGTGGAGGAGTAGGAGACACTAGTGGTGGTGGAGGAGTAGGAGACACTGGTGGTGGTGGTGGAGGAGTAGGAGACACTAGTGGTGGTGGAGGAGTAGGAGACACTGGTGGTGGTGGAGGAGTAGGAGACACTGGTGGTGGTGGTGGAGGAGTAGGAGACACTAGTGGTGGTGGAGGAGTAGGAGACACTGGTGGTGGTGGTGGTGGAGGAGTAGGAGACACTGGTGGTGGTGGTGGAGGAGTAGGAGACACTGGTGGTGGTGGTGGAGGAGTAGGAGGCACTGGTGGTGGTGGTGGAGGAGGAGTAGGATACACTGGTGGTGGTGGTGGAGGAGTAGGAGACACTGGTGGTGGTGGTGGTGGAGGAGTAGGAGACACTGGTGGTGGTGGAGGAGTAGGAGACACTGGTGGTGATGGTGGAGGAGTAGGAGACACTGGTGGTGGTGGAGGAGTAGGAGACACTGGTGGTGGTGGTGGTGGAGGAGGAGTAGGAGACACTGGTGGTGGTGGTGGAGGAGTAGGAGACACTGGTGGTGGTGGTGGAGGAGTAGGAGACACTGGTGGTGGTGGTGGTGGTGGAGTAGGAGACACTGGTGGTGGTGGTGGTGGAGGAGTAGGAGACACTGGTGGTGGTGGTGGAGGAGTAGGAGACACTGGTGGTGGTGGTGTAGGAGTAGGAGACACTGGTGGTGGTGGAGGAGTAGGAGACACTGGTGGTGGTGGTGGAGGAGTAGGAGACACTGGTGGTGGTGGAAGAGTAGGAGACACTGGTGGTGGTGGTGGAGGAGTAGGAGACACTGGTGGTGGTGGAAGAGTAGGAGACACTGGTGGTGGTGGTGGAGGAGTAGGAGACACTAGTGGTGGTGGTGGAGGAGTAGGAGACACTGGTGGTGGTGGTGGTGTGAGCGACCTTCAGCAGCTTGTCAAGCGTCGGTTTGTCCGGCTCGGGTCCTCCGGCGAGTGCGAGCCGCGACTGGATGGCCGGGCGCTTCAGCCGGTAGTTCTCATTGAACATCTCCAGAAGAACCTGCCGGGGCTGCACAGCGAGGAGGCGCTGGTTAGGATGGACACTCGGCCTCCTGATCACCACCATCAACCACCATCATCATCACCACCAACCACGCGGAGCGAGCCGAGACGTAACCCACCCCGCCGGGACAACACCCTACGCCTTCACCGCGCAACAAGTACCGGCGTGGCCACGAATCTCACCGCGGATTGACACAATCTCGGCCGGATATAGCCACGCTCGCCCACAACAAACGCCACCACCCGCGCGCCGGCAAACAAGTGAGCCGTGTAGACCGCGGGGGGCTGGGCTTGCTGATTGTCAGCGCGATGGTGCAGCAAGGAGGTAAGAGGGGGTGGGTGGTTCAGTGGGGGGGGGGGGGCGGTGAATGGGGGGTGGGGAGGGTGAATGGGGGGGTGGGTGGGGGGGGCTGGTGAATGGGGGGTGGGCGGGGTGAATGGGGGTGTGGTGGGGGGTGTGGTGAATGGGGGGGTGGGTGGGGGGGTGGTGAATGAGGGGTTGGGTGGGGGGTGTGGTGAATGGGGGGGTGGGCGGGGTGAATGGGGGGGGTGGGTGGGGGGGGTGGTGAATGGGGGGGGTGGGTGGGGGGGGTGGTGAATAAGGGTTTGGGTGGGGGGGGCGGTGAATGAGGGGTTGGGTTTTGGGGGTGGTGAATGGGGGGGTGGGTTTTGGGGGTGGTGAATGGGGCGGTGGGCGGGGGGGGTGGTGAATAAGGGTTTGGGTGGGGGGGGCGGTGAATGAGGGGTTGGGTTTTGGGGGTGGTGAATGGGGCGGTGGGCGGGGGGGGTGGTGAATAAGGGTTTGGGTGGGAGGGGGTGGTGAATGGAGGGGTGGGTTTTGGGGGTGGTGAATGGGGGGCTGGGTGGGGGGGGGTGGTGAATGGGGGGCTGCGTGGGGGGCAGTGATTCGAACGAACCTTCTCGTGAGCGTCCCCCGCGCTCCAGTTTGCGAACACCTTGTCGTTGTTGGCGTCCGAGAGGAACTGCGGCGGAATCTGGCGGCGGCAAGGAGCGCGACGGTGACGTGAAGCGCCAGCGGCAAAAGCAATCCGGTGCGGTTGGTGTTCCGGAAGGGATCGGTAGGTACCGTGAGTCACGGTCTGACTGCTTAAACCACAGTATCAGCGAGCCGGGTTCGCGTCCCCGCAGTGGGGCACGATGTTTGCGAATCCCGTCTGATGGGATTCCGAGCCTCTGGTTCTTTACGACTGAACGAGAGATCTTTGCATTTGGCAACAAGATTCCTCCCCCATTGAGCCTTGCAGATTATCGAGGCAAGTGCCGTTACAGTGAGAACCTATTAGGGCTGTACGCAAGCATGCGCACGCAGTCGTACCCGCGCGCAAACACGCATGGGTCACACACATGGAGTCGCACGCAGGCACACAGTTACAGAGACAAAGATCCCCCGTATTAGCCTTAGCAGACCTTTGGGGCAAGCGCTGTTAGCGAGCACCTTTATGAATGCCGGCACGGTACACCAGTCAGTGGGTGGCCAGCACCACGCCGGACCGCCTTTGTCTGCCCAGTGGCGAGGTTTACACATCGCACCGGGTACTCATTTGAGGCTGACCCGACCTAGGGGAGGCCCAGGAGCGGTTCAGATAATCGTCACCGGTGTTGGCCGTGAGCTGGAATTGAACTCGGGTCGCCGGGTTCGTTGCGCAGCGCGCAAAGACCAAAAAAATTTACAAAGATCACCGTACAGCCTTAACAGTCTGCAGGGGGCGAGTGTTGTTAGACGCGCACGCGCAGTCACACGCGCAGTCACACGCGCAGTCACACGCGCAGTCACACGCGCAGTCACACGCGCGGTCACACACGCAGTCACACACGTAGTCACACGCACAGTCACACACGCACAGTCACACACGCACAGTCACGCGCGCACCTGCACGTGTATCTGCCGGCCGCCGCTCTGCAGCGCCGCCTCCTGCAGCATGAGCGGGGAGACGCCGGCGCCGAGCACGTGGCCCGGGGCCAGCGCCGCCAGGTGGCGGTCGAGCAGCCGGCGCAGCTCGCGCAGCGGCAGCACCGTGTGCTCGGCGAGGCGCGCTCGCACGAACGCCAGGAGCTCGCGCCGCTGGGTCTCGGCTCCCGCCGCCGCCGCCGCCCCCTCCGACTCCCCCGGGGCGCCGTGCTCTCCGTTGGCGAGCGCCGGCGCTCCGTTGGAGCCGTCCACGTCCATCGGTTCCTGCGCCCGGAGGGTGACGATGAGGGGAGGGAGGGGAGCCGGGGTCGATAACCGTGGTGCTGATAATTGTTTTTTACCCTTCTATCTGGCAACAAAACTGACACCTTTTTTACAAGGAGTCATGTTTGCATAGACCACAATACCTGCAGCCATAATGCAAAAAAAAAACATAACTCTGATAATGTATGCACTGTCCTTGAAGTTGATTGGTCCACACCCGAGACAGCTTTCCTTAGAGCCTCGTCTCACGTGGGTGCATTGTCTTTGAGTTGTGCGCCTTTTGGCGTCATCTGGTCCAACCCATGTGAGACTAGGCTCTAAGGAAAGCTGTCTCGGGTGTGGACCAATCAACTTCAAGGACAGTGCATACATTATCAGAGTTATTTTATTTGTTTACATTATGGCTGCAGGTATTGTGGTCTATGCAAACATGACTCCTTGTTTTGTTGCCAGATAGAAGGGTAAAAAACCAATTATCATATTTTTTACTGGCAAATGAGGTTCCAATGGTGTAACCGTGGTGCTGTTTTTTGTTTTCTATGTTATTGCTCTTGGCAACTTGGTTGACCCAAGTCACGCTCAACAAATAAGACTCGTGCCGGTCTCTCGAGTTCCCGGTTGGTTACAGGTCGACGTCATTCGCCAGAGGAGGCCCATTGTGTGCCAGCGTCATTGTCCAAATCTGAGAATGTACCCCAAAAATTTGCTCAATCGGATTATGCATTGCAATCGACGGCCCCTCCTGCAAATACTTGGCACGTGACTCAGCGAAACTTCTTCTCTAAACAATCATATTATTACTAATCATAACGATAAAAAGCAAGGCGGTAAAGGTAAAGACTCGAGGAACGCAATGTGTCGGAGAGGCCGTTCTCCTGGGAGATGGAGCGATTAATTCGGGTCAAGCGCACACGCTCGATGGATTATTACATGACGGGACCGTGAGAGGTGGTGGTTGTGGCGGCATCAGCGGCTTGGGAAGGCCTTCATCCAGCAGCGGATCGGCAAAAAACGCAGCCGCGTGAGCTCTCACCGTATCCTCGGCATCGCTGGCGCGCTCCTCCTTGATGCGCACGCCGCCGCTCTCCTGCACGGCATTGTGGGTCTGCCTCGTGGGATTCTGGGAATGCCGCTGTTTGTAGGTCTGTTCCAGATCCTCCTTGTGTTCCATGATCTTTGACCTGGCCAGCCTGAGCCGCTCCTCTCCCGTCACCACGGTCCCTGCAGTGCGTTCGTACATACATACATACGTAAGTACGTACGCACATTCGTTCATTTGCTCATTAGTCACCGACTGCGGAACACATTCCATCGACGATGAGAGCAAAAATACAGAGAGGCGCGATTATTTGTCACGGAACGTACCCGGTGGCGGTGCCTCTGGCTTCTTGGGTAGCATGTCCTCCTTCTTCAGACCGTACGCCTTCTCCAGCCTGGCGGTCACACACAAAGATCACCCGCGTAGCCTTAACAGACTGTTAGGGCAAGTGCTGTTAGCGAGCACCTATGAAGGCCGGCACGGCTCATGGTGGAGGGGGGGGGGGGGGGTGGTCACGCCCGGTGATCTTTACACGCCGCACCAGGTACTCATTTGAGGCTGAGTCGACCTAGGGGAAGCCCAGGACCGGTTCAGATAATCGTCACCGGTGTTGGCCGTGAGCGGGAATCGAACTCGGGATGCCGGGTTTGTAACACGGCGCGCTAACCACTGCACTACCGCTCCACACACACACAAACGCAGGAGCGCACGTCACGCGCACGTCACGCGCACGTCCGATACTCAACTCGCACGAGATCGGCAGTGGCGATTCGGGCTGCGTAACGAGCGATGCCGACGACCGGTTTGTCGGTGGTCGACGGGCAACGTCATTTAACATTTGCCGTTATCAGATCCGGTCGATACAAAATTCCGTTGTCGATTTCCACCGTGCGTCGTCGGCGGCGGCGGCAGTAGTAGCAGCAAGCAGCAGCGCGTTACAAGCTGAAATCATCATCGTTCATGATTTCCTTCGAGACAGTGAACCATTATCCCGTCCGCCCGCAGCTCACAACACGGCGTTCATTGGCAACGGGATTGTTTGGGGGGGTGGGTGGGGGTGGAGGTGGATGGGTGGATGGGTGGACGGGTGGGTGGGGGCGTGGTTCGGTAGTGGCGGCGGCGTTGGAAGCTCACCGCGCCTGGACGCCCGCCCACAGCATGGTCTGCCGCTGCACCACGTCGGCGTGCCTCCGCACAAAGTCGTCGTCGCGCGGCTGCATGAACTCCCAGCCCAGGCCGATGCGCGACACGGCCACCTGCTGGAAGATCTCGCGCATGTCGTCGGGGGGCAGCTGTGTGCAGCGGAGGAGAGGGTGGGGGGGGTGGTGGGGGGTTAAGACCGCAGAAACACACGCGTTCACGCAGATCCCGCACGCGTGCTGGCACACGCTGGTGTAGACGCTCGCACACAGGCACGTGCACGTGTGGGCTGTGGCTGGCAGGTGGTGGCGGTTGGTGGTGGCGGTTGGTGGTGGCGGTTGGTGGTGGCGGTTGGTGGTGGCGGTTGGTGGTGGCGGTTGGTGGTGGCGGTTGGTGGTGGCAGTTGGTGGTGGCGGAGTGTGGTGGCGGGGTTGTTAGTGACAGTGGTGGTTGAGTTGATGGTGGTGGGTGGGATGTCGTTGACCGTGGTTGGATTGTGGGTGACGGGTGGCGGTGGGTGGTGGTGGTCGGACGACAAAGGTGGTGGATGGTGGTGGTTAGATGAAATGTTGTTGGTTGTGGTTGGGTTCCGGGCGACGGGTGGTGGTGGTGGTGGTAGTGGGTGGTGGTGGTTTTTGACTGTGTAAGCGCGATGGGCAGTTGTGGTTGAGAAGCGCGGCGGCATTGACGCAGGCGGCCAACGCTGACCCTCATCGTTGATGACCTTCCCTCTCCCACTTAGCAACGAGGGACGGACGAGCGTGACGCGTGCGTGACGTGTGCATGACGTGTGCGTGTTGCGTGCGTCGCACCCCACCTTGACGATTCCGGCGACGTCCTTGCGCAGGAGCATCCTCTCCTGCGTGAACCTCCACATCTGCCGGGCGGCCACACGCACGTACACACACACACGCATGCACACACACCGCAGGGTTACTTAACTGTTTCGAGTTGATTTTGCTCAGCCAGGCGAGACCTCAAGGAAACCGGGAATCGTCTCATGTGTAAGAGAGTGGCCTGGCTCAACGAAACGACAACGGAGAAGGAATATGTAAAAAAAAAGTAGGGTCGGGTTTAAAGTCCAAAAACCGCGACACAAGTTTCGCTCCCAGCCATGCCCGACATTTCAAGTTTCATTTAATTTTTTCAAGTTTCATTTATTAGGTATCGCCCTGTGAGCCATGCGGCTCCTGAGCCACAACTGAACCAGTCCTGGGTCTCCCCCGATGCATCCGCTGCCCGGCGGACACACCGCTGCCCGTACTACGACTACACCCGCTACCTCCTGTGTCTGCCGTTCATATCGATCCTCAAGCCCGGCGATCAACGACGCACGCGTCGGCGGGCGGGCGGGAGCGCCCCGCGAGAATCGATAATTTTCGCCAAACCGGCGCGGCGCCAGAGAGGTTAATTCCGCCGCGGCCGTCACGGTGCCCCGGCGCGGAACGGCGAAAGGGCCGCGGGGCGCAAACGGGAAGCGGCGTCACGCGGCTCGGGAGACTCACGACGAAGTCTCGGGCACGGCACAGCAGCTCGCCGGGGATCCCGCTGTGAGGGCTCAGCGAGTCCTTGGGGTAGAGCACCTCGCTGTGGGGGGGGGGAAAGTGGGGGGGGGGGGGAGTGGGGGGGTTCAAGTTCATTTATTAGGTATAGCCCTGTGAGCCATTCGGCTCTTGAATCGGGTGCAACCGCAACAAACAAAAAACAAAAACATGAACAAGAAAACATCTTAAAGTGAATATGTGACTGAGTGCAAACAGAAAATCCAAGAAATTACAGCAAAATATTGCAGAAAAAAAGCACCGTACACCAACGCTGTGTGCAAAAATCCCAGTGGGATGCAAGTCAAACAACCAAAGGTGGGGGGGGAAGGGGGGTGCACACAAGGGATCAACGGCCATCAAAATATAACTCAAGAATCTTGATTTGAAGCTTTCGTGACTGCAGGAATCCATACTCTTTGGTTCTTTCGGTAAAGTCACGTGGGTAGAAAATAAAATAAAATAGATTACGACGTTTGGGATGCGTGTGTTGCGCTCGCAACGTCGTGATCTATTTTATTTTATACCTACGTGGCTTTACCGAAAGAACCAAAGAGTAAAGAACTCAAGAAGTCGGGCGGCTCGGAAGTTGGAGCGAGGAGCCGGCACCCCCCAAGATCCTGGGTTTGAATCCGGGACTCAGCCGTGTCCCTCACCCCCCCCCCTCATGGTTAGATGGAGCTCTCTCTCGAGCGGAGCCAGTTGATTCTCTTGGGCTCCTCCAGACCGTGGGCTGCAGTGCAGTCGCACCGTCTGTGCACTCGATAGCCATGCCATCGGGTCCTGGATTAACCCATGGGCCCCTCTGTGTAACTCCACGCATCTGCACGTGAGTCTATGTTTCTATTTGCATGTTCATGGCTGTGTGTGTAAGTCCATGGGTCTGCGTGCGATGGGATGTGGGGCAGGCTGGTAGCGCACCCACCTCTTGACGACCCAGCAGCCCTGCACTAGCAGGGCCACCTGCTGCACGCTGCGCAGCACAGACACCGAGTCGAGCCCGGGGCTCAGCAGCGACATCAGCTGCGAGAACTGAATCACTTTCACTGCAACGCGCGGACGGAGACACGGGCACGCACACACAGCCTTAACAGACTGTGGGGGCAAGTGCTGAGCAACTATGACCAGCACCACGTCTGACCACCTTTGTCTCCCCATAGCGATGTTTATACACCGCACCAGGAACTCATTTGAGGCTGAGTCGAACTCGGGGAGGCCCAGGACCGGTTCAGATTATCGTCACTGGTGTTGGCCATGAGCGGGAATTGAACCCGGGTCGCCGGGTTCATAATGCAGCGCGCTAACCGCTGCACTACTGCTCCCCACACACACCCACACACACGTATACAAACACACACACACACAAACATGCACACAGACACGCACACAGATGCGCGCACACGCACAAACGGCCAGACGAACATACACACAGACATACACACAGGCGCACACACAGGCGCACGCACACAGATGCACACACACGTATACAAACACACACACAAACACGCACACAGACGCGCACACAGACGCGCACACAGACGCGCACACAGACGCGCACACACGCACAAACGGCCAGACGGACATACACACACACACACACAGACACAAGCACACCCCCTCAAGGTGCTCACCGTTCTTCATGAGCGTCTTCACCTGGTCTCCGAGCGGCAACGTGCGCAGCTGAGCCATGGACATGACATTGCTGGGCGCCACCGTCACCTCGCTGTGAACACAGTGGCAGCGCCGCGCCCGCGTCAATGCCGCGTGCGTGCGTGCGTGCTGGTGGTGGCGGGGGGTGGGGACTGGCGGGCATCGGATAAACAGGTGCAGGATCACGGGTGGGTGAGTGCGGAGCAAACTCACATTTTCTCCTCTTTCGCGGGAGGCATCAGCATGGAGAGGTACTCCCTGCGAACGAAGCGCACGGGGGACGATGGATGGGTTAAGATCACGGAGGCTTCGTCTCACGAGGAGGGTGAGTCTCGTTTACAAGAGTGACCCGGGTCCCCCGAAACGAACGCTCCCGGAGCGCGAGAGCGAGCCGACGCGTTAACGAGCGGAGCGGGGTTGCTAGAGGCTCGCTCACTTGGGCGTCTTCATGAGCTCGCACGCCTCCATCATGCCGCTCTGCGCCAGCAGGTACTGTCGCTCGTGGTCCGCGCGCCCGTCCTGCGCGCACCACGGGAGAGACACGCCACGTTGGCATACACCGCCTTGCCCTGCTGCCGGCATCTGTGGCCGTGGGTGCGTGTGGGTGCGTGTGGGTGAGCTCGCTAACAGCACTCGCCCCAACGGTCTGTTGAGGCTATACGGGGGATCCTTGTCTTTGTGAGCGAGCGTGAGAGCCCTGAAGTACACGGCGCTCACCTTGAGTCCGTGGTGGCGGAGGTTGAACCACGGCTCCTCCGCCTGCTTCTGCTGCATGTACTCGTACGACTGCATCCGCCGCTGCTTGGCGCGGTCGCTCTCCGGTCGCGCGAACCGCACCTGGTGCAACGCCGCAACCAGATTCTTAGCGATTGCTGCGTCACGCTGTGCACCACGCTGTGCAACACGCTGCGTGCCATGCTGTGCACCACCGTGCCACGCTGTGCACCACGCTGTGCACCACCGTGCCACGCTGTGCACCACGCTGCGTGCCATGCTGTGCACCACGCTGTGCACCACGCTGCGTGCCATGCTGTGCACCACCGTGCCACGCTGTGCGCCACCGTGACATCGATGGTGGCGAGCGTCGTCACGCGGCACCGAGCGACTCGCCCTGTCCCTTCCCCGTTACTACGACGATGATGATTATTGCCATGATTCGGGGATCGCGATTTGATTCAACTGTCAATTCGATTCTTCGTCTCGTTTGTATAGATTTGCTTTATGTCCCCCCCGATTGCACAATTACGTCAAATCATTTGAAAAAATGTATTCGGCGAAACCCCTCTGCGACCGACCACTGTCACGGGAGCAATCCGAAATGCGCGTAAAACTCGACCCCCGAGTTAGTGATCTCGTCGGCGCTCACCGTCACTTGCTTGACATCGTCCTCGGCCTCCTCCTGCGACGAGTCGCCTGCGCGCTCCACAACACGAGCACCAATTAGGGCAAGGAGGAAGGAAAGCCGCGCACACGCGCGTGGATTCTCTAAGTGTTCCCGACGTGCGTTTGTCCTCGGGGGTGCGTTCAATCGACAGTAACTTCACGTGTCAAGCGGCGATCATGCCGCACGCCCCCCACCGCCACCCCTGCCTCCCGAAGGCGGGAAACCCCCCCACAAGCCACGCCCAGCACGACACGGCTGCCAATGATGCCGATGATGTCACCAAGTCCCGCCAATCACTTCCCGTGTTGTCCGATTTGTCATCCAACCGATAATGAAATACTGAAATCTAAAACGGAAAATGAACAGCGGGTGTCGTTGCAGAGAATGTTAATCACGAAATAAAAAACACACCTACCTTGTCTCTCCGCATAAAATATTACAAGTATATTTCACGCAACCAATGGGTCGCCACGGCCTTTACCAGCAGCACAGCAGCACTGCAGCACTGCTTCGCTACAAGAAAACTCAGGGTTTGTGTTGACATCCAGCGTTTCGCCAGCGGGCTCAGGCTTGCTGTCTTTCACGGGACCTTTTTTCCCAGTATCAAAGAGTTAAAAATAATTAGAGGTTTTACCCTTTCTGGCAATAAAACAGTTGTGTTAAGATGTTCAAACACCAAATAGAGAACCTTTTGCAAGGAATCAAGTCTGCGTAAAGAAGGCTGTCTCTGGTGTAGGCCAAATCATATTATCAGATCATGTTTGTTTGCATGTTCACCACAAGTACTGCGAGTGGTCAATGCAGTACTTCGATCCTTGAAAAGGGTTTCTATTTGGTGTTTGCACATCACAACTGTTTTATTGCCAGAAAGGGTAAAACCTATTATTTCGCTTCCTGTCACCCACGTCTTACAAGAACGGGTCCTTGTCTTACAAACATCGGGGCAGCTCACCCGGAACCGGACAGCCCGGAGCAACGCGGGAAAACCGCGCGACTTTTACCGGCACGGACGGGCCTCTCTCCCCGCGAGAGAGAGAGAGAATGGTGGCGGGGGTCACGGGGTGGGCATCCCGGCTCACCGTCTTGGGCGGCGTCCTTGTCCTTGTGCTTGGAGTCGGCCTTGTCGAGGTACGAGAAGCTGGGACGCAGCTGCAAGACGCCTTGGAGCGGCGTCACGTGCAGCTCGCCTGCCGGCACACGGGGGAGAGGGGGTGGGGGGTAAAGGGGACCAGGCACGCGGGTTTAGAGGACACGCAGATTTAACAAGCGCGGGTTGAAGCGCGGATTTAAGACACACGAGTTTAGGACACGTGCGGGTTTAGGACGCACGAGTTTTCGAACGCGCGGGTTTCAGACACGCGTGCACACGTGGACACACATTCGGGCCCGCGCCGTTCTCGCCCGCGCCACGTTCACGACGTGTTGTTGCGGCTGGGGTGCATCACTCATTTTCAGAGGGGGGCCACTATCACCGATAAGACATCAGTGTGGGGGCCGCCACACATTTTAAACCACCGGGTTTCACGACGACGTGGTGTTGTCACGTGTTGTGCATTGTCGGGGGCCACACGTCAGGGTCCGCACTAAAGGCCACCAGGGACCGCCAGCGGCCGCCAGTGGCCGTCGAGCCTTGCGATGAAGAAGGCCGCGATAGACCACGTCGCCCCGTTCACGTACCCCTGCGGTAGAGGGCGATGGCGTAGCGCGACGCGCTGCCCGGCGTCTGACTGGAGCACAGCAGCTGCTTGTCCATCAGCTTCCTACGCGGCGAGCGCAAGGGAAACCCGAGTCACGGCTCACGCGGCACCGCAAAGCCCCCGGTCACTCTACTGGAGGTGAGTGGAGGCGAGTGGCGGTGAGTGATGGTGAGCGGAGGGGAGTAACAGATCGTTATGGTGAGTGGCGATTAGTGCGACGGTGAGTGACAGCGAGTGTGGGCAAGCGACAGTGAGTGTAGGTGAGTGACGGTGATTGACGGTGAGAAGAAGTGAGTTACCATGAGTGGAGGTGAGAGGAGCCGAGTGACGGTAAGTGGAGGTGAGCGACAGTGAGTCACGGTGAGTGGAGGTGAGTGGAGGTGAGCGACGGTGAGCGTTTACGTGGAGTAGGTGCAGGAGCCGCTGCCGTCGTCCCCGTGGGCCCCGTCCACGTTGAGTGCGATCTGCTCCCCCTTGCTGCGCGAGTAGTTGGGACTCGTCACGTTGATGCCCAGCTCCAGCTCCACCTGCAGCGTTCGTTCGGGGAAGAACGCAATCGCCAACAAAACGATTCATTGACGGGGCCGCTTGTTATTTTTCAGCTTGCCCAAAGGTGACGACGAGCGGATTGATGCCATCGAGGGCGTGATGATGACTACGACTGCTGCCCACCGGAGGCCAAAGCACGCGACCGACTGCGACGAGGCGATGCCAAGGAGTTTGAAAACGACGACACGGACTCGGGTGACCCGGTCACGTGATCGGAGGCCGCGGTGCGCTCCCTGCGTTGCGATGTACGGACGTTCGCTCGTTCGTTCACACACGAAGGGCGTCCGGCCACAGGCAGGCTCGTGTCCAAGGCAGGAGCCGCCCCAACCCACCGAGCCTCTCTTCCCTACACCATGCCCCCGTGGCCAGAGGAGGGTCTCTCCGTGCCCCGCCCCGCCACCCCCCCCACCACCACCACCACCACCCTCTATCCTCGACGCTCACCTTATGCAGCTTGGGCTTGATGCGTGTGGCGAGGTGTGGCGTGCCCTCGTACGTCATGCCCGCGGGCCGCACCGGGTACTGCAAAACGAGACGCGACGGCCGACTCAAGAGCCGCACGGAACCCAAGGAAGAAGACGTGTGTGCGTGCGTGCGGATTCCGCAACGCTCTCCAACGTGCTCATTTGTCCCCGGAATGTGTTTAATAACGCGACGATAACGCGACCTTCCGAGTGCGCGGCACGTGACGTCACACGGCGCGCGATGTCGTGAGGTGACGTCACGTGTAGTGATGTCATGGTGATGGCACCAAACGCGTGGCGTGCGACGTCATCGCCATGGCTGAAAAGTCTATTTTATTTAGCGCTGGTTTTTACCGCCAAATGTTCGGCAACCGTTTGATCAATGTGGCCAGTTTTTCTACAGGGAATGTCCTCGAACAGCAACAGAAATTGATAACAAAAATGTTGTTTATTACGGGATCAACTTTACACGAGTTATTGCCCACCGCGTCCCCCGTGTTACAGGCAGGCAGACGGACATAACTCGAGTATTAACGCTGCTTTAAACTTTAGTTGGCAAGCGTCGTACCATACTTCACCCGGCTGATCAGTGTGACTTGGTGAAAAGCTGGAATTTTCTGGTGACTTCGTTAAACCACCCCCCACCCCAGGGTCAGGTTTGCCAATTACCTGGAAGAGGTAGAGCTTGTCAGCGAGTCCCTTCGCCAGGTACACGTCGATCTGTCACACGCACAACAGCATCCAACAAGGCCATCGCCGTTACACTCGAATATATCACGCACATCGGTGTCACAGGACGCTACTACAGGTGTCAGGCGAAGACACCGGGTGTACAGGCAGCAGACATACAGGCAGTAGGTGTACAGTCAGCAGACAAGCTGCAAGCAAATGTACAGGCACCAGGCCGCACACGCACAAGGATTACGGTGAGCAGACACACAGACAGCGGGTGTAGAAACGTGATGCACAGAGGCGTCGAGTATGCAGGCACCGTGTCTACTACACGCTCGGTACCTGCCGCCTGTACACCAGCTACATGTACGCCTGTCTGTACGTGCACGCTAGCCTCTGGTGTGTGAGCAGCGCCGTGCGTCCTCGCTCACCTCCTCGACGATAGGGTCGTCCTCGTCGTCTGTGGCGGTCGCCATGGTGATGCAGTCTGCCGCTCCCCTCGCTCCCGTGTCAAAACGGACGCGCGTCACACTGTCGTTCCCCCGTCACACCAGCCGCATTTCACCACCGTCCACCCGTCACACCGCCCAAATGCCACACCGTCCCAACGTCATACCAGCCACCCGTCACGCCACCCACTCATCACAGCGTCCACCCGTCGCAGCGTCCGTGTCACAGCATCCACGTGGGCGTTGGTGGGACACCACTTCTGGCACCGGGGGGACGATGCTGGCACACCCTCACCGCTGTACCCTCACCAGAGGTCCTCACTGCCGTCACGAGTCTTCACCCCTGTGCACGCGAAGACGTAGAGATTCACCGATTATGGGTTAAGGATAGATGGTGGATATTACTGTACTGAAGATTCCTAACAAGGATGAAACTGCAATGATACAGATGTCTCATTGTCCTGCTTATTTATTAAATTAAATCTCCACAATTTTGAACGGAAGGCACGGCCGTGTCAGTGACATACAAGGCATGTAAGTCACAATTGTGCCTTTTGCGTATATCACCTATCACTCTTCAGATGTGGTGCTGGTGTCAGCGTTACGGAGTTGGGTTAAGGAACTGGTGGTTACCGACGGGTGTTTGACGCAAGCGCTAGGGTTCAGGATAAGTCGTTGGCATTCGGGTAGGTTGTTAACGTCCAGGCTTTGGGCAAGACTCCACTTCAATCTGTACTACCAGATTAACGATTACGACCTCGGACTTCGAGAAAACGATGATACAGGTGATCCCCTGCATAGCCTTTAACAGTCGGGACAAGTGCTGTTAGCGACACGTCACACGAAGGAGGTAGGTGGCCAACACCACGCCCGGCTGTTGCAGGAAACGTGAGCACGTGCACACTGTGAACTCAAATGTACAATCTGTAAAGAGAAAACACGGATTGCAAAATAATAATAATAATGATAGCAAGAATGCAAGCTGTCGTCTCATCCGGAACAGAATAAGACTCAATGCGATGTTCTTGCCTGGTTAAATATAGAGGGACCGATTAAACAGAGAGAAAAAATAATCTCAATGGATGTCCGCCTGATGATGCTGGTCGCAATTACCGGCGAAACGTCGTACTTGAATTGGAAATGTTGTACAACACACAAGCGATGTGTTGGAGAGCGAGTAACGAATGTGGCACGTTTTGTGTCGGTGACGACCCTTACTGATTGGCCGTGTCGGGTGGTGGAGGGCTTTTTTATATTTACGCGATCTAAACAAAAAAAACATTATAGATTTAATCTTGACTTAAAGCTTTCGTGACTGCAGCGATTCATATTATTTGGGTCTTTCGGTAAAGCCACATAGATTGAACAAATAATAGTTATTATATTACTATATTATTATGTTTATTTGTTTTTATCTCCGTGGCTTTACCGAAAGAACATTTATTATGGATATTGTTGGGGAAAGTCCTAACGACTTGCGAGTTAAACAACTCACGTGGTTGAACTCAGCTGGTCAGTGGCAAGACGCGAATCTCAGCGTGTCCCCACGTCGCTACAAAACAAATCACCGTCAATGACTCAAACCAAGCGCACACCAACACGCACGTACAACGCGTTAGCGTTGGCGCTACGTTTTAAAGATGTAAACCAAAGCGTAACGAATGGTGACTGCGAGGCCGGCGAGGCCGGGGGGCGTCGCCCGGCCCTGCCCGGAGCCTCCCGCTTCCACCGGTAGCACATCCAGGCGAGAGCGAGGCTTCGCCGCGGCCTAAGTCTCGGCGACGCGAGGCGTTGTCGCGCTAAGGCGGTTTTAATTCGTAAACGAAACTTCAACAATAAACGCTGCAAAAGTCGACGGCGGCGCTTCTGTTCAAAAGCTCAGCGCCAGGAAGGGAAACTTACTCTGTGCGGGGTTTGCATAGAACCATGTGAGGGTGTAGCAGCAGCAGCGGCAGCGGCGGCAGCGGCGGATCGCGGCCTCCATGTGACACCGCGTGGCTAAACGCGACCACGCCGCAATTAAAACACAAATAATCTTATGCGCGTCTATATAATAACAGCAATTAAAATAAAAAAAACACCACCACGATTGTTAATGTATTTTTTGTTGTTGGTACAAATGTAGCTGTAATCATCCCAAAGAATATATATGATACAAAAGTGAATAGAAATTTAGTTTAAAAAAATATTTCAGTTGGCAGCGGTGGGATTTGAACCCACGCCTCCGAAGAGACTGGAGCCTTAATCCAGCGCCTTAGACCGCTCGGCCACGCTACCACATGGAGAGGTCCTGCGACCGCTGCCACTTTAAGTTCTCACCGCGGATGGGCCCACGTGGCATGACCACGTGGCAATTGTGGACATCCATTAACCTCCTTCATTCATAGACGTTTTGGGTTTTGTGTACAGGGTGCTTCAAATTTGTTTTAACACTTGTACGGGACTATCGTTTTTAATGGAAAAAGAATGGATAATACACTGTAACATAATAACAAATGTCTGTTAATAGCTTCTTAAAGTCTTGTTCGCCATCATTGTCAACAATGTGACTGGGATCTTCATCAGGTGGTCTCAGAGCCCAGGAGGCACATTTTTTGTGGCCTCGTTGCAAATTCTCAGAAGTGTTAAACATTTTTTTGAAGCACCCTGCACATTATGGATATTGGTCGCGAAATCCTCCGTGTTAAACTGTATATTTGGAGTTTGCGTCTCTCTCTCTCTCCCCGTGATCGTGTGGATTTTTCTTCGGGTCTTCCGGTTTTTCCTCCTCCACATTTAGAATCACGCGTTTGGGCTACTGTAGTTGGCAGCGATAAATGTCCACACGATAAACAACTTTGTCGGGCTCTCATCTGTGGCCAAGTCGCTTCTTTAAAAAAACAAAAATAGCTAGATAACTCGGTGGGCCTCACCTGGTTCATAGGTTTGAGTTTTATTTGAAGTGTGGGAGGAAGCCGAGGAACCCGGAGGAAGACCACGCAGAACCGGTGCCGGCTTATAACGTCGTAGCAAAAGTAGCTGCTGTATATGCTACAGGCCCCGTACTTAATCCGGTGCTGCGCAGAACGGAGGCGGGAAGAATTCAAACTCCACGCAGAAAGGCGGCCGAGTCGGGAATACGAACCCAGGTCTCTCTCTTTGCTGTATGGAACGCGCAGTTAAACAACCGCGCCACCCTGAAGCGATCTAAAACGTTACCGATGTGGAGTTTGCGTGACTTTCTCTCCCCGTGGTCCACGTTTAGAATCAGCGTCACGCGTTCAGAGCGTTTGGCCGCTGTACATTTCCACACGACGATAAGCCCACTTGGTTGCGTTATCATTTGTGATATAGCCAGGTCGTCGCTTCTGAAAAAAAGAGCTATCATAACTCAGTAAAGCCGTGATGTTTTTGTATTAAAAGTCACGGCCAAGGTGCGCGTGAATACACGCAGAGAGCCCTGCGCAAATTCCGCGCTTTTCTATTCAAGCAATTACCGTACTTACTTTCCCTGTCTTCTCTGTGTATGTATCTCTGCTACCTTGTACCTCGTGTCTCAGTGTCTGTTCACGAGACCTTGTCCTCTTCATTCTAGATTTAAAGTTTTCGTGACTGCAAGGATATTTGAGTTCGCGTCTCCCATCTTCTTGCTGTATTTGCCTCCGTGCAGTTTGCCGTTCTGTGTGCGATGTCCCTCTGTGTGTTCCCTCGCTATATGTTTTGCCCCATTTCCACCTGATGATGAGCGCTTGTGTTACGTTCGAAACGTCGTGATTTATTTCATTTGTGATTTATTTAAAATTTTATTTAATTTCTACATACCAATGAGTATAGTAATTTCTGCAGTCACGAAAGCTTCAATTCTAGATTAAGATCGACCCCCACCGTAAATGTGCCACGTTTTTTTAGCCTCGCATCGTCAGCCACGATCAATCCACCGCTGGATGACAGTATCCGTTGTCCATTTCTCAGAACAAAAAACAAATCTCATCTTGCGCGGCGTAATAAGCCGCATAGAGGCACTCTACCCGCCCACGAGTCGATTCCACCGCTCCATCTCCACCGACCGGGTCAACAACGTTCCCTGTCTCCCTCTGTGGACGCGTTCCTTGCCCGCCACTCCGTGATGGTGCTTCATCGGGCGCATGGTGATACGAACCCTTTCTGCCTCGCGCTGGCCTCAAGCCCCCCCCCCCCCCCCCCAAATCGAAGGGTGATCGAACAATGCCATGAACCTGCTGCGGCTACGTTCTCTACTGGACATGTGGAACAAACACAGCGCTTTATAGCTCATCAGATTCCTCCAGGATAAATGTTCCGATTCTGAAATACACGCGGTCCCCCACCACTCCCCGCCTCTAAATGTTTATTTAAACGTCATCATTGAAAGAACCTGTGACCAAAATCACTCGGAATGCCCCCTCCGACCTCCTCAAGACCTCGGAAGGTCAGCAGGCGTCGAGCCTACCTACCTTCTCGGACCACCATGTACACCGGTCGTATGGGGGTATCAGTGCAACATATCCGTTGTTCTGCACTCCAACCTTCACTAACCAGCGTGGTGAAGTGTGGACAACATCCCCCACCGTGTGAAAGTGCTCGTAACGGGCTCTGGGATATGATGCGTTAATGTTTTTGTTTAAAAATTGCAATCGCACACAATAATCATTCTGTGCAGAGCAGAGACGTTGGGAGTCGTTCGTTTGAAACCCAGCCACACATTGTGAAACTTTATTACAACGTAACATATACAGAGCGCGGAAGCTGTGTGTGTGTACACTGCAACTCTTTGTTGAACTTTTTTCGCACCGCACGTAGCCTAATCGTGCTCATCGAAGGTTACGGTAACAGTTTCACCAACATGCCGGGCAATTGCTGTTGTCAATTGTTTATTTTTCATGACAAGCTGGAGGGTAAAAAAAGAAAACTACTTCCACGCGACTCGCACCGTGCAAAGGCGCGCGCCGTCTGCGATGCTGCAACTCAATCACAGCACAACCGAAAATTCCCAGTTCTGTCACCCCTCCAATCACAAACGACGCGTGAGTTGGTATTGCCGTCCATTGGTTTTCAATCATCGTTATTATTTTGCTATATACAGGGTGATTTTTTCTTTCGTTTATAGATGTCACGATGATTTCTACGAATGATCCTCTGGCGTGCATCTCAACGGACCATTGAATGTTGTAAAAACGATGTTTGACTACGTGAACAAGATAAGTGTTGTTCATTGATTCAATAAGTGTGTCGAGGTTGGTGGAGGTTAGGAGACATGATGAGGTGGGTGATACGCTGATGTGGGACACACGTGGAGGTCTGAGACAGCCACGTGGTGGGAGACACGTAGAGGTGAGATCGGAGGTGGAAGATACGTGAAGGTGGAAGATACGTGGAGGTGTGAGGAACGTGGAGGTCTGAGACAGACACGTGGAGATGAGAGACGCGTTTAGGTAGGTTACACGTGGAGATGGAAGACACGTTGATGTGGAAGACACGTGGAGATGGACGACACGTTGAGGTGGGAGGCGTCGTAGAGGATTTGAAATCACATTATGTTAACGGGGAGTATCCGATAGATGGATCACCCTGTATATTTGATAACAATTCAATTGCTCTATATATTCTCTCTATATATATCATTATGGGCTAATACACGTGCACACACATGCAAAACTCGAATAAAGATCGTTACGAGATTCGTAGCGGCCAACCACCACGGAGATGGCAATACCGGTCAGCCGTACGAACAGAAACCTTCGTAAGGTTTGTAAACGCACACACCATAGCGGCCAGGAGAATCATGAACACGTCGGAACATACCGTGCGCGCACAACAAAAAACAAACCCCTACAAATGCACAGGATGTGGGGAGTCGTTAAAACTACGAGTACGCAAAATCAGTGAACGGTTTGTGTATATGGGCATTTCCATTTGTTTACGTTTTGCACAAAAGAAGCTTAAGACGTGTTTACGTTTAACAGTATTCACGGAAAAGGAGGGAATGGGGGGAACATAGGCGCAGCCCTGCAACGTCTTTCTCCCTCCACGAGAGGGAGTCCCCCCCTGTTCAGGGTCACGGATTGTGGCGGCCTCTTCTACGCTCGCCAGACAGAGACGTCTTTTGACAGTTTCGTGGAAAACAATGTTAATTACAATGATATTACACACACACTCCCCCCGCCACGCGTTTGGGGTGGAGGGGTGAATGGGTGGAAGATATCACTCGCCACTGATGTCAGCCGTGGCTCAGAATCAAACACAGGATTCATACTTGAGCGGAAACAAAAAATCACAAAGCAAAGCACCTTGGTGAAACAAAAATAACCACAAACAGTACACAAAACGAACTACTCTAACGCCAGCAGAAACAACGAAGCCCAACAGAAGGGCGGGAAGTGGGGGGGGGGGGGCATTAGGCCCTGTAGCAGGGGGGTGCCGGAGTGGGCCCTGTACCACCACAGGCCCCCGTGGCCCACCCAGATTCACCCTCCTGAGCGGACTATCACTGACATGGTGGCCCAGACAACAGCCGAGCTGCTGCTGCTGCTGCCATCCCCGCCGCCGCCGCCGCCGCCCACACCCCACGATCTGAGAGGAGCTGGAGTCGGGCCTTGGGGGGCATGAATTACAAAGGCAGCAGAATTAACTCTGACCCCCCCCCCCCCCCCACATGGTAACCGACTGGGTGCACGGTGAAAAACGACGTACTCCCGATGCGGCCATCTAGGAGGTCTGCAGCACCCTGTGCCCACCAACGAGGTGGTGGCTGTTTAGCTCTGCGAACACCCAACACTGACAATTCAGACGGGGCCTTGGCGAATGCTGGTGGTGGGGTGAGGGGCAGGGCTGGTACCAATGGTTCACTGGCTATTTGGTTATGGCTATGGTCAGTGGGATTGCCAGTGGCGTTAACTGGTCGACTTGCCGGTTAGGGACACCAATGGTTGGCGAATCGGCTCTGCAACAAACCAACATTCCTTAAATTTGGCCTTTCCATTTTTTTGGGGGGCATTTTTCTTTTTGCCGATATTTCAGAGTTGGCATGTGCATTCATAATTATAACTTCACCACCGCACAGACCCAGAGAAGCAGCACTGCTACACATCACATTTCGCGGTGGTGGCTTGGCCCAGCGGTAGCAGCATTCACACGCTCGTTGCGGAGAGATTCAAGGTTAAAATCCAGCAGCCTCCCTGATTATCGCTGCGGTGGTGATAATCAGTGGACGCTAAAAGTTCCTCTCAAATCATTCGCAAGGCTATTGTGTGCCGGCATCAGGGTCCAAATTTGCCAAATTCGAATATTACTGGCTAATTACTGAACTGAGTTCTAACTTTCTATGAAATTTTACACGGATAATTCCAATTGGGATTATACATAGCAATCATCGCCCCCCTACTGGCAGACTAATTGCCCCAGGTCACTCATGCAAATGATACTCTCTTGGACTCTTGAGTTCCTCACCTGTTTAAACAAAATAAACTCGAACTTACGAAGTCAGAGGTTGCGTTATTAACTCACGATACAGAGCGAGGGCTCAGGCCTGCGATCAGAAAGCCCACGGAAGAAGTTTGCACCATTGCGTTTCAGCGCGTTCAGTCCCTCTAGGGAGGGCGCCGTTTAACTTCTAATATATTCCATTCCTCCATGAGGCCTAACCCAACATCGGCAACAAAGAGCAGCCAAAAATCACACGCTGGGCTTTACCCCCTTCCTACTCCACAAACCGCCACCAGAGTTAAGCAAGCTGTCATTATACCGTACGACATTAAAATTCGAATTAGACGGACCTCATTCGAGCCAATTGACTGGTTAACGTTTGTGGGGCCTTGCTCGGCTCCGTATCACCTCGACTTCGACCCAAAATCCCAGGCCATAAAAAAATAAAAACGCCAACATTTTTCGTCACGAAACCACCGAGCCAACGCTCTCAGCCAGCGACGGCGGTGAGAGGCGTGCGGTGCTCCAAGACGCAGGACAGAGAAGGGGATTCGGTGGGAGGCCGACGGCGAACGCCGATTGAGAGCGGGAGGTCTCTCGCCTCCTCCCAGGCGCGAGAGCGACGCCTCGCAAAGGGTGGCGCCATTTCGCCGCTGCGTGGGGGACGTTTCGGCGCCTCGGATTGTCGGCAAGTCTTGCATATTTCACGACGGCCCGCGGGTGCCGCCGTGCCGAGTTCGGGTTATTGACGCCGGGGTTCACTTTCTCGAGGGCCGTCGGCTACGAGGAGTCGCGACCGATAAGTAAACCATTTTCTCCAATAAAAAACAATCAGCAAAACGATTGCTGTGGGCCTCTCGCCGTCGGGAAGTACGGTACAATAACGTAACGTAACAACTTCCGCGATAAACAGCAACACATAAAAATCACTATCCGATCAAATTCTCCAGGTATTCGGCGATTTCGTTAATGACAGCAGACGCGACGAGAAACCGAAAACGGAATTCTCCCAATCTGCTTTCATCGCAGCTCATCAATGCGTTTAGTATTTGGTACACACTGTATATCTTTTACCGGATAATCTTCTCTCGATAAAAAAAAAAGTCCACCGGAATCCACACATCCGGCGGACGCTGGTGTGGAACAAGGCGAGGTCACCTTGTCAACGTTAGCGGCCTATACGCCTGGGGAGGGCTACGTTTGAGAAGCTGGCGGGTTTCTAAATGTGCTATTTTTTTTTCTTCTCTTCTCTCAACCTCCCAAGTCCTCGTTTGCTTTTGTAAACTAAGCCGTTGACGGGGTCTTGAGACGTTCGATAGCGTCGGATGGCGGCTCATTCTCGCGTCTTATAAACGCGCGGGGGGGGGGGCTTTCGCGTCGTGTGATATCGACATTATGACCGTACCGTACTCACGAGTGCTTTCAAATTTACTGTGCAATGTTTACGGTTCAGCGTCGAACCCCCATTTAAGCGCCAAGAAATACAACCAGTCATCCCGCCGAATGCCGATGAATCACGGCGCGACAGCAAAAGCAAATGCCGCAAGGTCAACGGCAACGTAACATCGGAGCTGATGCTGCGGTTGAACAAATGAAAGGTTGAAATGCGTTCGCCAATTAGTACCAGTAAACCCTCATTTACATTTTCTGGTAAGTGCTACGAAATCAAAAAGAGGCAAAATGTCGACATCAGACAAAGTTAAATCCCTTCCGTTGAAGGTCAAGAGCAGGAATTCACAAATAATTAACGACGCCTGCCCATCTTCCCGCAGCCATGGAACCGTCCCGGGGAGAGGTGAAGTCAAGGGGGAGAAGTCACGTGGATCCGCTCCCACACAGCCTACTCATCACACACACATCACCTGCTCACCACTCAACACACACACGCAAACCACCCGCTGAATACACACAGTACCCGCTCACAACACACGCACGAATCACCGACATACAACGCCCGTTCACCACACACCGTCCGCTCACCACACACACCGCCCACTCACCATGCACACACACGCTCACCGCACCACCACCCAACATGCACACAGACCACCCGGCTGCAGCAGTCGCGCTGGCCTGCCAGCACCAGCGTCAACCCTGGATGAAATCCGTCCTCCGACTCCTGCACGGGACACACGACCAGAGGAACAATGAGATGGACAGAATCTGCAGCATGGATCTCCCCCATGCCACCTTCACCATGGCGCAAGTGAAATATTACGTCCGCCTGTCTTCAGTTTCATTTATTTGGTATAGCCTTGTGAGCCATTCGCCTCTTGAATCGGGTGCAACCGCAACAAACAAAAATCTAAAACATGAACAAGAAAACATCTTAAAGTGACTATGCTCAAACAGAAAAATCCTGGAAAAAACAGCAAAAAATTCTTCCAGAAAAAGCACCGTACACCAATAATGTGTGCAAAAATCCCAGTGGGATGCAAGTCAAAAAACAACAACCACAAGACAACTTAGATTAAAGCCGTACTACAACAAACATGGCCAAACCAAAAAAGCCCAAAAACGTTGTCCTCGCAAGTAAAAAAAAAAGCTACAAAACCCTTAAGCCAACGACTGCGAATACTGTTTTACCGTGCGGTGTAGCACGACACTATGGGCGGAAGCGTTGATCGTTCCTGCTGGTGCAACAACCATGACGGTACACTACACGCCGTTTGCATTGCAGTGGACGTTAAAGATCCCCCCCTGACGTCGTTCACAAAGCAGCAATCATTGCCCCCCACTGGCAGACTTGAATGGAGAGCTTCATGATAATAATGATAACACCTCTTTGTCAATCCACTTCTAGAAGGTATCCCCCCCTCCGTGTTGAAGGAGGTGAGGGGGCCAGGACTGGTTCAGATACCACTCGCCACCGACGACGTGAGCCGAGGCTGGGAATAGATTTCAGTTCGACGGGTTCGCAGAAAAGTGCGCATCGACCGCTGTGCCACCACTCCCCCGCCAGTTGCATCACCGCACAAACTAAATCGAAGTTGATCAGTGCGAGTCTGTGAACGGGGGGGGGGGGGGGGGGGGCGGAGGATTGCCGCTCATCACCTCACTCCTCGACGCCGGACCACGCCTCCTCCGCCAGCTCGTAGTAGCGGTTCGCGAGCCGCCCCTTCATCGCCTCCATGGCCGCCTCGGCCGCGCTGGTGAACAGATCCCCTGCACGCGCACACCACGGCAGACACAGACAAAGAAACCCCCCCCACGTATAGCCTTAACATACTGTTGGGGCAAGTGGTTTTAGCAAGTAACACCTATAAAGGCCAGAACGGCACACGAGAGGGCGGGTCGCCAGCACCGCACTCGGTCGCCGTTATCTCCTTATGCAGCGGCAGGTGCTCATTTGAGATCGAGTCAACCAAGGGAAGGCCCGGGATCGGTTCAGATAATCGTCGGTGGTATTGGCCGCGAGCGGGAATCGAACTCTGGCCGCCGGGTTTCGTAGTGCGCCCTCTGCGCGTCCCATCGGTCACGGGCAGCAGCCGTCAGCGCGTGCGAGCCTCTCACCCGACTTCTGGGGGTCGCAGGCGACGCCGTGCCCGCCCGCCATGTAGATCTCGGCCTGGCGCGCCAGCAGAATGTAGCTGGGGTCGTCGCTCGTGCCGTCGTACTCGCCGCCCTCGTCGTACTCCGTCATGTTGAGCGCCGCCTCGTACCAGCGCAGCGCCTCGTGCCAGTCCTGCTTCCTGCGTGCGCACGCACGGATTGCACGGATGACGGACGGCCCCTCGCTCGGCCATCGCACCCACGTTCACCCCGCGGGCTTGTAGCGCATTTGTCGAGGCAAGCAGCTTGCCCCGGTTAAAACCGCAGCAGGTTACGTGCACTGACAAGAATAGATTACCTTCACTGACAACAATACGCTCCGCCAACTACGACTACCGCACAGTGGATGGTAATAATAGTAATAATAAAAAATAAATGAAAGTCGGTTTGCCGCGTCGCCGGGGCGGCTACCTACCTGCCGCGGCCCAGGTTGGTGCCGGTGTCGTAGGCGCGCGCCACGAACAGCATGGAGTGGCGGTCGCCCGCCTCGGCCGCCTCCAGCATGAAGGCGAAGCCGAGCGTGGTGTTCTCCTCAGACTCCTGCACGCGGAAAACGCGGAACGCGCACGCACGCACGCCGTTCGCCGGACTTGGCGAGGCAACCTGGGCACATGCACGTAGGTACGTTGAACTTCTCCCGCACCGTACGTAGTCAACCGTGCAGCAGTGTCGGCGCTGGCGGATGGGTGCGGGGACCAGCGAGCGGGTGGGGGCGGCCGAGTCGGTGTGGTTGGTAGACGGACGGGTGGGTCTCAAGCGACGTGGACAAGTGAACAGGCGTATGAGGTGGCGGGCTGACAGGTGATGGAGCCGATTAGCTGGATAGGTGAGCATGCTATCAGACAAGACAGGGGGGTCTGGCAGGTCGGTGTTGAGACTGGCGAGCAGGCAAGTGAGTGGGCAGGTGAGAAGGCACATGAGGAGGCGGGTGAGCGGGATGGTGAGTGGGGAGGCGATTCGATTGGCGAGCAGGCAGGTGAGCGCGGGTGGCTGGCGAGCGAGCGAGCGTGCGGGTGAGCGTGCGGGTGAGCGTGCGAGTGAGCGTGCGGGTGAGCGTGCGGACCGCCCGGCCGACCGACCTCCATGGTGAACTCGCCGAGCACGTCGTGCGGCAGCTGCAGGTGGATGCGAGCGAGCGCCAGGATGGCCTCCATCTCGCCGCACAGCCCCGCGTGGCGTAGGTGGAAGAGCGCCGCCTCACGGTCCCACGGCGCCTCCTTCTCGCCAAAGCGCCCCGCCTCGTGGCACTTGGCCATCTCCAGGTGCACCTGGGCGTCGCCACGGGGGGCGTCGTCAGAACGAGCACCACCGGCGCCGCCACCACCACCACGAGCAGCAGCAGCACTCGCTAAGAGTCAGCTGCCACTATTACAACCGCCAGCGACACTATCGTAGCTAACACTAGCAACAAACAAACACCAACAACAACAACAACCGCCGTTCGCCAGTAAGTGGCGGTGACGTAACCACAGCGCTTGTGCCACCACCACCAATGTAACTATCACCAGCAGTACTACAGCCAGCATCAATATTACAACCACCAGCATTAGCCAACACCGGCGCTGCCACCGCCACAAGCACCGAAACCACAATGTAACTACCACCAGCACTACTGGAGTCAGCACCACTGCTACCACCATCGTCAACATCACCACTACCACCGGCGTAACCAACTCCACAACCACCACCGCCACGGCCGCCAGCAGCGTAACCACCACCAACACCAGCGCTACCAACACCAGCACCAAAACTAGTGTCACCACCAGCGCCAACACTTAAAGCCACCGTCGTTATTATCATTATCACTGCACAATAATGTGTCTAACTGGTGGCTACCCGGCAGCGGCGCTCCCGGACGACGCACCTTGCCGAGGACGGACTTGCCGATCTTGCCCTGCATCTCCAGGTTCTGCAGGCGGTTCACCTCCATGGAGACGCTGGACGGGCGGTGGCAGTGGGCGCGCGACGCGTGGAAGTTGTCCCACTTGATGCTGCAGCGGAAGTCCTGCAGGGAACGGGCAACGCAACAGCACGCGGCTTTACGACGACGCGTCAAACGAACGTCGATCACCCAAAAGGGGGTCCCCCCCTCCCTCTTCCCCCCCCCCTTGCCCATGAACGTCTGGCAGTTCTCCAGCATCGGTTGAAGCAAGCCCGACTCATGGATGTCGAAACCGGTCCAGAGTTTTGCTTGCGTCGAACCAATGCTGCAAAAACAAAATGGAAAATTACTCCCAGAAGGCTGCGTAGTCGATGCGACGTGTAATTTTTTACGTGGAAGGACATGTGTATATATATTTGATAAATGATGAGAGAATGCCACAAAACGATCGTTAGCTGATAAAACAGCGCAGTTATACGTGTCCCTCCACTCCCACATCTGTTAAGTTAGTATTGGTTAAGGCTTTGACACGTTGGTAGGCCCGCGCACTGTAAACGTGCCGAGCAACGTGGCGCTAGGAGCCTTCAACTATTCTCGAGAAATGGTCACCTTCGTACGATCAGTGTTCTCTACAGGCTGTTGTACCTCCGCATGTATTTTTAACATGCGCGCTTTTTGTGCCCCTACTCGTTTTAACGAACCCAATCGTCAACGCAGCAACAAAGGAAACTTCGCAAAACATGCTGAGCAGGGTGCTCCTGAGAACGAGTCGCGAGGGTCGAGCAGTCACGGTTCAGGCTCAAAAACTCGCACGACAAACACGATTGCAAGCAACACGCCGCACGCACGATGGCAACTGCGCAACCAACTAGGGCTTGCCGAACAACACAAACCACGTGAACCCACTCCAAGTCTTCGAGCAGCTAAAACAACGTTTGTTAATTCCCGAGGCGTAACAATCACACGGGGGAACCGTGCAGTAAAAACCACACCGCATGGGAGGATGCATTGTCAGCTCTCGATGATTTATCAAAACAGTGCACACACGATGTTATCGTTCGACCGAACAAGACGGTGTCGGTTAAGCGTTTCCTTCGTCTAAAAACGGGTCGAGGAATACCCTCGGTCGAGATGCAGTCGTGCGTTGGGTCAGGCACAGGCGCCGGAAGGCGACACACGGCGCGACCCGCGGCGATCGCCTGCCTCCCCGGCGCAAGGCCGATCGAGGATCCGTCAACACCCGGGGGTGGGGCGCACTCCTCTTCCTAACCCCCCCCACCCCCGCCACCCACCCTAGGAGAGCGAGGATCAGTCGCGGACGGGGAGGGCCTGTGTGGTCTATCGCGCACGACCGAACGTCGACATTGGAATCGATCAAACGTGCCACCCGCAGCAACGTGATTTGGGTCGATATTAACATTTAATATTTGCGCAAGACTGACACAATGGGTGGGTACCGGTCCGGGCCAGGAGAGGTTGTGGGGAGTGTGCCCCAAGGTGGAGGAGGGGGGGGCGGTGAGGGGTGGACCGGAGGAGGCGGGGGGGGGGCATGCACGAGCGATGGACGACGCGCGCGACACCGCCACCTGCGTGGGGAGGGGCACGCGGTGGCGAGGGGCCGGCAAGGGGCTGTTATCCTCCTGCTCACACAGATGCGCGCGCAGGGCATCGCGTGAATCACGGCGGCCAACGCGCAACACTCGGCGGATCGCTCGCCGCGCAGCGGCGTTCTCTTTAGGGAACGGCAACGCCACGCGGCGGCGTCGCGAGCGAGGGCAGCGCGACAACGCGCACGGGGAGAATTCGCGGCCCGCGTTAAAGACACGGAAGTCTCGAATCGATTCTCTGAATCCGTTATCTTTTGTGTAATCTCAACCGGCTCGTTTGTCCTGCATCGTCTGCCTCGCTTGTTACAGTCCCGATCCGTACTTGCGCGTAATGCTACGAAGCGCTCAGTAGGTGACAATCCTGAAAGTCTGGAGATGTGGGTGAGGCTATATCCTACGTAAACGAGTGCACTGCTAATCAATATTTTGTTGTTGGGTTTCGCCACGTGTCATTAGCCCTCCCCCATCAGAATGTTGGCATAAAACAGCCACCACGTGGCCTAACCCCACAAAACAAATCGGGATTATTGCATCGACTACAAAGTTAAGTGTAATATTAATGTCAATAACAGTTTACTCAGAGATGCACAACACGATGCATTTTTTTAAACTTTGAATGTAGAAGATGGGATGTGTAGAAAAAGTATCTACACTTTTATAAATAATGTGGAGGGACATACACGTGTGTATGTGTATTGGAAGGAGGTGTGTCATTTGTCTGCTTATACATTTTATGAGCGATGAGTAAGGCACAACGCGATTGTCCGCTAACAAAACACAGGGCAGTTGTAAACGTCCGTCCACCCCCACCACAACCTGTAAACTTGGTCTGGCTACGTATGGGTAAGGTAAATAAAAAGACTCGTAAAACGCCAAAATCAACGTCGAAGATTTGTGGGCGCAAGCAGCGGCGAGCGGGACTCACCCGCCGAACAGAATCCTCATCCGACTCGCTCTGTCTCTTCATCCTGTTCACCGGTTTCTGCGCAAAGACGGGGGGGGGGGACAATAAGTAAAGCCAGTCCCAGCTACATATATATATAAATATCTCACACGGGACAACGTGATGGGGCCGCGTGTTGCTCGGCAGGACAACCGCGAAAACACATCGCAGAGCAATCAAAGTCCTACGCTCTGTGAATCGACGCGGTTTTGTCGCCCCGTGACAGCGCCGACGTTTTGCGCAGACGCTTTGTGCATTCGTCCTGCAAGGCAACCGTGCCCGCAGCCTTCGCCTGCCCAGCCCCATCCCATCCCACCCCCACGACCCAACCAGGATTGGGAACCGCCGGCGCAAGGTGTTGATAGTGCAGCGCGTGGGTGCAGATGTGCGGAGGGACACACACCTGGTCGTGCATGTCTCCTTCCGACTCGCTCTTCCTCTCGCTGGGGCAGCCGCTGTCGCCGTTGTTCTCGGACACCTGCATACACGACGTTGGGGCTCGTGAAAACAAGACAAAGACCCCTCCCCCCCTCCACATAGCCTTTAATAGACTGTTGGGGTAAGTGCTGTTAGTGAGCACCTACGAATGCCGGCACGGCGCACCAGGGGGTAAGGTGGCCAACACCACGCCCGGCCGCCTTTATCGTCCGAGTGGCGATGTTTGCACACTGCACTCATTTGAGGCTGAGTCGACCTAGGGGAGTCCTGGGACCGGTTACGATAATCGTCACCGGTGTTGGCCGTGAGCGGGAATCGAACTCGGGACGCCGGGTTCGTAGCGCAGCGTAGCGCCAAGTGCCGCACTACCGCTCGCGACAATGCACACTCCGACATGATTTATCGCTTTGCAACCCAGGTGTGGTGTCCCTGGCCGGGCTGCGTGCGCCACCGCCGCCGCACCTTTCTCTCGCGGTCTCCATCTTGATCGGGGCTGTTGTCGATTTCGTCAAACACCGAGGTCCACCCTGCGCGAAACGCAAAACCAAACTCAAAAACGAAAGCATACGGCGGGGGGCCGAAGCAGAGGGTGGAGGCCACGGACGCACGCCGGCTGAATTAACGCGGGACCGATTGGCAGGACTCGGTCAACTATTCAACTGGATCCGTGCTGCCCAATCATCACGGTGATGGCGTTGACCAGGACTCACGGTCAAACTCAAAAAGTCGTGCTCGTTTCCACGCTCACCTGAGCCAGACGTGGAAATTTCATATTCCTATGGTGGGGGTGAGTAACCACTATTACACAGCGATCAGCGTTGTTCAACGTTATTTCAATAACACCGATCATCGACACCGGTCAACGACCCAAACGCGGTGTAAGTCCATTACAGCCGAGTAACTCCAAGCGAGACTATCTCTGTCTCTTGAGTTCCACTCCCCTCCTTGGTTCAACGAAACTAAACCAAGTAAACCGACGACAATTGCAGCGACCAGCGCCGAAGCAGCCCTCCTTTCGCTGCGGGCGGGGGGGGGGGGGGCGCTAACTTTTGAAATTACGTCTTAAAACTCACCTAGATTTGTACAGACTTTGCCTGCGACTTAACATTAAAAACCTATTTTTGTCGTCAGATTGGATGCCTCCGAAACAATTATTATTACTCGCTTTTATCATAGTTCTTCATTTAATTGGAATTTCGAAAGTAGTCACTGACATTATTTTTTATGAACTTTATATTTCGCTTAAATTGTATCGATACTTGCGAGTGTAAAATTATTTTTACGTGCAGTGCTTTGAGATACTTCAATATTAAATGAGCTATAAAAGAGATAACTATTATCATTATGACCCGCACCATCCAGCACGGCCAAGTGAAACTATAAACAACAGTTTTTTATTTTAACCAGTTAAGGCCCACTGAGCCATCGAGCTCTTTTTCCGAAGCGACCTGGCGATCACAAATTAAAGCTCAACTCTAAACGCCTGTTGTTGATTCTAAATGTGGAGGGAAAACCGGAGAACCCGGAGAAAACCCCACATGACCATGGGGAGAGACACCGCAAACTCCAAATATATAGCAGGCGTCAGGGTCGGGATCAAACCCGCGACCTCCTGCGTATCAGGCGAGGGAGTTAACATCTCACCATTTTTATATCATCTAAATACTCTAAAACGCACGTTCATTCTAAATGCAGGTGGGATGGGCGATTTCGTGGCGGTGGCGGCCTCACCCATGGGCGAGCGGCCCAGCAGGTGCTCGGGGGGGCTGAACGACATGTGCATGCCGTGCAGCGAGGACAGTGAGGAGCGCGGCGACTCCTCGGGCGTCATGGACGACTCGGAGAGGCGGGGCAGGCGCGGGGGTCGCCCGTCCGACAGCGAGCGCATGCGGGGGCTCCCGCACACCTCCTCGCAGCCACGCAGCACCGTCTTCGACGATTGCTGGGGGCACAGATGTAGGCACGGGCGTTGACGTGTGCGCGCGAGATGCGGTGGGTTATGGGGAGCGGTGGTGTAGCGATTCCCGCTCACGGCCAACACCGGTGACGATTATCTGAACCGGTCCTGGGCCTCCCCTAGGTCGACTCTGCCTCAAATGAGTACCTGGTGAGGTGTTTAATCATCGCCACTGTGGAGATTATAGCGGCCGGCTTGGTGCTGGCCATCCACCCCTTTGAGTGCCGTTCCAGCCTTCATAGGTGCTCGCTAACAGCATTTGCCCCAACAGCCTGCTAAAGGCTATACCGTTGCCGTTGATGTGGTGGATTTGAAGCTTTTGTGACTGCAAGGATTCATACTCTTAGGTTTTTTTTTTCAGTAAAGTCATGTAGGTAAAAAATAAGTAATCAAATAATAGAAATAATACTAGAAATAAAAAAATAAATCACGACGTTTCGGAAGCAACACAAGTCTCTGTCATCAGGTGGGACCGTCACAGCTAAATTTACTGTATCAAGTGAGGCAAAATATTTGGATTGTCAGCCAACACCGGTTAAATCGAGGTGCACCGATTGTTCTCTTTTAGCCCCGCCCCCCCCCAACACGTTCCATTCAGTGGCTACAGATAAGCCCCTCCCCCCCTCCCCCTTAACTTGTATTTCTTGGAATTTTGCCTCACTTGATACAGTAAATTTATCTGTGACGGTCCCACCTGATGACGGAGATTTGTGTTGCCTCCGAAACGTCGTGATTTATTCTTTTAGTTCTATTATTATCTCTATTATATTATTATTTATCTTTACCTACGTGACTTTACCGAAAAGAAAAAAACAACCCAAGAGTTTGATGTGGTGGTTCGGGGGCCGGCAGCAATATGCTGATACTGTCGCCCAAAGGACGACGATTGTGGCCGCGACGTCCATGTCGGCAGGACAGCGTCGGCGCGAGCGACACGATGACGCCGGAAGAGGACGATGGACGGTGGCAGCGACGCCGCGGCGGTAGCGGCAAAGCGAGGACGGGCGGCACAAGGCAGAGATCGCAAACGGATTTTGATTCCTTACCCGTACCCGGCCGCACCAGGGTCACAAACGGGTACCCGTACGCTACCCGTACCCGTACCCTACCCGAAATGAGTGACAAACGGTGACTCACCAGTGACTCACGGCCTACCCGTACCCGGCCGCACCAGGGTCGCAAACGGGTACCCGTACCCGGCCGGGTACGGGTAGCCGGGTCTCGGGTAGGGTACGGGTATCGGGTACCCGGTTGCCACCTCTGGCACAAGGGCAGCGACGCGGCGACGCTCACCAGCAGTTTGATCGACTGCTCCAGCGCGCTGCGCTCGTGGGACGAGAGGTCGAAGGGGGTGAGCCCCATGCTCTTGCAGATGCGGTTGCACACGTGCGAGTGGAAGAAGAGGGCCATCCCACGCACGCCTGGACGGGCACGCGGAGGGAGACGCGGGGGGTCCAGGGTTAGGGGTGCGCGGCATCTCCGATCAGCACGGTTGGCTATGTACGGGGCGGAAGCAGTTCAACGTACATACATACAGGCTGTGCGCAGATGCGCTCCCCTCGTCATCGCCACCACCACCTCCGTCAAAGTTTCATTCCGCAGACCGATTATAACTTGTTGGCCACTCACGAATATAAAAATTTGGGAAGTTTGTCACGCAAGCGACCTGCTCTGCGGGCGCTGGTGTGGATCGCTACATTGCAGGACCGCGAGAGGCTGATCAGAATCAGAATATTTTATTTATCCTGGAGGAAACCGATGAGCTATGAAGCTCTTTCTTACAGTCGTCCAGTGAATGATGATGATGATGAACTTTACAGATTGACACCAACATTACTACAGCACGCACTGACCAGCGTGGTGAGGTCCGGTCGAACAACCCTCACGACACGCACAGGCGTCGGGAGGCACTCTCAGATTGAGCAGAGGGGCTGGTCACGTAAGTATTTGTCGTGCGAGACTGTGGCGGAGTGCGGAGACGAGAGGTGGAAGGCTCACCCAGGTTGCCGTCGCCGTAATCGGTGCCCTGGTAGGTGTGGATCTGGGGGTCGGTGTAAAGGTCGCCCACGCCCTGCACATCCACCACGATCAGCTGATGACCCGAACGCTCGAACGAGAAGTGGCTGAAGGCCTGGGTGGAGCGCGCACGGCAGAAGCGCACGCACGCACGGGGACAGCGTCAACACCATCGAAGTCTGTAAATGCTACATGGGGGGGGATCTCTGTCTTTGTGTGTGCGGTTGAGTGGGTACACACACGCGCGTGAGTGTGTGTGGGGGCAATGTAGGGCGCGCGCGTGCGGAGGCTGCGGGCGTCACCTGCGGCGTGCAGCGCATGTTCTCGTCGCGCACGAAGCCCGAGTTGGAGTTGTACTTGAGGTACTTGCCCTCGATGTAGTGCTCCAGGTGGAACAGCGGCTTTTCCGCTCGGTTCTTCAGCTCCAGGATGCACACCTGCATGATGTCCACCTGAGGGGGGACGGGGGGGGTACAGGCAGGAGGTAGGCCAGACTAAGGTGAGCACCACACCGTGTGTTTCTTAAGGGACGTGTTTACTTTTTGTGTGTGCGTGCGAGAGACCGTGCTGCACAATTTGCCGTCGAAAGTCTCCCCACATTATGACAACTTCCGGTCGGCGCTCATCTCCAACGTCGTTGTTGGGCCGGTGGTGTAAACTCCATGATTATTAATTATCAGGCGTGGCGGCGCACACACCTGCAAGAGAGTGCTTAAGAAGCAAAGGTTTACGCGATGAACCTCACTCTCGTACGCACAGCGAGTGTGACGTGCTGCCCTCCGCCGCGTGTCGGCCACAGTTCACTTGAAGAAGGAATCTCAGAGGTAGCTCTGTGACATCCGCTTCCGTTCTCTAACACGAAGGCTCGCACTGCTCTTCAAGACATCCGAAAGGATCCTGCGTCTTGTGATGATGTGACGGCGACAGCACAACTCGATTAAACAGAAGGGAAGTTCCGCCGAAATCCTCAAACTCCCAAACCACATGCACCACAAGCAGGTGGCCAGAAGATGGCAGTACAGCAAAAAGTTTTGTGACCTTCCATCTGCGTGGGTTTTCTCTAGGTACTCGCAGCTTCCTCCCACACGAAGCAAAACACTCCCTAAAATGGAATTGACCAAGGAAAGTAGAAGCTGTGTATGAGCAAACCCTATGAGAGGGTTTGCTGTGCTCAGGCCAGCTGTGCTCATATCCAAAGTCATGTGCTTGTATCAGAAGCTGCGTTTTGCCTCCACCCCCCCCTCCCCCACTAGTGTAAGTTTCGCCAACTGTCTTAACCCAACCAAGTGATTGCCTAACGCACCCGGCTATTGAACGATAACGGTTGCCCATTTGCATTCTTGTTAAATTAACAACTGCCGTTTCCTTCCCGTCCGATTGGTGCGGGTTCCAGAGACGCTGTGCATTTCTTCAGACCGTGTCGGGAGGGGGGGGGGGGGTGTTGAGTTAACGCGGCAAATAGCTGTCACCGACCAGAATCTTGCACGTGTGTTGAAACTTCTTTCACACCGTACGTAGCCAACCGAGCCCATCCTGACGTTTTCTATTTTGAGCTCCGGCACTTGTTTGTGTTTTGGAGAAGGCCGTCGTTCGGGAGGGCACGTTGATTGGCAACCAGTCTAAAGGTCGCCTTTCACTTGCCGACTTCGCTTAAACACGACACGGCACAATTCGGCCGTCCCAAGGCGAGCGAACCCCCAAGACTGTGTACCATGGTGGCGTTCGTGTTTCTTTTTGAGTACAAGGAATGAGTAGGAACTTTCTTTTCAAAAACACCGTTGCTGAGCCTAGCCCGCTCCCCCCCCTAAAAGGCCCGGAATATCAATCGGGCAGCAGCAAACAGCACTGCCAAAGTTTGTAACTGATAAAGAGTTGACAAGTTTTTGGACTGAACAAGGTGATGATGATGGTGGTGGGGGGAGGGAATTCCAAAGTGAAGCAATGCACGGGGAGATGCAGAAAGAGAAGCGCTTGATGGGAGAGGCACAAAGTCAGGGCAAAGGGTGAGAGCGCGAATCTGCAATTACTTGCCTCTAGGAGGTATTTGGCCTACTCTTCCACGCTGGCCGGAACCTCTTAGAAGAGGTGCGATAACCACACGCAACCCCGAGATCAGCTGATTAAGACGGTCCATGACTGGACAGACTTTGTCACATGCGCCTTACTTCACGTAAACATGTTAATTGCGTCCAGAAAAAATATTGGAAAGGAAGTAAACATTTTAATCCCATTCACTGGCTGGATTATTTGTTTGCAAGGATGTATATAAAACTTATTGATTATCCAAAGAGCTTTCATCCGAACAAATGGAACTTGCCGGAAAAATTCAACAAATCAAATCGCAAACTCAGGATGTGACAAGGATGAGGCACCTGTCTAAAACAAGAGTTGTCAATCCAGTCCGGCTTTCCATGACAACCAAACAAAGGGAGGCAAAACTCTCTCCCCTTTTGTGTACCACACCCTGCTACACAAGCATAATCGGAATCACCCAGACTGGATTCGGCTCTGAGACCGAGGCAGGAAATGTGCCGATGTAAACAGAACAAAAAAGTAGACACAGAGCCAACCCTAACTAAATAATCCAAATCCCCCTCATAATAAACTCGGACAAAAACAACGCCCATCGGGGCCACAGCCTGCGCGATTGTTTGCGTTTGGGCCGATGCGCTCGAGCTGTTTACAGGCACCGCGACGGCCCCGTGGCATTACCCGCCGCAGAGGTCACGACGAGCCCTTATCCAGCAACCAAGGGCAGCCGCCGTACGGGCGCACGGGAGCGTGGAAGCGCACACAACACAGTCGCTCTCGAGCTATGGGATCGTGAAAATATTATCGTTGCCGCGACTAATAATAACAAACAACAAACACACAGACGCATCATGTACACTCGCGCACATGCATGCAGCGCCCACATGGCCTGCCAAGAGCTGTGTGCGTCAGCGCTAATTCAAAACAGGGCCACGTGAACTCACACGACACCGCTCCCTAGACGGGGGCGGCTGCCAGAGTCTGACCGCAGTCACGTAGACACAGCAACGCACGCGCATGCGCAGACACGCGCGCGCGCGCTGCAAACACGCGCGTGCAAACGAAGACGCGTGCGCGTGCAGCACGCGCGCGCGGGACAGGTGCAGGCCGTCGTCACAGTCAAAACCGTCACACGAGGGGCCTTAAATTCAGCACATGGTGCACGCGCAGCACGTGAAGTACGGTCAAAAAACACCATCAAGGACTAGACGACACGGGGAGCCGTGCGCATGCAGCGGCGGATTGATAAAAAGGGGCTTTGCGTGCATGTGTAGATACACATTGTGGTATTCTCACACATGCAGCATAAACAGACGCGCATTGTAGTGTTCGCACACATGCATTGCACACACACATACAAACGAAACGACACAATCATGCAGGTACTGGTACTGAACACACTTCCATACACGCAGACACACTCGTGCGCGCACAAAAAAGCATGCGCACAATGTCTTCATACACCGAGACACGAACACGTGAACAAACAAGTACCATACGCAAACACCAGCGATCATGCGCAGGCATAAGCACACAATGTCGGGCAGTCACAAAGCAAGCACTGGTATCACAGATGCAGCACCAGCAATAACCGCTAAGCCACACGACACACAAACAAGCGTACACGCGCACACATACCACACCACACTCTGCCGTTTTGCCAGCATACTGGACTAACATTGGTCCAGTCACGTGCCAAAGCAATGTTGGCCGTACAGATGGAAATGTTCAGTTGGCTGGATATGGACAATAGATATGGACGTGAGTTATAATCGTAATAATGCTCATTTATGGCCCTGTGTCATTCCACTGCTGGATGAATGTCCCACAATGCCGTTCCGACCACAGAGGTTGTTTGACCATACTTCACCATTCTGGCTAGTGCGGGTTGGTGAAGGGGAGTTGGAGAGGGGTGGGGGTGGGTGGTGTTTGGGCCCAGGATATGTTTAGCTATCGCTCGCCACTGATGTTAGCCATGGCCAAGGATTCAAAACTCAGGTCGCTGCTTTGGGTCCATAACGGGAGTTCACTAATCACTCTGCCACGGTCATTGTATGTCTCCAGGCGTTTGTTTAGATTTCACTCACCACTGATGTCAGCCCTGGTCGGAAATTAAACTCGGGTTGCAGTGCGCGCCAACCCCTGACCACACAACTCCTCCCGCAAGTTGCTTTATTTGCAGCGCTATTGTATTGCACGGTAAAATGTAAAATGAGGTAGCCAGTTAATATTTCCAAGATGAGATTACATATTACAAATGGCGCAAGGAGCCGCTGATGTGATTTATTCATGAAAGTAAATGTTTGCCAAGGCCAAGACAATTTCTCTGTCTGGCAGCAGCAGCATTCTTCCACTGTGTCATTAACCACAGTCCACCTCGACCCATCATCACCACCCTGTGCCACCTTGTACCACCCTGTACCTCTCACCAGCACCCACCTCCACCCTCTGCCTCTCACAAACACCCCCCCCCCCACCCTGTCCCTCTCACCACCACCCACCTCCACCCTCTGCCTCGCACAAACACCCACCCCTCCACCCTGTCCCTCTCACCACCACCCACCTCCACCCTCTGCCTCGCACAAACACCCACCCCTCCACCCTGTCCCTCTCACCACCACCCACCTCCACCCTCTGCCTCTCACAAACACCCACCTCTCCACCGTGTGCCTCTCCCGGTAACTATCGGAGAGCCTGATCGTTCAGTAGTGTCAGAGCCAGCACCGTGAGATTACTCTTGAGGGCAGGGTCACCAGACGGGCGGTCATCTCCTGTTGGGGTGCTGTCAATGACGGGCAGCCCGCTGTGGCACCACCCACGTTCACGGTACCACCATGAAGTAAACCAATGAACATAAACCGAAAAACCAATAAACGAACAGGTTCTATCATAGGTGTGTACTTAGCGAGTGAGTGTAATCATTACCCACCCATCGATAACAAAAAATAACCATGTGCGTTGTCATGGAGAATATAAATAACAGAATAGACACGCAGATAATAACATGTCTTATTTATAGATCTGTCTCTACGTAAAAAAATGTAAGTCGTTTTTATACCACCCATTGGCCCCCCAAGGAAGTCTGGAAAAGAATAATCATTCTTTTCAGCAGCATTGATTGAGTATGAGCAGATTCTGGACTGATTTTCGACATACTGTCTCATCAGCAGAAGTCAGAGGATTGCCCTCGCCAGTATCGTCAGGCCCCTGTACAACCACCCATTGACCCTCGGAGCCACAGCTTAAAGAAAGGGTCCTTGCCTAGATCATCAGGCAGTTCACCAGCATCGATTCAAGCTGTAATGATGCGGCCCTTCATGAATTTAAAACAAACCACGGACCGAATGCAGGAACGGACACGCAAAGATTCTCGCAAGTGCGACAGAGAACTCCAAACAATGGGCTACGTAACTTTGTGTGATAGCAGTGGGTGAGTGGCGAGTGGATCAGTGAGTGGGTGAGCGGATGAGTGAGGAGGTCGGCGAGGAGTACGTGGATGGGCGAGTGCGTAGGTGGGTGGGGCGAGTGGGTAGGTGGGTGGGGTCAGTGCGTAGGTGGGTGGGGTGAGTGGGTAGGTGAATGGGTGGGTTTATCGTCAAGTCAACAACTCTCAGACAAGATGATTGAACGGCTAAATCACATACAGGAGAATCTCTAACAGTTGCCCTACGTAAGCCAAAGACAAGGAAGTAAAGTTTAATGTCATTTTTCTGAATTGCAAAGATGGAACAGTTCAGCCACGGGTGTGCATCTACAAGATAAGAGCCTTGACTTAAAGCTTTCGTGATTGTAGGAATTCAAGGAAAACCGAAAGACTCAAAGAATAAGATAAGAGCCATTTGTTGTTATGGGGTCATGTCTTCTTGTAATCCGGCTCAGAGGAGACGGGATCCAATTCAAAAAGCACAGGTGGTAACATTACCGCAGGTGGTGCGTTTCTCAAGCCCGCATCGATTGATCAATTTAAAAAAACCTCACACTCGTGAACATTGCACACGCACTACGACGAAGGGCCGTAGCCCTAAACGTCACGAGCGTGCGCATGTGTGACCGTGCATACGTACGTGTGCCTGTTCGCATGTGCACGCAAGCTCGTGACAGCGTGTGTGCGCGTGTGTGAACGTACGTGCGTACGTGAGCGTATGTGAGCGTACGTGCACGTGTACGCAAACGTGCGTGTGTACGAGACAAGCGTGCCCGCGCGCGTCCACCTTCTTGGGCGGGTTGTGGCGGTTGTACTCCTCGCCCCACAGCTTGGCGTCCATCTGCAGCCGCACGTCCTCGAAGTAGACGTCGCGCGTCACTGGCTCCATGTAGCGCTTGACCACGTAGTTCGACGCCGACTTCCACTGCTGGTGACGCGCGAAGTTGGACAGCTTCTTGCTGTGCATCGCAACAGCAGCAGCGAGTGAAGGGTCAGAGGTCGGCCACGGCTCAGGCCTCGCTTGCACAGGTCTCTCTCCGGCACTCTTCCTCAGTATGCATTCACTCATCTTTCATTGCAAGATATTCATTCCACCTCTCTCTGCTGCACTCTCTCATGTACTCTATTTCTCTATCTCTCTCTCTCCTTCACTCCCGCAATCATGCAATTGTTGTCCTTTATTGCTATTTTCCTCTCTCGATCACTCCTCACTCTCCCAGACACTCTCTCTCCTCTCTCTCTACTGGTCCATCTCGATCACAGTAAGCTCTCCCCTTTCTCTCTGTACCCTTCTCCCCATGTCACAATCACGCTTGATCGTTTCGTCTCTCAAAGTCTCCCTCCCCACCTGACTTGGATTCCAAGCCGCACTTCTTAATCGGAGTCAGTCACATTCTTGAACTGCTGCAGGTCTTACATCTGCAATACTTTACAAGTGAACATGAGGAAGTGGGGCTACTCCAGCGACTCCGGTGAGACACGGCCCTGTTGAACATTCACCGGTCTGTGTCGGCCCTGCAGGAGTCGTGGCACTATAAACGACCTGGCTATGGATACACACTAGGCCCATATCACTATGGGTCTATCTACTGCGAGCATTCTCTGGTTTAACACCCATGAGACAATGTCATAAAAGAAGGCCGTCTCTGGTGTAGGCCAATCCGTTTCAAAGACAATGCATCTTATATAATTATCAGAGTAAGTTATTTGAACGTTTTGCCACAAGTACGTGTGGTTGATGCAGACTTCATGCCTTGAAATAGGTATCTCTTTGGTGTTTGAACATCTTTACACCCCCTGTTATATTGCCATAATGGGTAAAGCCTATTCTAGATTTGAAGTTTTCGTGACTGCAAGGGCCCATACCCTTTGGTTTTTACCTACGTGACTTTACCGAAAAAAACAAAGAGTATAAAGCCTATTCTTAGTATTTTCATCATTTTGATACTGACAAAAAGGGCCCCACTGTTATTTTGAATTGTTTAGCGCTTTAAAGTGGAAGGGTAAGACGAGGCTTAGTCAAAATCCACGACTGACAAACTAAAAAAAGCCTGCGCTCCTCGTAACCATAGCCTGTGCATTCTAAACGAGGATACGGTTTCGTTTTGAACTTACGTCCGAAAGCACTCCCTCATCGCGCCGCGACCAAACGGCTGTTGGGAACACGAAAGGAAAAAACGAGCGTGTCAGTGCGGAGCCATCGCGACGTGACCACACAAAGCAAACAACAACAACTTATTTCACATTGCGTATGTTTACATAACACAGACGGAGTGCTGGTGCAGTGATTAGCACATTCACTGTTCTTCTCTGACCACCCTAGTCATCCGACTTTTGATTTCCAGACACGGCTAACAAGTCAAAGCTGAACGGGTCCTTTGCTCCTTTGCTTAAATAACAACAACCTGCCATCCGCCACTAAGTGGCGGTGACAGTCACCACGACGCTTGTGCCAGGCCATGTGCACCTTGAGGCCACGTGAAGTGTCGAACGCCCGCTGGCAGGAGGTCACGGGGCAGACCCAGGTGCCACGGGTCGACTGACTGAGATGACTGGCTGATGCACCACCTGTGCCCCCTACTTGTGCCAACTTGCTGTGCTTTAGCCACCCGGCGCTCCGCTCGTTGATGTGAGCGTCGCTCCTCCGCCCTCCGTTGTTGTTGGAGGGCAACTGCCTCCAACTGCCCAGTAGCGTCCTTCACGAGCCTCCACCACAGAGGCCGATCTTGACACCGCTGGTACCAGTCATCGACATTGCTTAAATGAACCTACAGTGACCAGCATGGTGAAGTATGGTCAAATAAACCTCCCCCCCACATCTGACGTGGCGTGGGAAGGCCTTCACCCAGCAGGGGTATTGTTGACTAGTTACTTATTACTTATTCTATCTACATTTATAATCGGGCGCCACTGTGGAAGAGATATTATCTCCTTCGCCTGGTGTGCAGGAGGCCATGGGTTGGATCCTAGGCCCTGACGATGCCTGTTGTATATTTAGGAGTTCCCGTGATCCCTCTCTCTATGGTGGTCGTAGTCGGATGTTCTTCACTGGGTTCCTCTGGTATTGCCCTCCATATTGAGAAACCTGCGTTCAGATTATTTGGCTGCGACGATAAATTCCCACGCGTGATGATGATATAAGCCACTTCGACGAGCTATCATCATGGCCATGTCGCCTCTGAAAAATAGCTAACTGCGCAATGGGGTCTACCCGGTAAATAAAATAGTAAAAAGCAAAAATTTTAAAGCAAAGAGCAAAAAAAATTGCAAATTGTTTTGGAACCCATGGTGTCAAGACACAGGAATAGTGCAAAGCAAAAGGATAAAAACAGCATTTGTTTTAAAAAAATCTAAATAAACGTGCACCTGCTTCGCCATTTTCATGAAAACTTCATCCTCCACCCACTTGGACGTCAGCGCGTTGTACCTGTGTTGCACGCCACGCGCACACAAACACACGGTCATGACGGCTCCGGTCATGCGGAATTAACTTTCAATTCACCTCTTTCATTTATTCTCCCAGGCAGCCTCTCGATGCCATTTTAAGTTAAATTTGTGGGCCCCCCCCACCCCCGGAACCTCGCGGAACGAGTTTGTTTAAGTTTGTTATTCTCTAACCTTAACTGTTTTAATTGCAGGTGCAAGGTGAGCCCAACAAGGGCACCGCCCCACCTGAATCGCGTTGCCACCTCTGTCTCAATCTCCTCCAGGTGGAACTCAGGCCCAGGGATCCGGCATGTGCTTGGCCTTCTCCACAGCGTGCCGCCATGCCTCCTGCACCGCCACACCACCACCACCAATAACATCATCACCAACAACATCAGGAACAACATCACCAACAACACCATCAACAACGCCACCAACAACAACACCACCTTCATCCTTATGTCTACTGTCATCACCGCCAACACTACCATCTCCATTAGCAGTCATCACAACAAACCACCATTATCAAAACCATCACCGCTATACTCAACACCACCACAAAAGAACACCACCACCAGTCATCATCAGCACCACCACATTCATCATTTCCAACAGCACCACTGTCATCATCACCATCCACTGCAACCGCCACCACTACCAGTCGCAGTGCTAACCGCCGCTTGAACTGCACTCGTGAATTAGTTGCACAAAAACCCATTTAGACCTGCAATGAGCAAGTGGGATCATGGACCTGTCGATGCAGAGCCCATGGCAATCACGCTATGCCAGCCTACGACTGAGGACCCTACTAGGTATCAAATAAACAAGACCTGGGCTAATCGAGGACATGCCGGCAATCTAACTGTAAGTAAGCGAACGTAAACACTGCAGGTTCCTCGTGCGTTGCGCTACAATCCTGGTGACCCGAACTCAATTATTCGGTTAACACATCTGTAAAAATATTTCGACCGGTCAGGCCTTCCCCGAGGTTGGACTTCAGCATTCAACGAGCGTCCCGTGTGTAAACATCGGCCGGGCAAGCGTGGCGCTGGCCCACAACATCCCCTAGTGACATACACCAGCCTCCATCATCGCTGCCTGTGTGAACAGCGTTTGGCCTGACAGCCTGTGTAGCCTACACGGGGGAACTTTGTCCTCAGACCAACCAAACACCGACCATTCCCCAGCCCCAGTAGGCACCGGTAGAGGCACAGTGTGTTTTTATCGCAGTCAGCAGCGCGTGTGAGTAACGCACACAGACCTCAACGCTTCTACAAACACGGCCCACCCAGCAAGCCTGGCAGGCTTGCACCCTTTTGTGTACATATATGTTGAAATTAAGAGCAAAAGTGGAAAAGCCAGTTGCACAAATGAGCCGGATTTTAAATATATACAGTGTAAACCGTACTGACGGGGCAGTTCCCGCAGCCCTGAACTCGAGACTGAAAATATTTACGACCTGCTGAAGTCGGGCCGGGTTCCCGAATTTCCGATGAACACGAACAAAAAAATTGGGGCCAGGTATGAAGTCTCGAATACATTTGGATTGATCCGAATTGATCTGAACACGTGAAGTCACCAGAAGTAACATCACTTCACTTTAGGTCCTATTAAGTTCTCAGGTCAATTTTATTTCTCGAGATCAGAGCACCAGCGTTTTTGTTCACGCTGTACGTGCTTCAGCCGGAGTCACGGTTCCTGTTTAACCAGGTGTGAGAACTCGCGAGGCGAGGGACGCCGCTCCTCCTCCCCGTCTCATTTGCAAGGGCGGTGGCGAGACCCACATGTGCGGGCAAGTTGGGAGGGTAGGACGCAAGGCTCACGGGGGAGGCAATGGAATGTTTCACGCGGATGGCAAAGCCTCGGGGAATGTTGCTGACCGTGACTCCCAGCGGTGTCCACCATCGCACCTCACGGCGTCCGTGAGCGCAGATTGGGATTTTATTTTTTTCTCTCTAAACAAATCAAATATTCCATAAGAGGTGGCCGGGGTGGCTCAGAGGTCTGAGCACGGAGCTGGTCGATGGCTTCGGCTCGGTCATAAATTAGAATAGTGAATTACAATGGAGGAATCCGATGAGCCATGAAGCTCTTTTTCACAGAAATTACTGCACGTGAGAAAAAAAATCCATCGTAATAAAATGTGGGTATTCACTCAATGTCGTAAATAATCTAGCGCCTGACAATTTAGAAACTAATTTTTTCATATGATTTTGCGATGCCAATGAACCTCTCTAAAGCATGGCACATAGAAAATACAGCGGGGACAAGAGGTCAGCTGAGATTAAAGACTTAGTTCTGTCATATCTCCTTCTGTGGCCATTCTTTACCAAGTGGTTGTGCACTGTTTTGCAAGAGTGCCCCGTGGATTCGTCGTCTTATGACGCTGACTCCAATGGCGCAATTCTGAACGAAACTGTACAAGAGCGAGAGGGACTCAAATATTTTCCAACTGCTTCTACCGAGGAGGCCTGTTAAGTGTTTTGCAACTCTAGCCATTGTGCGGTATCGTGCCTTTTATGGTTCGGCGGGGGTCACGGTGAACAGCAGCCCCCCAGAAAAGGTCATGAATCACAGCCATTCCTACATGACGATCGGACCGTCTTACCCCCTTTTTCCCACTGTCCACATCCGAGCCACACCAGCACCGAGGGGGGGGGGGACCCTCACGATACGGGTTGGTTTTCCCACTGGCTACTTTGCCGAGCCGAGCCAGAACCAAACCGTGAAATTCTGGCCTCGCGAGACATCTCAATTTGGCTTGGAGTGGGGGGCCAAGCAGGGCCAGGGGGCAGCGTTATTTGTTTTTTATAGGTTACGACTCGACTCGCTGCGTGCACAGCGAGCGGCATGGCTCGCGTTCGGCAGTGGGGGAACTGAAGGACAAAAAAAACACTGGCTCCGGCTGAACCCTTTGTTGGGGCTGGCTTGGCACTGGCCCCCGGCGTGGCTCGGTTGTAGCAGTGCACAAAAAAACGTATTGGTGAATGTAAAGCACACACAAAGCAACAATGATCTAAAGAAAAAGACGCCGCTCAAAAAAAGCTCACAGCTATTATATGTTCTAGAGAACTACCCACCCCGTGCGGTTTGCCTGCGCTGTCTTATACGTGCTCGAAGCTTCGTTAATGGAAAAAAAATATATATAAAGTTATTCTCGAATATTTAATTACAGCACCTCCGAGTGATGTCACCTGCGATCACACAGCCGTACATCCCACAGGGCGAGTGCAGCGACATCGCGAGAATACGCTGCTCTGACTTCAACGTCTGTTTTGTTTCGCGCATTCACAGAGTACGTAGACTCATGTCGTACGGTCGCACAGACACGCCGTCCATCTAAACGCATAGAGTCTAAAATAAAATAAAAACGCATCTCAAGGAGACGAGAGCTGTTTGTGTGTTTTTATGAGCGACGTCTTTCCTTCAAGGGGAGGGCGACCGGGAGTGAGTTTTGATTAGAAGAGAACGAACATACCCGGCCCTGCTGCAAACCAGATTTTCTCATGCCATCCTTGACACCCAGCATCGCACCGCACGCCAGGCAAGACACGGGATGCGCCCCCACGCACAAGCAGCATTCAGGCGACACACGCAAAATCGGGCAAGACATAAAACACAAAACAAAAATAAACACAAACAACATGATTAGCCAGACGCTGGGGAAAGGAATGAGGCGATGAAGCAAGGGAGGCTGGGAAGGGGGTTGAGGGCGAGGGGAGGAGGGGCAGGGGGGGGGGGGCAAGGATGCGGGTGGTGGTGACGCCGCAGCACGGTTTGCCGCACGTTGCAGAGGTTTGCCGTTCAAGATCCACGACCGTGCTGGTGAACACCTCCGGGAGCATTAACAATCAATAAAACACTTCGTCCGCTTCATGGTGGTCATCAAAGATTGGGTGAGGTAATTTTTTTTAAAAGCAGTACGTCACACGTGTCCCTGCGTCACGGTCGAAGTTGTGCGAGAGTTAACAAACGTAAATTGTCGTGACCTGCAATGCGGGCGTTTGAACACACTGTGGATGAGGCGGAACAAGTCGGTATGGTAAGCCGAATCGTCAACACGGGCGGAGGAATTATTGAGGCTCATGGGAAGAGTAACCGTGGTTATAGCAATATAAGAGGACACAAGGAGGCGATTGACCGCTAGGTGAGCGAGCGAGTGACTGGAGTGAATGGGCGAGTGGCTGGATCATCAATCAGCCCCGACTACCATTGGAACCTCCTTTGCCAGTAGCAAAATATGATAATTGTTTTTTTTTACCCTTTATCTGGCAACAAAACACCATGTGAGACTAGGCTCTAAGAAAAGCTGTCTCGGGTGTGGACCAATCACTTTCAAGGACAGTGCATACATTATCAGAGTTGTGTGTTTTGTTTGCATTCCGACCGCAGGTATTGTGGTCAATTGAAACATGACAGGTTTTGTTGTCAGATAAAAGTGTAAAAAAACAATTATAAGCCCCGACTAATTTAAGTGACTAACGTGATGGCCCCCTTTTGGGTGGCAAATTTGTGACATGTAGGCACCACGCATCGAAGCAAAAATAAAATTTACTTGGCTTCTATCGAGACGAGTGAGACAGGAACTGGGGGCTCCACCCCACGTATCCATCGCGACAGTTTACTCCGACCATAGCCGGCTTCGTTCGTGGCGCAGGCTGCTAACCACGGGGGACCACCGCTCCACCCAACACGAATCTATATTGTATTCAAATCAAGCGCTTCCTTCGATTCATTGAAACAAAATACAACTTTTTAAAAAACTCCCATGGGAACAGAGACGCAGACCTCGTTGAGGAAGGAAGTCCTGGGCCCCTAGGTAATCAACTTGGCTGCGGTTGCCACTCAAGGCAGCCAGGTTTCCAGAGTGATTGTTTTTTTTGTTGTTTTGTTTAACACACAATCTCATTTGATTAACTGCGGCTTTGGCAGGGACGGTTGAACAGCTCGACGGCTGAACGCTCGATGGGGCCGGATTGTGTTGCGGATATTAATAACGGTTATTTCTTTATTTAAGGGAACGAAAAGAGAGATATATATTCTCGTTTAAAAAAAAAAACACCATGGCAAAATGCGTGATAGCAGATATTTCGATAGATTGGGTCATTTGAAAACAACAACAAAGTCGCCCTTGAAGAAGAGCTGTGCTGGTCAATGGGCTTTACTCGGGGAAATAAACGCAAAAGCAGTAAAGTCATAAAGTGCAGGAGAAGCGGAGATTTTTATGAATGTAATAACTAAGCGCCTGTTACCAATTTACCCGTAACGCACCCGATTCTCGTCAGGTCACGGGCGCCAAAAAGAGTTGAGCTTGGAAAGTGTGTGGATGGGCGACCGCCACCGTGTGAAAAAAGACGGGAAGCAGTGTGGCAAATCGACTGTTGCTCTGCACCCATCTTCACCAACCCACACTGACCAGCGTGGTGAAGTATGGTCAAATATTCCTCACGGCCCGCAAGGCGTGGGTAGGCGCCCTCATCAAGCAGTGGATTGACAAAGCAGATTGGACGTGTACACGAACGATAGATCAGCACGGCTGACGGACCGTGTGCGAGACTGCGTTCCGTGTGTTGCCAACTGTCTTGACGAACCAAGTGATTGCCTCATGCACTCGGAGATTAAACGATGCGGCTGCTGCAGACGCTACTCTTCCCAGCTGTAAATGTGGCTGTCGCAGCTGTGTGGACGTCCACGCACTTGGCCGTATAACGGACGCGTCTTGTTGCAACAGATCGCTGCCTGGGGTTTGAACTCAGCGCCTCGGCCATGTGTGTGGGCCTCAAGACAGCCGACGTTTGGTGAGCAACAACTACTGAATCGATTCCGCAATTAAATCATTTGTTGTTACCATTATGATTTGCTTCATTCATTTTGGTGGCGTGGTGGCAAAGTGGTTAGCACACCGCTCTCAGAAGCCAACAAAATGAGTTTTATTCCCGGTCAATGATATCACCAGTGGTGGGTGGCCGACATCAACGGCGAGCGATATCTGAACCGGTCCTAAATCAACCGAGCTCAGCCCTAATGGCACAGGCATGGGGATGGGGGGGGTGGCCTTCATACAGTAGTGGACACACAAACGGTTGCCCTGCGTTGCGCCGTTCTCCCCGCGTTCGCGGGTGTTTAAGCGATGGGGCGTTGGTGACGCGACGAGCCGCGTGTGCACTCACCCGCACGCGGGGGGAGACCTTGGGCCGGGGGGAGTTGGCGGCCGGGCCAGCGGAGACCTGGGCCGCCGACTTCACGTGCTGCGGGGAGCTCTTGTCCACGACCTGGATCTCCGTGATCGGGCAAATCCTGCAGGGGGTCACGTCGGGTGGGGGCGCGATGGGAGTAACTGATTTGACGCGGTCTCGCATATGGCAGCGGGTAATTTGGATCATCACTGCACGGGCACAAACTAGTATTCTTCATTAGATTTAATAACAATGCATTTTACGAAGTGCATCAACTGCGATGGCTCGCTTCGCGACAGACAACGGGAGTTGCGTTCATCTTGCCTTGCTCAAAACGGATTTTTTTTTACTCCAGGAGGGTTTGAAACGTTGATATCTCGCCGGAAGTGCGCAGACTCACCGGAAGTACTCGTCCCCATCTTCGTCGTCGCTCTCCCCGGCGGGTTTCTGCGGCGGGCGATCGCGCGGCTTCCTCAGTGAGCCCTCCTTCTCGTCAAAGTGGAAGATGAGCTCCTCGTCACACATGTTCGCTCGAGTTTACAGGGTCTTCGCGATCAGCAAGGGCCTGTGCCGTCGTGAGGGCACGGGGGTTGGGGGTGAGGCGACGAGTCCGTCGATTAAAATCCACTCTCACGTGTATGACGCACACATCGAGTGGTACATGTGGGGGGGGCGAGTCCACAGCCGGGCCGTCAGTTGCACAAACAAATCTCTCTGCAAATTTGCGCAACCTAATTGGCTGTTTACGTGCACCCAGAGACGTCCAAATAGGAGCGATTCAGCTGCATGCAACCAATCGGTCAGCTGCGGACAGACCCGACTTCAGAATCGACTGCACGATTTATCCGAAATGTACGCCAAGAATGCGCACGTTACCTGTCGGCTAACGGAACGTAACATATGGGACAGACAATGCACGCGAGCCGAAATAGATGAGACAGACAATATCAACGAGGCGGAACATACCAGACAATATGAACGAGACTATAAATAAGCAAAAATCTAATCGTAATGATTCATTGAATCACTGGGAAGAAAGAGGTAGGAGAGTGGAACCATTACATTCCTAACACCCACACCACACACCCCCCCATGCCCCTTGCTCCCTTAACGGTGAACTGTCCAATCAATTAAGGGTCGTCTGAAGAGTCGACGTCAAGTGGAGCAGTCACCGACAACAGCAGACAGCTGCAACTACGACGGACAGCGCAACTGGCCAAAGGTCGGCGACAATCACCATTTTCTCCGCACCATCTTCTCTGTCCGTTTTAAAAAACAAGTTTCGGATGCGTCTTATAATCCGGAAAAAGACAACGTTTTCCTCTGAAAAAAGATGCGTTCAAATATAGTTGTTCGGAAATCAACTTCCAGAAGACAGTTCTCCAAAGCAAATACACAATCACCCAGACACAACAGGAGAAACCACTGGCCATTCAACATAACTATTCCTATAGACATATCTCTCTCTCTCCACCCATTTCGCTCTGGAAGTTGGCTCTCAGTAGGGCCGTATTCTCCCGCCGATTATAAAATTAACTTCATTCAAAACGACCGCCCAAAAACATGAAGTTTGGAGGTGTGTCTTACATTTCCGGAGCGTCTTCTAATCTGAACAATACGATAAATGCTCAACTCACTCATCGAGTGCATGTGCCGGACGGTGCCGAGCGCCGGCCGTTTTTATATCTGGGCGTGCACCGTGCCACCCTGCATCACGCACCTGTGCACGCCGCGCCCCCTCGACCGCTCGTGCCCTCCACAGCAGGAGAGATCGGCTCAACGGAGCTCGGCGTAGAAACTGGAGCGGAGCTCAAACCTCCCGATGAATCCCACGGCGCTCGCGAGACGTTTGGGAGATGCACGGGACAGAACGAGAAACGCCGCGCCCTGACGCGTCGTCGGGGGTCTAACTGTCGCTGGCAGCCAAAGGCACTTTTGCAGAGACCGGCGTCGATGAATGGTGCGCTGGGTCGTTCGGTATTTGGCTTGGAGGGACGTTTAAAAAGACTCCCCCCCCCCCCCCCCCCAGTCTATTTATGCCAGCGCTGAAATGCCAACGCGGCAAGTTTGTGGGGGGAAATAAATAAATAAACATTGCGAGCTCCACGGCCGCTTCCAGTCGGTGAACTCCGAGGCGACGTTGGCACGGGCCAAGTTCCAGCGAAAGAGTCGACTAAATATAGCCGCTCACTGAGCGGCGGGCCAGGGCTCACCACCATCGTCGTCGTGCTCCTCCACCGACAGCCGGGTTTGCGCCTGCGAGGTCATCGGCGATCATCGTCGTCATTAGACGTGTCACGGGAATTTTCGACGGGATGGAATTATTTTAATCCCTCGCCACAGCGATTCCAGTAATCGTCGGGACTCATTCGAGGGTTGCGATTCAATTTGAGGACCGAGCATGTTTTGCCTCCTTGTTATCATCTCGTTTGTATTGTCTGTTGTTCGTATCAGCTCGAGTTTGCAATTTTGTTCGCTCCATTCGCCTGAATGGTCACGTCAGTAACATCCGCATATCAAATGCACAGAGCATAAATTACAGTTTCTCACATGTATAATACGATGCGTGTATCAAGAGTGCCTGATCATTATCGCACCGTGCCTGATGATTATCGATAAGACACCGGAGATTGCTTCGAAACCGCCAACGTGCCCAGCTTAAGTAAGCAGGGGTATGTAAACATGTTTGTTCCATTGGCAGCAAACTGCCAAATCATCACTTACAAGTGTGCTCCTGCAAAGGAGGTCTATTTGCACGCAAACAGTGAAGACAAATACGAAAGGGTGACGATGAGAGTGGGGTGTGTTCCGTGCAAGCTAGGCCTTATCTTGGCAGAGGTGCAGAACACGCACTGCAAGTCAAAGAACTGAACCCCTCCCCAAAGACAAGGATCCCCCATATAGCACTGTCGGGGGCAAGTGCTGGTAGAGTATGTGGGGGGTGGTGGGGCCAGGACCACTCCCAGCCAACTTTGTCTCCCCAGTAGCGATGTTGATGCACCGCACCGGGTATTAATTTAAGGCCGAGGCGACCTAGCGGAGGACCAGGACCGGTTCAGATAATCGACACCGGTGTGGGCCGTGAGCGGGAATCAAACTCGGGTTGCCGGGTTCGTAACACCACCGTTCCCACGCACACAGTGGTACAACAACACAGACGTACTGACACACAGAGGTACACGTGGACATATTGACACACCCACATAGACAGATAGAGCAGAGACACGCGCGTGTATACGTACACAGACATACTGAAAGACACGAGCACACATTGACAAATACAAACTTGTGCGACCAGACACACAAGCGCACACACACCCTGTGCATCAATAACAACAGCTGCCATTCGCTGCCAAGTGACAAGAGATGTCACCAGGGCACTCGTGCCAGACTAGGTGCACTTGGAAGCCATGCGAAGGTCAGTCCAATCCACACAAACACCAAAGAGCACCCATATAGCCATTACCGAACTGTTGTGGCAAGTGGTGTTCGTGAGCACCTATTTTAAGGTCAACACGGAAAACTACTAGACATTGCCAGAACCACGCCCAATTGCCTTTACCCACGATGCCAGGTGCAGTTCTCATTTGAGGCTGCGTCGACATAGATAGATTCCAGGTAAACATTAGTTTACCTGGAATCAAACTCATACAGCAAGGTTCGAAGCTCAACTCCCCATACAAAAAAAACATACACAGACAAATCCCGCAGACAACTAAAACATAACACACACACACATACGAATTGCTAGAACAGTAAAATTGTAAACGTAATTTCAGTTTACAATGCAATTGACCTCAGGTCTGCACCACACACACACACACGACACACATCCCACACACTGCCCTGTGCACGATCACACTACCCACACACACCACGCCCAAACACATCACACACACAGCCACCTGTTGGGGCAGAGAAAGGCCTCACGAATACCCTTGATCGATCGAGGTCCCAGCAGCAGCAGCAGCGTCTTAACCCTTAGAGACGCACGTCTACAAGTTGTGGCTCAGGTCCAATTACAACTGGCTCAGGGGCAGCTGCGTGCTCCTAGGGGTCACCGCTCGGCCAGTTGCTGCCACGGGTGGCTAGGAGATGTTAACTACCTCGCCTGCTATACACAGGAGGTCGTGGGTTCGATCCCGACCCTGACGCCTGCTGTATATTTGGAGTTTGCGTGTTCTCCCCGTTGTGGTCGCGTGGATTTTTCTCCGCGTTCCTCCGTTTTTTTCCCCCGCCACATTTAGAAACACGCTTTTAAGAGTATTTAGTTGGTCTAAATGTCCACATATGTCACTTAGTTGAGCTTTCATTTGTGGCCAGGTTGCTTCTGATAAATGAAATGCTTAGTGGGCCTTACCTGGTAAAGTAAAACATTGTTTGAATAGTTCATTTGAACAGTTTTGACTCTCGACACAGTGGGGGGGGGGGGGGGGGTGGCGGCTGTATCAACATTACAATAGTCTCTTGATCATCGTAAAATATAAAGCAAACGTTAGTAATGCAGCTTATAAAAGATATGTGTGTGTGTGTGTACAGTATGTGTGTGACCTAATTTGTAACTTCATCGACGCCGGGTAGAAGTATGACGACAAAAATTTAATTTTAATTTATAAAGCGCCCTTAAACAATCGTTCTGAGGGCGTGTCTGACGTCGTGGGCCCTCTTAAGCTCAGCAACAATTTATTGACGGTTACCGAGCGCGGGGCCAAGGGACCAGGACGCGAGATTGGCGAGCAAATCCGCAGCACTATTAAAGCTGTGATAAGACTGAACGTGTGTGTGTGTTTTTTTTTAAATCGAGCAAGGCTATATGACCTGGGCAAAGAGTCTAAGGGGGGGAGACATTTAAATGCCGAGCAGTGCCGGGCGGCTGAAGCAGGAAGAGGAAAACGAGGAGGTGACACGTTTACCTCGGATAACCACCCAAGGTAGACCAGAGTAACACATTATGAAGTAAATAGGCGTGGCGAGAGCAGGTTGGAGTGCTTTGGTAAAGCTTAACTTAAAAAGGAACGCACCAATCTGCTTTAATGAGTCACATTTTCAATCAGTCCACGCCAACTGTTATGACATGGTTCTGCAATAATAATTTCAACTTGCAACGCATACACAATTCCATTCACTCACTCGCGGTCCTCTATATGTTAAGGCATTACCGGCCAATGAATGCATGTTTATGCACGTGTGGAGGAAAATGGAGCACCAGTAGAAACCACGCATGGGGGAAACGCTCTATCCCATAGACAGAACAGGTGGAGTCCACATCTTTGCTGTACTGCCCTCTCCTACCAAACCAATGGAACACACTGAATACCGCCTCTGCAGAGACGCACGCTTGGAATGAACACACGGATTAGAGAAAAGAAGACATGCAAAGCGCATAACGCAGATTAACGACACGACTCAAACGGTTGATGAAATTAAAACTTCTTGGGCAGGGACACTTCATCCTAAGGGATGATGTCTGAGGGTTAAGAATTGTGACGGGAGTTGCAACCAAGGAAAGAAACGCGTCCACGAGAAACGTCCACGGAGGAGACGGAGTGATGAAATCCGCTCTTGTCGATTGTTACATCGCAAGTGATGGCTGCTTGGGGAGGTCTTCATCCAGCAGTAGATGTCCCATGCCTGGTGATGTTGTTGTTGTTGCCATTGTCATTTTGAGATATTACACAATTGTGTTGCTATATTGTGAGATGCGTTGCAATCTTGATTTGAAGCTTTCGTGACTGCAGGAATCCATACTCTTTGGTTCTTTCGGTAAAGTCACGTAGGTATATATATATATATATACCTGCTATTTACCTATTTGTCTTCTTGCATTACATTATTAGGCATGTTAACTCTTGAGATGTGTTCACGAAATTAATTTCCAGGGGTGCTATGACAGCATTAGATTACCGTACTTGGAGTGTAAATTATGTTATGTTACAATTGCCATACAGTTCGAAACGCACATTAAAGCCCAGCGGCGTCACTCTTCAACACTGGAGTCAAAACGTCAAGAGCCTTGCTCAGATGAGCATTGAGGTGGCGCTAATCTCCTGTTTACAGCCCCGAGATGGAAAATCCACATTCCTACAGCAGGGGCAAGTCTCTTTCAAAGGACAGTGTTGACCTCCCCACAAAGTGGCTGCCGAGTCAACCGCCCCAAACAGGATTTGAACTCGCAAACCTACCGACTGCGAGCCACTTGCTCAGCAAGCCGAGTCAAGGTGGCTCAGAGATGTTAGCTACCTCGCCTGGTATGCAGGAGGTCGTGGGTTAGATCCCGACCCTGCCGCTTGCTGTATATTTGGAGTTTGCGTGTCTCTCTCTCTCTCTCCCCGTGGTCGCGTGGATTTCTTGACCGGGTCCTCGGGGTTTACCCTCCCCGTTTAAGAACACGCGTTTTTGACTGCTGTAAATGTCCACGCGAAGATGAGTCACTTCGTTGAGCTATCTATTTGTGACCAGGTCGCTTCTGAAAAATAAGTTAATACCGTTCGTCCGTGGGCTTCGATCCCGACCCTGACGCCTGCTGTGTATTTGGAGTTTGCGTGTCTCTCTCTATCATCATCACGGTGGCTAGGATATGTTAACTACCTCGCCTGGTATACAGGAGGTCTTGGGTTCCATCCTGTGCATGTTCTCCCAGTGGATGCGTGGATTTTTCTCCGGGTCCTCCGGTGTTTCCCTCCACATTGGGCTGCTATAAATTTCCACGTGATAAGCCACTTCATTGGGCTCTCATTTGTGGCCAGGTCGCTTCTGAAAAAGAACTGTTTAGCTCAGTGGGCTGGTAAAATAAAAAATAGTTTTTAATAGTTTATAGAGTCATTTCATGCCAAGTGCTGGTCATTGAAACCTCTCAAGTATCCAATGACGCAGGCAACGCATGAATGATTTGAAATACTGTCCAATACATTTACAAGAAAAAAAATCAATATGGTCGTAAATGCTTACACGTTGCACTAAAATATCCACAACACTGTGGAGCCTAAGGATTACACAGCACTTTAGATTGGTACCACTAGATTATTTTATGCCACTTTAACAACAAACTCAACATATTCATCCACAGCACTGTCTTAACAGGAAAACGTTTCTAACGGGCAACGTTTCGGGCAATGAGTCTTTTTCATAGAACATGCCACAATAAATTATCTAGATGCACACCAATTGGTTGCATTAACACACGGCAAGGTGCGCTCACATCTTGCTTATTATCCTTCCGCCCCGCACCTCCGAAGCTAAACAAACGGTACATCCAAACATCAGCAAAGCACCCATGTTATTTTCTTGCATGCCACGTGACTACAGCGTTGATTGTATGAAAAAATATAAGAATAGGTTTTACCCTTTCTGACAATAAAACAGTTGTGTTAAGATTTTCAAATACCAAATAAACCTTTTTCAAGGCATCAAGTACTGCATTAACCACACGCAGTACTTGTGAACACGCAAACATTATCTGGTAATGTATTGTATTGTCTTTGAAACTGACTGGTCCACATCAGAGACAGCTCTCTCTCACACAGTTTTAGACCAGAGAACACCAAAAGACGAACAGTACAAAAACATAATAAACGTTTTTGGGTTAGATCGCGTTATTTATGTGTCGTAACCCTCCACCACCCGACACGGCCAATCAGTAAAAAAAGTGTCACGTTGACAAAAGACAAATAGTTAACTACTTGAGCCCACCGGTGTGTTGAAGAGTGAATCCACAACATAAAAAATTGTAAATGTTGAGTACAAAGACAATGCATTATCAGAGCATTTGTACCATTGCTTGTAATGTACTGCATAGCAACAATGCACTCCGTCTCCCATACAAGCGTGGCTACAGTAATGCGTTACGGATTCGCTCTCCCACCGTAGACTCGATCGATTCAACACCGGACAAAACAAGATTTACACCACACAAACCCTGGCGCACCATTCAACCATTCACCGACGCGCACGGACCAGCGTGGTGAAGTATGGCCATTCAACATTCACGAAACGCGTTCATCCAGCAGTGGACTGACAAGAGAAGCTCACCCCGCGTGTCGCACTGCAGACCGATTGATGCGACTGCCGACTCGTATACCACGTGCGCCATGCCAAAACAAGAATCGATTCTCAAAACCAGGATCTACCCCCCCATCCAGAATCGATTCCCAATCAATTATCACTGTATCAATACAACCCAACCTAAGCGGAATCGCCAGGGAATCGATACGATTCGAAGAGGCAATTTCCAGACGTACAGTGGGCATGCGTTAATCAAAGACAAAACATATCTTTAGCGGACGTTTGGGGTGGAGTGCAAGGCACGGGGAGTGGGAAGAGCTGGGCCCAACACCACGCCGATGACCGCCTTTGATTTCCCAGTGCCGATGCATTCATTACACACCCCACCAGGGGTTGATTCTGAACTTGAGGCCCAGGACCGGTTCAATTATTCGCCACCGAACGTTGACCGTGAGCGAGATTTTTTTTATTTTAAACTCGGGTCCCCAGGCCGCGTGTTACTAACCACTGCGCCACCGCTCCCCCCGGCTCTGTCGTTCATTGAATCGAAAGACACGAGGCCACTCCACTGCTGGAGACAGTGAGATTGACGCGACCAATACTACTTCACCTCGCTGAAGTGCCTCGTTGCTGTAATATTGACATGGGTGTCAATCTGTAAAGCCCACATCGTCATCGATTGGACACGTGTGAAAAAGAGCTTCACGGTTAATCGGTTTTCCTCCAGGATAAATAACAATCCTGATTCTGATCATCATCTCGCGATCCCGCAAATGTTAACGATCCACACAGCAAGCTGCCCACACACAACACAACACTGCTTTTAATCGATCCATCTCCATCGGTGCAACAACAACCACGCTGGTCACCGCGGGTTGGGTGAAGCCGATGACATTGACTCGTTGAGATAGCGAAGCTCATCAACTGCACGCCGGCAAAATTAATAATTGCTCCTGAAAAAAAAAACTAAGTTTCTTATTTGCGTAATCTACCGCGGAGCGAAATCTTTCCCGATGGTTCTGACCATACTTCACCACGCCGGTCAACGCTGGGTGGGCGGGGGGCGGAAACTGACGGTGAATTCGCTAATTAAAAGCCAATTAATGGTAACGCGTCACCTCAATTTTCACGCGCGAATTCTTTAAACGGAATCTTAAAAGCGCGCCGAATCAGCTCCACCACCGAAGGCCATCGACCATACTTCACCCCTCAGGTCACACCACGACAATGGTTGGGTGAAGCTTAACGACGACTGCATTCGCTAATTAAGCTACTTAACTGTGTGCATAACTTCACCTTAATTATCACGCGCGAACATTCATTGAAGAATCTACAAACGCAGCGAATTCGCTGCACCACGGAAGGCCATCGACCATACTTCACCCCTCAGGTGACACCACGACGGGGTGGAGAAGAAGGCAAGCGATGAGGAGTGGATGTGAGGCTTGAATGACAACAATTAGCCACCAATTATCTTTAGCTAATTACCGTCTCGCCTTAATTGCTCGAGGCTCCGCGGAGGCGCCGTTCCATCCGACGGAGTCGGCCTCTTCTCCCGCCAGCGAAGCGCCTCAGAAAAGTGCAAATAAAATCTTGACGATGTTTTTACTACGGATCGCGAGGTGCGTGCGCTATTTCGACGAGGAACTGATTTGTAAATAACAGTTTATGTATTTAAAAAGCAATGTTGTTTTAAGGGATTTAAATTTGTATAGTTTAAAGCGCCAGCAAACCACCCAAAGAGGGGAGCTTGAGGCGGAGGTCGCGGAAGCCTCCACCGCGCATGCGCGTACAGCTGTTGGTGACGTCACAGGGGATGTGGGGGGGGGGCGCGAGCGGGTTGTTTTGGTGGGGACGTCACAAGCACCCCCCCCCCACACGCACCGACACACGTGACCCTCTGTGAATGTCACGCAACGTGGATGATGATGATGATTTCGATTAAAAGCTTTTGTGACTGCAGGGATTCATCTTCTTGGTTCTTTCGGTAAAGTCACGTAGAATGTATATTTATGTATTTATTTATTTTATTCTTTCCATTCTACGTGACTTTACCGAAAGAACCAAGAAGAAGATGATGATGATGTTTAATGAATTTTATATTTTATTTTTATTTTCTATTTACGCAATTTACCGAAAGAACCAAGAATATGATGGTGGTTGATGATGGAGGAGCGATGGACACGTTCTTTCGCGGTGATTGACACGCGCAATGATTAAATTCAGCATCATCCTAGCCGTGGACAATCTGCTGATGCATGAAGGCATCCCTCCCTCCCTCCCTCCCCCCAGCAGTGCCCGATCATCCCAGTAGCACAAGTAGCTACATATGTAGTAGCTACGGGCCCCGCACTTTCAAGGGCCCCGCGCTAAACGCTTTGAAGCTATCAATTCCGGTTCAGTGGTTCTGCACTTGCTCTATTACTATAGTACTATACCGCCTTCAACTTTTACGAACGACTGGGTGTTTGAGTTTTGATTTCAAGCTTTCGTGACTGCAGGGATTCATATTCTTGGTTCTTTCGGTAAAGTCACGTACAAAGGAAATAATAAAATAAAAAAGATATAAAACACATGTATTATATATATACATTTTATTATTTCCATTCTACGTGACTTTACCTTAAAGAACCAATAATATGGGTGTTTAAGGTTTGCGATTTGTCGTATTATCTGGCTGTATAGGAAATGAAAAAATACAATTACTTCACTGTGCAAGTAAAAAAATGTGTTTTAATATTTACGTGTTTTTGTGTTGTTGTAATTTATGACCCCTTTATAACATCATATGCTACAGGCCCCGCACTTAGCTTAATCCGGCACTGCTCCCCAGGCAAATTCTCCATTTCTCGACGCTCTTGCCACGTGAACAATCCACCGAGCCGTTCCGAGTTGCCCCGGGAGCCCCGAAGGCCCTTCGACGCGAGCCGATTTGATCGCTCCCGTCTCCTCCCTCGGCGCGCCTTCCATTCCTTTGCTGCCACGCCGTTATTGGAGTGGCGGCCGAGGAATGCCCTGCCAAAGGCAATGCTCCGCCAAAAACCCACTTTGCTTAGCGGTTTGAATGCGACTTGACTTAAAAGCTGTCGTGGCTGCAGGAATTCGTATTCGTTGGGTCTTTCGGTAAAATCACGTGGATGGTTAAAAGAAAATGACAAAAAACTATGACGTTACGATCGCAAACACAAGCGGTCGTCATCCTCCTGATGTCATCCTGATGACGATCGTTTGTGTTGTGATCGAAACGTCGTAGTTTTTTGTTATTTTCTTTGTTATTTTCTTTACTGAAAAACCCAAAGAATATAGATTTAATGATTTTACTTTGAGTGCAAGCGAGGCCAAACATCCCATTGTACGCAGAGGTGGAGGCACCTTCTGGAAAAGGGTCAGTGAAGTTTTGCTGGATAAAGGGAATCGTTATTTTCTCCCCCTCCGATTAGCACGTTTGGCTACGTACGGTGCGAAAGAAGTTCAACATACACACAGATGGCAGTACGGCAAGTGGGTTCGTGAACCCGTCTCTGTAGGCCCTTGCTGTTACCCCCTTGTTCGTGACGAGGTGGGGTTTCTCCTGGTTCTCCGTTATCTTTTCCACACGAAGCCAAACTGCCCATCAATGCGATTGGCCAAATGTGCAGCAAACCCTTCCTTGAGACGAAGCTTCGAAACTCTGCGTGGTTGACCTGGACCATTTTTCGATTTAAAGCTTTCGTGACTGCAGGGATTAATCTTCTTGGTTCTTTCGGTAAAGTCACGTAGAAGGGAAGTAATAAAATAATAAAAATAAAACATAATAAAATATTTTATAATGTTTTATTTTTATTATTTTATTATCATAACAAAAGCATTATTTTATTATTTAAATTATTATTTTATTATAATAATAAAATAATAAAAAATAAAACATAATAAAATATGTTATTATGTTTTATTTTTATTAATATTTTATTATGTTTTATTTTTATTAATAAAATAATAATAAAATTCTAAAAATAAAACTTAATTCAATATTTTATTATGTTTTATTTTTTATTATTTTATTACTTCCCTTCTACGTGACTTTACCGAAAGCACCAAGAAGATGACCTGGACAAGTGAAGGTGAAGCTGCTGCTCTGCGGTGCCACGTGCTCATGATGCCACTCTGCTGGCGTAAGGGCCTCCTTCCACACGTAGGGAGCCCCTCTCGAGAGCCCCTCTAAGAGGGAAAAGTTGGCCTGCTCTTCCACCCTGGCTTAGACCGCTTGCAAGAAGAGTTTGCCTGTGACCCACAGTTTACCGAGTGCTGGTGCTGGGTGGATTATTACGTCGTAAGATTGTCAGATGCGGGCGAGGGCTTGGCTAGACCTTGGTCCGGCAGTATATTAAACCGCGGACGATGATAAATAAGTTCAACACACGCACGTGCATCAGTATCGGGGCGCGGAATGATTCCGTTCAGCACGTGGGTGCGGTGCTGGACCGTGGCTAGAGCGCGCCGCCTGGCGTCTGCAGAGAGAAATTTCTTCCCATCTCGGCCAATGGCGCTACTTGCCCCACCCACCCAGGGCTTCATTACCTAGGGCCGTAGGCAGAAAATATGTTTTGGGAGTGGGTGGGTGGGGGGTGAGGGTGGGTGGTGGGGGGGATCCACCCGCCCACCCGTTCACCCGAGACCCACCCACCCCAACCACCCCTTTCAATTCGTAAACTTCCCGTGAGATGGCAGAAGAGATCTGGACAAGAGACAGATGATGTAGCGAGACAAGAGAATTGTGCGGACAAGATATGGAGCTGTGTGTGTGTGCGATGAGACGATGTTAGGCAAGGGTGTTTGTTATTTGTGATTTATGCGCAATCGGCAACGCAACAGCGCCCACTAATGTACAGCACATTTTTATTAGCACCTGAATCTGAGCTGATATTTAATGCATTCATATATTGTTCATGAACCCGGGGTCCCCCCCACACCCAACAAAAACGGTCACCTGCATCGCGCGCTTTCAGATGCGCTGCTTTTGCGGCCGTCTGGAACGCTCTTCCACCCGATATTAATTAGGAAGCCGCTTGGAGCTACGCAACTTTAAAATCTGCGTTGAAAAAACTAATTTCTTGAGAACTCCTTTTTGTGCTTTAGTGTTGTTGTCCTCCCCCCCGCCCGCCCCACCTCCGATTATCGCGGTTGGCTACGTACGGCGCGAAAGAAGTTCAACACACACAGCAGTGAATAGTAGTGAGTGTAGCATGCGGGAGCGATTGATAAATAATTGCTTTAAAATAGCTTTTTGTGTTTAATGTTGTTGTCCTTCCCTCGCGTCACCGATTAGCACGGTTGGCTACATATGGCGCGAAAGAAGTCCAACATACACACAGCAGGGAATAGTAGTGAGTGTAGCATGCGGGAGCGATTGATAAATAATTGCTTTAAAATAGCTTTTTGTGTTTAATGTTGTTGTCCTTCCCTCGCGTCACCGATTAGCACGGTTGGCTACGTATGGCGCGAAAGAAGTCCAACATACACACAGCAGGGAATAGTAGTGAGTGTAGCATGCGGGAGCGATTGATAAATAATTGCTTTAAAATAGCTTTTTGTGTTTAATGTTGTTGTCCTTCCCTCGCGTCATCGATTAGCACGGTTGGCTACGTACGGCGCGAAAGAAGTCCAACACACACACACACTTGGGGCCCTTATGCGTTCAGCTTGGGTTGTTTGGGTCCATGGCGCTACCCCAGCACTCAGCAGCCCCTCCGAGTCTCGCCTCGTCTCGCTCCGTTCTGCTCCCCCGTGTCCACACGATGCCCTCCGTGGGGCAACTCCCGTTCGAGGCGTTCGTGTCAGCGCGGGAAGAGAAAAGGACTCAACGACATCCACAACTCCCCCGTTCCACACCGTCAGCGCCCACTCACTCCACTCACTTCGCTCACCTCTCTCAACCCCCACAACTCCTCACACTCACTCACTCTCCTCTCCAGGGCTGTCGATAGGGCGAGGGGGGGGGGCGTCCTCCGACGCCTTCAAAGCATTACATCGGACACCGTGACGTCAAAGCGCCGGGTCCCCCAAAGCGCGGGGCCCGGGGCATTCGCCCTGATTCCCTGTGCGCCTAGGGACGGCTCTGCCTCTCAACCCTCCCCCAACCACAACCACCATCACTTTTTACTCTACACCCCCCCACCCCTTCACGTGGCGATTAATTCGAGATCCCTATTCGTTGTCCTAGTCAGCATCATCTTCATTAGTATTATCATCATCATCACTGCTACTCGTATCAATATCACTGTCATCGCCATCGCCATCACCGTGCTCAGTGGCGCATTCTTAATTCGCCCCCCATCAACATCACTACCAGAAACCACCGCCAACATCGTGACAATCACGCTTTTGTTTACCCGGTAGAGCCTCAACTGAATATCCATGAAGATTGTTCAGGAGTGTCCTGCCGCCAATTTGTCGCACTTAGGTGGGGGGGGGGCGATGATTGCCGTTGTTGTACGATTTCAATTCGAGTAAATTGCTGGGGTAATTTATTTTTCTAATTTTACAAATTTGGAGCGTGACGCGGGGGGCACGCGGGCGACCTACTTTTTTAAAATCCTTTATATTAAGTTCACTTGCTTGCTTGCGCGCTTACGACCGTGCAAATCTTTCGGTCGTTTTTTAACCCACTTCCCGTGATCCAATCGAGCTGACATTTTGCACACAGACTCGTTGTGCGTGACAATTTATTTTCGTGAAAATATTTTCCCAAAATTTTCCACTTTTTAGAGAATTTTTTTTTTCATATTTAATTTAAAATACTAATGTGATCAAAATGAAACTCTTACTCAAGAAAAACAGAAATGAATAATAAAATAAAACCGATGCCACGCATATAAAGGCTTTATAGTGAAAAACTTTGTTTTTTACGGGTTAATTTTTTTGTTGCGAATTCCCGCAACGGGAAATCTTTAAACGTCCGCTCACCGCGACGCACGGTTGCTGCAGCCGTAAGATTAATCAAGGCGGCCGCTGGATTCGAACCGTGCGCCGCTGAGGCCGCGTGCTTGCCGCCTCGCCGCTCGGCAAGATACTCGCGAGCAGCTTGCCGAGTGAAGTTTGAACGCACTCCGGTCTGATCCCATAGCTTGTTTTCATTCAGTCTGCGCGTAATCGCAGAGCTATGCCGGATTATCGTAGAAGCAAAAGTAGCTACAAATGTAGTAGCTACTACATAAGTAGTCGCTACTACACATGTAGTAGTACATATGTAGTAGCTACATAAGTAGTAGCTACGGGCCCCGCACTTTCAAAGGCCCCGCGCTAAACGCTTTGAAGCTATCAATTCCGGTTCAGTGGTTCTGTACTTGCTCTATTACTATAGTACTATACCGCCTTTAGCTTTTAAGAACGACTGGGTGTTTAAGGTTAGCGATTTGTCGTATTATCTGGGCTGTATTGCAAATAAAAAAATACAATTACTTTACTATGCAAGTAAAAAATTAGTGTTTTAATATTTACGTGGTTTTTATTTATTTATAACATCTGCTACAGGCCCCGCACTACCTTAATCAGGCACTGATTGCCGAGCTATGTGATCGCGTCCTCTCTGAGCCGTACGCGACTCCCATAGCACCCCCACCCCACCCATAAAATGTAACTCGCATTGGACAAAACATCCCAACGCTGATAATTTAGCTGCTGCAACAGAAAAAGTGTACTCAAGTGAGATCACATCAGTTAATATTTACATAGAGCAGCAACATCGCCCTCCCCCCTACTGAGATAAGATTGGCAGGAATCCTGAAAAACAGCCACGAGCAACACCGCCACTAGCAACACCGCCACTAGCAACACCGCCACTAGCAACACCGCCACTAGCAACACCGCCACTAGCAACACCGCCACTAGCAACACCGCCACTAGCAACACCGTCACTAGCAACACCGCCATTAGCAACACCGTCACTAGCAACACCGCCTTCTGTCGCGGATTTCAGCGCGGCCCCCACGATCCAGCAGATGTTTCTGGCAAACTCGGAGACAAAGACAAAGATTCAGCCACGTGGCCATTCACAGAACGTTGGGCCAAGCAAGCGCTGTTAGGGAGCACCTACGAAGGCTGGAACGTCACACGAGGTGGAAGGGTGGACAACACACACACACACACACGCCCGCACGCCTTTGTCTCACCGCCCCGGGTACTCATTTAAGGCCGAGTCGCCCTAGGGGAGGCCCAGAACCGGTTCAAACATTCCT